CACCAGTGTGCAGGGCTTCATCAGCTGAGGGGCAAAGACGGGTATGAGTGGGCACCAGGAGGCCCTGGACTCAAGGGCCAGAAGTGAGGGGTGGCAAGAACATTGAGTGGAGGAGAGAAGGCGAGCAGAGCCTGGGGGTGCTGGAGCCCCACCAGCAGCCTCAAGCCTCCCCAGGGAGCAAAGGCATTGTAGTGACTGCCAGTGAGTACACGCCATGTGTCTCAGATAGGATTTTTTTGTTTTGTTTTAAGATTTATTCATTTTTCGGGCCCAGTGATTAAATGCTCACCTTGCAAGCACCAGATCCCATACGGGCACTGGTTCGTGTCCCAGCTGCCCCACTTCACATCCAGCTCCCTGCTTGAGGCCTGGGAGAGCTATAGAGAATGACCCGAGTGCTTGGGACCCTGCACATGGGAGACCTGGAAGAAGCTCCTGGCTCCTGGAGATATATATATAAAATATAAAATATAAAAATATATAAAATATAAAATATATTAAAATATAAAATATAAATATATAAAAATATAAAATATAAATATATATAATAAAAATATAAGTTTTTTAAAATAACATACTTTTTTAAAAAAGTTATTCACTTTTTTTTAAAATTTGAGAAGCAGATTTACAGAGACAGGAGAGATAAAGATCTTCCATGTGCTGGTCTCCTCCCAAATGGTCATCAATACCCAGAGCTCAGCAGATCCACAACCAGGAGCCTCTCTCCAGACTCCCACATGACTACAGGGCCCAAGGACTCAGGCCATCCTGAACCAGTGCCCATTGCCACAGCAGCGGGAGGCATAACCTATTAGGCCATGGCAAGAGCCCACGTTTCAGAACTTGTGCTTTCAACAGTAGCTGAGGGCCCAGCATTGTGGCTCAACAGCTTAAGACGCCACCTGCAATGCTGGCATCCCATTCAGGCACTCATTTAAGTCCCAGCTGTTCCACCTCTGATCTGTTCTCCACTTCCCCTCTTCTCCACTGAGAGCAATCCTGCTCAAAACGAAGTCTGGGGGAATACAACCAACCAGGCAATAAAAGGACCATGTCTCTGATCCAGAAAATGACACAGGCTGCTCTCAAGAATAGAACTCTGAAGGACATGTGCCCCAGGGCCACAGAGGAAGCCCCCCACGGTGACACTGCCACTCGCAGTCCCTGCTGTTCCACTTGGGATCACGCCTTGGTAATGTCCCCACAAAACTAGTGCGTAATGGCCCAAGTGCTTGGGTTCCTGCCACCCACATGGAAACCCAGAGTCGCAGGCCTGGCTTTCAGCCTGGCCTCCCCTGGCTGCTGCAGACACTTAGGGAGTGAACCGGTGACAGTCTCTCCTCTGTCACTCTGCTTCTAAAACTACATCTATGTACATATAACACTTAGAGTTGGCACTATGGTAGAGCAGGCCTGTAGCACTGGCAACATATACAGGGCCCCAGTTTGAATCCCAGCTGCTGCACTTGTGTCAGGAACTCGCTGGAGTGACAGGCACGTTCCCACTGGACAAGCCTGCGTGTGCATGTGTGAAACTCCCTGAATTCTACATAGGACACGGATGTGCTCTTCAGGACACGGATGTGTTCTGTGCGTTGAGAGGTAGGAAACTCATTCATAGAAACGCGGCTGCTGTGGGGGATACAGGTGCCTGATGGCTGAGAGGGAAGTGTTCTGTTGTCTGCAGATCTGGAAATACTCGGAGGCAACAGAATGGATAAGCAGCCACGTGACTGCACGTGAAGGTGACTGCAGCCACGCAGCATGGGACTAGGCAGCAGGTGTGTGGGTGTCACCTCTACAATTCTCTGTGTTAGGACTGATGGCTTGATTTGAGAAGCAGTGACGAGAGTGAGAAAGTGCCTCCATCCCTTGTTTGCTGCCCTAATGTCAAGAACTCGGGCTGGGCCTCCCATGCGGGCGGCAAGTAGCGCAAGCCCAAGTACTCAAGCTTTCATCTGCCACTTTCCCCAGAGCAGCAGCAGGAAGCTGGGTGGGATGCAGAGCAGCCAGGACTCAAACTGGAGGCCTCCAAATGTGGGAGGTTTAACGTGCTGTACCACAATACCTATCCCACTTTTCCAAAGAACTGCTAACTTCCTGTGTTACTGAAAGTGACATAAGGGCAGGGTTGATTTTGTTTCCACTTTTTTGTTTGTTTGTTTGTTTATGCTGTACCCCAGGGGCCTCAAATAGTCCCCAGCAAAGAATCAACACACAGCATGTCCCTGTCACTAGCAATAAAGGAGGTCCTAAGTCTTGTGCTGAAGAAGCTGAGAGATAGGACAATGATGAGACAACAGTCACCAAGTGCTCTGGGTCCTGCCAGAGGGCCGTGCCAGAGGACTGGGGATTAGAAAACAAGAAGACATGTGCCAGGGGACCAGTGACAAGCAGGGCCCTCCTGGCATAGCAGGGGGTGGTGCCCGGGGTAGTACTCAGGAGCAGATGAGAAGATGCCATCTGGGAGAACCAGGAGCAGAGGGGAAGATGGGGGGCGGGGTGCACCCTTTAGGGGAGAAGGGGTGGCAGTGGGCGGTGGGGCAGCATGGTGCACATGGGTGGAGGAAGGGCAAGGGGAAGTGGGGAGTCTGACTGGTGGCTAGTACCCAGTAAAGGAAGCACAAAGCCTGGCTGGGGTGGGGACTATAGGAATTAGGCACTGCCTCTGGGGATTGGGTGCAAGGTGATGGTGGGGGCAAGCTGGGGTGCAAAGGCAGCTAAGGACAGCCTGGTAGATACCCAGTGTAGTCATCTGGTTCCTTGAGTGTGCAGGAAGGGGCAGAACCTGTGGGCAGAAACCATTCCCTAAAAGGGAAGATGGCAGGGGTGAGGCAGTGGCCTAGTACATTAGCCTCTACGCAGTTCTGGCATCCCATAGGGAGTGCTAGTTCGAGTCCCGGTCACAGTCATTTGGGGAGTAAACCAGCAGGTGGAAGCTATCTCTGTAAATCTGCCTTTCAAATAAAAATAAATCTTCATAAAAAATTATTTAAGGGAAGGTAGAACTGAGGGGAGCAGGCATCACTAGGAGGAGGACAGAGGCCAGGGTGGGTTCAGCAGAGCAGGGGGGAGCCAGAATCACTGGGGGGCCCAGGGTGGGCAAACCACCAAAAGCAGAGAGAAGAGCCTGGAGGCACAGCCAGGGGATGGATAGATGGGGTAGTGGAAATCAACTTCTGCACGGGCGTCCACCTCCTACGTGTGGCACTAAGGGCCCTGTCACATTTCTTCTCTGTAACACTCTCCATTTTACACAAGAGGAAACCAAGGGCCTCCGGAGAGGCCAAGGCACTTGCTCAAGGTCATACAAGTGGGTGCAGAAGCTGAGATTTGAACCCAGACATAGAGTCCCGTCTCCCCCGACACACATAGCTACCTGGGCATTAACCCGCGAGCAGCACTCACCCACGCCTGGCAGCTCACACAGTTATCACCTCAAGGGACAGCGGACGCAAATAAGACAGCCACCCACACGCCCACAGAGTGTGGCACCTGCGAGGCTGGATCACAGCCCTGCAGACATCCACCCCCTCGGGGCCTGAGGCCATGACTGTGTCACTGTGACCCACAGGACACTGCAGATGCACGGACGCCAAGGAGCTGGAGGTGAGAAAAGTGTCCCAGATGATCCAGACTGGACCTGGAGTCATCACGGGGCCCTCTGAGAGCAGGTGATGGGACCGAGGAGAGAGAGGCTGGACCACGCCCCTGGCTGACAGCTTTGAAGACCCTGGGGGGGCAGGTAGTTTCCAAGCCCACAGCTACCTGATGGAGCCAGCCCCCGCTGCTCCCACCCTGAGCACGGTACGGGGAGGCTAATTTTGGACTTGGGATGTCCAGAACTATCACAGAAGACATGTAGGTGCTTCATGGTGCTGACCGGGCGCGCATTTGCTACTGATAGGAGGTAGAGGTGCCCTGTCACCGCACACCTGCCCCGCTGGCCAGCCTAGCCACCACTGCAGGACCCAGCCTTGGTTTTCAAAGAGTTCCTTTAAAAGTCTCAGGCTGACCTCTCTGTAAACCTGTGGGGATTTTTTGCTTTGTTTTGTCTTTTTTTCATTTGTTTAAAAAAAAAAAATGGGGGGTAGGGGCAATGCACTTGACTCTGCCTTTCTTGCAGGCACCAGAGAGGGGACCTAAGATTATTGGAAGATTCCCACAAGCTACTGGAGCTGGCAGGTGAAGGCAAATTAGTGTCCCCATTACTCAGATGAATAAACTGAGGTTTCAGGACTAAAAAGAGCCGGTCTAGAGTCACACAAGACAGTGAGGGACAGAGCCAGGACCTGTACCAGGGTGTGACTCTCCATCTGTGTCCCAGAGCCTAGCTCCCATGCCACCTCCTCAGAGAAGTCCTCCGGACAGGCCCAGCCATTCATTTGTTCATTCATTCATTCATTCATGAAGCAGAGTGGCTGGACTGCCCCATTCCCAGTGTCATGCTAGACAGGGCTGGGGGAGCCACTTCCATCCTCAGGAGACCAAGGCCTTACAGACAAGACAGACCCACACACCTAGGAGACATGCTTGAGTCCAGGGAGGGGAACCCAGTGCGAGATGAGAACTCAGAACCAGGGGTGGGGGGAAGGTGGGGGAGTGTGGAGGGAGAGTGAATGAGTCAGGGAGGGCTTCTCAGAGGAGGTGGCGACAGACCTGGGACAAACAGGACTCAACTAGAAGTGCACCAGGGTGCAAGGCTGAGGATCGGCTAAGCCATCCCTGAGGGCAGGAATAGGCCTATGTGCGACTTGCATAGTCATCCTGGCCCATAAGAGGAGTGGACGTGGGAGTCCCCAGGGAGGAAGGTGAAGATCAGGAGTTAGGGGATGGGGGCAGGGGACCCTGGCTCCAGCCCTCACTCACAGGTGACTCAGGGGTGACTACAGGAAGGCCCTCTCGGCGCCTCAGTGACCCCATCTGAGAAACGGAGCATGAGACAAAGCTGTCTCCAGAGCCCCTCCCCAGGTCTGACGGGCAAATGACAGGACACGAACTTACAAAAGGGTCTTTATTGATTAAAAAGCCCAAGGGTCCCTGGGGCGACGGGACAGGCAAGCCGGCTTCTCAGGGGTCGGGGGCATTGGGGCAGATGCGCTTGAGTGGGGGGGCGCCCTCCGAGTCCTCTGTGTCACCCTGGGCTGCCTCGGGGACAGGTGGCACTGGCTCAAAGACGGGGTAAGCTTCGGGGGCCTGGAGAGGAAGGGCGGACAGGCGTGAGCCCCACCCGAGGCAGGCATCCAGCTTCCAAGCTCAGCTGCCTTGGCCGTCACCACAGCCACCACGCCCACGCCATGCCACGCCCCTCCCGGACCCAGAAGTTGGCCCAAAGCCCAGCACAAGGGCATGCATTCTCTTAGCAGTTAGAGGGGACTCTGTTAGCCTAACCTTACACTTTAGGCCTTGCTTTCTGGAATGCCTGGGGCACACCATGGTTTTTCATTTTTGTGTTTTCAGGCTTTTCATGTTCTGAAGTCAGCCCTGAGCCAGCCCGCAGGACCCTGGCTCTACCACACCCTTTCCTTGTTCATCCCAGGAACTCAGCCGCCAAGGCTGGGCTGGCTCCTCAGCTGGTCCATGTCTGTCTCCCTCCCAGACCCCAAGATGCCGCCTCCAGGCCTTGGGGGGCCCTGGCCCCAGCCCTGGGAATGTAGTCTGCAGGCCACGCTCACCTCAGCCTCCAGCAGCTCTGGCACAGGCTCCTCCTTGGTCAGCATGGGGGGTTCATCAGTGCCGCCTGCGGTCATGCCCCCAGGATCTGGAACGTGAACAGGCGTCGCCTGAGCAGCTGTGCTATGCCCAGAGGATGGGCAGTTAGAGGAGCACGCGTATGCATGTACACACGTACACACGTACGTACACACGTACACACACACACACACACACACACACACACACACACGTGCATACCTGCACCACACACAGGGAGCTGCACAGCAAGGAGCCTCCCAGTCACAGTTTGAGGGAGGAACGCTTATGCAGAAATTTTGACAACTGCATAGCATTTAAGCAGGCAGGCCACGGGGGCAGAGGGGAGGACACCATTTTAAGCAGAGGCAGCACATGCTGAGGGAGCAGAGGTTCTGTTTAATGTCTCTCTTTTCCAATGGCCTCTCTTTACTCATCTGTAACATGGGGCCAGGGACAGTAATGCCTGCAGGAAGCTGCCCCCAGCTCAGCCAAGTTGATAGAACCCTTGGGGAGCGTCTGGCACTCCGTGCTCCTTATCGTTTTTCTATTAGCAGAGGTATGCATAGCCTGGCACCCTCTGGGCTCAGCCCACAGGCCCAAGGTGAGGTGGTCTGGCAAGCAGGGAACAGGACAGAGGCCCAAGGATCCAAGTGTCCCATGCAGGAGGCAGCAGCCACAGGGATGTGCAGTGGAAAATGACCCCATCAAACCCAAGCTTTAGGAAAAGCCATTACAGTAGCTATGTGGATGTGACCACAGGATACCCAATGGGGAGGCCGGAGCGAGGCTAAAGTCTGGGAGTCAGAGGAAGGTGGCTACCCTGGGCAGGAGGGATCAATGGCAAGGAAGAGGAGCTGGCGATGTGGGCTCGGGATGCTGGCTCCCAGCTGCATGAATTCAACCTCTCCCCGTCTCAGCCTGTTCATCTATAAATGGGGAAGTCCACAGGCATCTGGACCCTTTCAGGGTGCCGGTGAGGATCCAATGAAATAAAGCGCACAAGGTGGGGCTAGTGCTGTGGTACAACAGTTAAAGCTGTCACCTGCAATGCCACCATTCCATCTGGGTACTTCACTATCCATCCAGCTCCCTACTTAGGCCTGGGAAAGCAGCAGGAGAGGGTGCAAGTGCTTGGGCCCCTGCACCTATATGGGAGACCTGGAAGAATCTCCTAGCTCCTGGCTTCAGACTGGCCCAATCCTGGCCATTGGGGCCATCTAGGGAGTGAACCAACAGGTGGAAGATCTCTCTTTGTCTCACTCTGTCTGTTCCTCTGTAACTTTCAAATAAGTGAACAAAACCTAAAAAAGGAATTATCAGGTGGCGCCCAGCACACAGCAGCGAGCTCAGTAAACATGGGATGCTGTTACCAGTTCCCCCTATGACGTTACCCATCTCTTAGTTGTACCCTGTCTGTTAGTCACTCAATATTCATCAAGCACCTACTGTGTGTTCCACTGAGAATGCAGTAAGCGAGATCAGCGAGGGCATGATATTCTGGAAGCTGATGGGGGTTGTGGGGTGGGAGATGCATTAGTGAAAAATGAAATATCTATGAAAATGCCAGACAGAGAGAGCCAGAGGGAGGGAAGAAAGCCATCAGCGCGAGGGGCTGTTCCCATAGGAGCCAGGGGATGAGCTGGTGGGGGCAACGTCGGGGAGGACAGGGCCTAGAGGGGACTCCTGGGAGAAAGGATCTGCTCCTACCTCGCTCTTGGCCCAGCCGTGGGGGCTGCGACTCCTCAGGGACCCCCTCGGGGGCTCCGGCAGGCGACACAGGCCGGCTGGGCTGAGGGGTGCCACTGGGGCTGGGCTCGGTGCCCTTGTGGAGGGAGGCCTCCGAGTGGAAGCTCTGGTTGCTGTTCTCATCTGTGGGAGCAAAAGCCCAAGAGGGTTGGCCTAGGGCACCCTCCTCCTCCAGGACCCCCCTCCCTAGAAAGCTCGGTTCTCCACATACCGTTGAGATCCAGCAGAATGAGAGGGCCACCCCCGCGCGGACTGGCACCCCTGCCCCGACGCTCCCGGCCGCGAGACCGCTCTGCCACGCCACCTGCCCGCCGCCGCTCCTGGGGGGAGAGGGGACACAGGGGGGGCCAAGAGTCAGCCTTCTCGCCCGCCAGCTCTGGCGTACACCCCCCCCCACACACACACATACACACACACTGTAATTAACGAAACTGAGGGACAGAGAAGCCAAAGGCCTGTCTGAGGTGACACTGGCTGTGCACACGCTGGGCTTGCGTGAAACAGGGTGCAGGGTCTGGAGCAGGAAATGGGGAGGAGCCAAGAGTAATCCTGAACATCTGGGCTGCCGCCTTCAGGGCCTCTCGGGGTAGGCACGGGAGGCGGAGGCGAGGGTCAGCAGGAGCGGGGGCTGAAGCTGCAAGGAAGCAAGGCCCTGGGCTCGCTCACCTCCTCCTGGGGGTCAACCACAGGCACCCACTTGAAGATGCGAAGGGAAGTGTCGCCCACAGTCACCCACCGCTTCTCCCTGTGGGAAGGTGGTGCGCTGGGGTCAGAGGGGCTCCAGGGGAAAGCCCCACCCCACCCCACCCCACTCCCCAGGTAGCAGGGGGAAGTGGGGGAGGGTCCGGGGAGGGAGTTTTGTGAATGGGGCGTAATTGGAGAAAGACCAGGGTTGAGATGGGGGGTGGGCAGGCGCGGGGAGAGGAGGTGTCCCTGAGCATGCCTCAGGGGGGTCTGAGGCTCAACAGACCCCTAGGGGCACCCTCTCCCCGGGAACGTGGCTTGCTGGCCCGGCCCAGGACTACCGCGGCGCGGACTTGCAGGAGGAGGAGTGTCAGAACCTCAGGGGGCGGGGCACGGAAAGAGGGCTCCTGCTCGGCTGGGGACCACGCTTTGTAGAGCTCGGGGAGCAGCCCGGGAAAGGGGGCCAGAGCTCTGCGGAGCCCGTGCCCAGTTGCTGGGCGGGGGCGCGTCTAGCACCTTAGGGGCACAGCTGGCGAGGGGCGGGAAGGCGCAGGAGAGGGGAGCCGGCGGGGACCCGGGGTGGGGGGGCAGTGCTCACCATCTCCGGACCTTCTCGATGGTCGCCATCACCTTCTTGATGTCATCCTTGGCCCGGCTCCGGGTCTCGGCCCGCACGGTCCGGCCGGCCATGCTGGCGGGGCTGGGGCCGGGGCCGAGCCCGCGGCGGGGCTGCCTCCCGTCCGGCGGGCTCAGGCTCGGCGCCAGGCCGGGGAGCCGCGCTCGCCGCCAGCCGTCCCTCCGGGAGTTGGCCGCGCCCTCCCTCGCTCCCCAACGCCTCCGCGAGTCCCCGCCCCGCTTCCTGCCGCCGCGCCCCGCCCCGGCCCGGCCCCGGAGCGGCTGGCGGGCGGCGCGGGCGGCCGGAGCCCAGGCCTGGCAGCCGGGCCCGCCCCGCTCCGCCCCGGGCCCGCCCCCTCGGGGCGCCCGGACGCGCAGCGCCCCCTGTCCGCCGCCGGGAACGAGAGTTGGGGGGCCCCCAGCTCCGCGACTGGAACGCGCGCCCGAGGCGGTGCGTTCAGGCCACGTGGGCGCGCGGCTGCACGGGAGGGTCGGGGTGCGGGAGGGCGTCTCTGAAGCGCTGTGTGTACCCACCGTCGCCGGGCTGTCTTGATTCCAGGCTGCCCGACTGAATTCGTTCATCCATTCATTCAACCCTCTGGTAGCCAAGTGCCAATTATGCGCCAGCCGCTGCCACAGGAAGGATGGCGAGAAAGAATGACAGGCTACACCAAGTGTGGGCGCGGGAGAGCAGCTAGCCGGCCTCCTTTAGGCTTTTGGGGGAGCGTGAATTGGTGAAGCTCCTTTAGAAAGCTGGCAGTTTTCCAGCGAAGCCAAACAAAGGCCCACCTATGCCGCATTCACGGCACTTGAAGGTTGTCAGCACCCAACAAAAAATGCCCCAAGAGACCTGAGCCGGCACACCGGCAGCGCTCTTAAGAGTCTCAACTGTAAATCAGCAGGAAGCTGAGAAATGAATTCCAGCCTATTCACACCTCGGCCAAGCACACAGCAAGGACAGTGACCAAGGTTCCAGCCATGGGGACAGAGCAGCAAACAAGGTTCCTGCTCCACAGGGACAAGGCTCCTGCACAAAATCCTGGGTGAAAGAAACCAAACGCACCACGTGATTCTGTCTGGATGAAGTTCAAAACCAGACAAGAAGAATGTATGGTGTGCAGCCAGGAGCCTTCTGGGAGCTGGTAATTTCCTCTCCTGGAGCTGCTTCCCTGATTCCCAGATTTATTCTGAAAACTCCCCAGGTTGGATGCTGGTGCTGGATGGGTGTCTAGTTGACCTTATAGTTCCCTACTGGGACAGGCACGATGGCTCAATAGCTAAATCCTCCCCCTGCAAGCGTTGGTGTCCATATGGGCACCATAGTTCATGTCCTGGCTGCTCCACTTCCCATCCAGCTCCCTGTTTATGCCCTTGGGAAAGCAGTGGAGGATGATCCAAAGCCTTGGGACCCTGTACCGCGTGGGAAACCGAGAAGCTCCTGGCTCCTGGCTTTGGATCAGCACAGCCTAGTCATTGTGGCCACTTGGGGAGTGAACCAGCAGAAAGATCTCTCCTTTGTCTCTCCTTCTCTCTGTAAATATATCTTTCCAGTAAAAAATAAATATTTTTGAAAAAGAAGAAGTTCCCCTACAGAAAATAACCAGGTAGTTTTCCAGCTGGTCACTCAGCAGGTATGATCACGTGTATACATGTGCTGTGTATGTGTGTGTGCGTGCGTGTGTGAGACCCCAGGGTGATGCCTCTTATAGCGCTGCTGACCATGTCCAGAGCTGTGAAGGGACAGGGAGGGACTCAGAACAGCATTTCTCGGAACTTGGCTACACCCCAGCAATGTGCATTTGGACAATCACTTGTCTCTTCTTCTGCGTTGCTGACATGGGAATAATATGTATACAACTCACTGGTCAGCCCCTAGTGCAAAGCCCTGATGCAAATCTGCTGTGGGAGCCAGTGCTGTGGTACACAGGGCTAAGCCACTGCCTGCAGCAATGGCATCCCCCGTATCCCCTATGGGTGCCAGTTCTGAGTCCTGACTGCTTCATTTCCCACCCAGCTTCTGCTGATGTGCCTGGGAAAGCAACAAAGCATGATCCAAGTCCTTAGGCCCCTGTACTCATGTGGAAGACTTGGAAGAAGTCCCTGGCCGCTGGCTTGGGCCTGACCCATCCCCAGCGCTGATAGGGCTATTGAAGGAGTGAATTAGTGGGTGGAAGATCTCTCCCTGACTCTGCCTTTCACATAGATCATTGTGTTTCTTTAGAATGTGCTGTTGGTGAGGCTGGGGTGATGGTGACACAGTCTGGCTTCCACTGCACCTGCTGGGCCCTCTGCTGGTTGCTGCCCGTCTTCCTCTCTGCCGGCAGCCATTCTCCACGCAGTATCCCTGTGGACACTCAGGCCTCCCTGTCAGGCTCACTGCTCACAAATCTTGGCCTCCATAACCTGAGAGATCCACGGGGTGGGGTGGGAGGGAGGGGTAGAAGGTAACTGTGCATCCTGCCTGTCCCACACCAGGACATAACAGGTACCAAACTTGTTCCTGGGAGAGGAGGAGCCTGGTGGGGGAAGAGGGAGGGGGCGGGTTCTGCTGGCAAGGGGAGGCCGTTGTTCTGCCTCTCTGGCAGGTGCTGCCGCTGGCTGCAAAGCATCTAAAGTAGCCCACGAGGTGTGTCGGGACAAGTGAGTCTGGCCCCCCACTGCTGCCTTTGGCACCCCCAGCCGCCAGGCAAGAGGGAGGACCTGCCAGGTCCCAAAGCTCCCCGTCCCCCCGCCTCGGGGTGCCAAGCCCTGTCTCAGGTCGCAGCTGGCACCTCCTCCCTCCCCGCAGCAGGGCACAAGGCTGCCTCCCAAGCCCCGAAAGTCCCAGCCCCGTAGCCCACCCTGCAGTCCTGCCTGGCTCCCTCGGGCCCCTTCCCCCCACCACCCGCGGGACGACCGCGCGGGCGGGAACCTGAGCTCAGGGCCGAGGAATCTGGCCTGGAAGTGGAGGGGGGTCAGGTTTGGGGTCTGGGCTCTGATTGGCTGCGCCCGGGCCACGCCCCTGCCCCCTCCCCACCCTCCCCCCTCTCGGAAGGGGGGCGTGGAGGGAACCGGGATCACCCAGGGGCCAGCATGAGCCGGAGGGAGGGCAGTCTGGGTAAGGGGCTGTGAGGGACCTGACGCTGGGGACGTGAAGGGAGCAGGAGCCGGGGCAGGGTGGAGTCGGGGTGGGGGTTACGAGCTGGGGGTCTGGGGCTCCTCAGTCACCGGGCCCGGGAGGGGAGCGGCTGGGGCGGCGGGGGTGGGGGGGCGGAGAACAGGGCTCCGGTGTCAGGTAACAAGCGGGAGAGTTCTGAGAAAGGGCAGGCTCTGGAGTGTTAGAGGCGGGCCGGGGCCCAGAATTTAGGGTCTTGGGCTCAGGGAGTTAGATCACCAGGTCAGGTACCTCCTGAGGGAAGAGTGGAGGTGGGGTGGGGCAGGACACCTGAGTCCCGCCCGAGTGTCCCGGCTTGCCGGCGGCGTGTAGCTGGAGGAAGAAACAAAGTTAGGGCACACCGTCTCCGAGCCACCGGAACTAGTCAGGGACACAGCAGGACCCGAAAAGTTGAAGCCGCCCAGGACGCGGAGTGGCGGTGGGAAACTCAGCCGGGGGCGGGCGGGGGGCGGGCGCGGGGTGAGAGCGGCCGCTCGGGGACTACTCTCCCCAGCATGCGCTGGGCGCGCGCTTTGCATCTCGGGAAATGTAGTTCTCGGTGCAGTCCTCCGAGCTTGAGTAAGGCCAGACCCTAATTCAATGGATGCCACCTAGTAGTAGAGCACCTTAGATAGAACGGGCATCTGGGAAGAAGCGGGACTTCAGTCTCCCCTCAAATGGTCCTTCGATTTGAATTCCACCAAGTCTGCGAGTGACAGAGATATTGTACGCTGTGTCCCCAAAGGGTTCCCAGGCTAAGGTAGATAGACACAGATCAAAGTGCCAGTTAAAAAAGCTAAGCTGTTTGGGAAGTAGGAACACTTGGTGGCCTTGAGTCGAAGGAAGAGGTTCACGTAAGGGGAGGGAGGCATGGCTCAAGTAGGATTTTCAAGCGGGATCTGGGGAAAGGAGACATGGAGCAACTGCTTGACCAAACTCTGATGACTCAGATAGTGCCAACTTGAACAGTGGTGAATCCAGAGAGGGGATTCTGGGTTCAGGGAGAAAGAGCCAGCCTGGGCAAGGTACTCTGGGAGCAGAGAGCTGGGTCATCCTCACTGCTACCCCTTTCCCGCCAGAAGACCCCCAGGCTGCCTCCTCAGGCTCACTCCTCCCCCCCTTGGAGGCCAAGATCCGTCAGACACACAGCCTTGCCCGCCTTCTCACCAAATACGCGGAGCAGCTGCTCCAGGAATACGTGAGTGGCAACGGGGCCAGGGGCACCTGGGCAGGCGGGAAGCACAGATGGCAGGAGTCCTCCGCTCTGCCTCCCCTTTTCTCAACCTCATTCCCAGCAGAGGAAGTCAGGGCCCATAATGACGACCAGAACTCCCTCCTGGCTGCACAGCAAACTGAAGGGGCACCCTCTGTGTGCTCTGAGTGCCTCTCTGGTGGTGTTGACACCTCAGTTGAAAGGTGAAGCCACAGGTAGCCCAAGGGATGACAAGAAGCACCATCTGGGAATCAGGGGTCCTGGAGTGTTGTGTGGGCTTCTCCCCTCTCCTCCATTGGTGTTGGTCTCAGCGGGGGGATTTTTCTACCTGGGATATTCAGGAGAGTCCAGGAGACGTTCCAAACATCTAGCCCCAAAGGAGTCCTTTTTGTTTGAGAGACTGGGAGAGACACACAGATCTTCCATCCATTGGTTCACTCCGCAAATGGCGGCAATGGCCAGGGCTGGGCCAGACCACGGTCAGGAGCCAGAAACTTCATCTGGGTCTCCCACGTGGGTGCACTGACTGAAGCACTGAGTGCATTGGCTGCTGCCTTCCTAGGAGCATTAGCGGGGAGCTGGATCAGAGGTGGAGCAGTCAGGGCTCGCAGCGTGGCACAGCAGTTAAAGCTGCTGCCTACAGTCCTGGCATCCCATATGGGCACTGGTTCAAGTCCCAGCTGCTGCGCTTCCCATCCAGCCCTGCTATTGTGCCTAGGAAAGCTTCTGAAGATGGCCCAGGTGCCCTTCTACCTACATGGGAGAGCCAGAAGAGACTCCTCCCTTTGGACCAGCCTAGCCCTGGCTGGAGTACACCAGCAGATAGAGCAAGATCTCTGTCTTTCCTTTCTGCAACTTTTTTTTCTATTTTATGTTTAATTTTATGGTACAATTTCATAGGCTCTGGGATTTCCTCTATTCCCTCCCAAAACTCCCTCCCTGCAACTGATTTCCCCTGTAACATTTTAATAGTATAGTGTTTCATAATCAGTCATAAGTCCATCATTCTGTTATTTAAGTGTATCCTGACATTGCTAGTACTGACAATGGGAGACAGTGCAGCATCCTATTGTCAAGATATATCCAACAGTTTCATTGGGAGTCCATCTTTGGTCTGGGCAATTCTGACTGTCAAAAAGAAAAAAAGTGGAGCAGTCTGGGCTTGAAATGGCGTTCAGGCAGGGCACTGGTGGCACTGCAGGTAGTTCAGGAGCCTTTTCCAGAGGAGGTGGGTCTGCCAGCATGTTTGGTTGGGTAAAGAATCCTGCTGAGGAAAGATGGTGATTTCCCAAATCCCCTGGGAGAGTGAAGGAGTGTGCGGACTGTGGACCTGGCAATTCTTGAGCTCAGGCAGTCAGAGCATTAAGAACCATTAAGCAGAGTGGGGTAACAGAGCTAGCCTCACAGTCCTCCCAGCTTGGGCTCCGATCCCAGCCCTGTCGCTTCTAACATGCGTGACCTGTGAACCAGACGCCAGTGTCTCTTCAACCTCAAGTTGTCCCACATACAACAAAGTCAGCCACTAGCATTTACACCCGTTACTGAGGAAAGCAGAGTGGCTCAGAGTTGAGCCAGTACTGGAACCAGAGGTGGGTAGGGAAGGCTTGCAAGGAGGGGGTTGGGCATCTGCAAGGTGCCAGTCACCTGCGGCATCTCTGTGTTCACATGATAGTTACTCATTAAACCCACTACAGGCACAGAAATCAGGGAAGCAAATGGGAGGCAGTGACACACTCTGGGGGTCCCTGTTCTATGTTAAATGATTTTCAAGAAACCCCTTGGGAGGACAGGAAAGGGAACTCCCCCAACCCCTGTTTTTTATGAATGCGAAACCAAGACTCAAAAAAAGAAAAATGGTTTTACTTGAAACTGCAGGGCTAGGGAGTAGGTGGTGGAGATGGGATTCCAACCCTGCTATGGAAGGTCACAGAGATAAAAGAGCCAATTCTACTGGATGCTTTCCTGGGTCCCGGCCCTGCCTTGAGCACTTGCTGATAGTCGCGTGTGGATCCTATTATCAGAATCCATCTTAGAAGTGAGGTGCCTAAGGCCTTGTTGTTTTATCCCCAGACACAGCAGCCCAGTTGCTAGGGCTTTGTTTGTGAGAAGGGGAAAAAGCAAGGGTGGAGTTAAGAATCCTCAGCCTGGGACCGCGCCAGCGAGGGCGCCGCTCTGACCCGCGGCTGTGTCTCCGCAGGTGCAGCATCAGGGAGACCCCTTCGGGCTGCCAGGCTTCTCGCCTCCGCGGCTGCCCGTGGCCGGCCTGAGCACCCCAGCACCGAGCCACGAGGGGCTGCCGGTGGCCGAGCGCCTGCGGCTGGACGCGGCGGCGCTCACCGCGCTGCCTCCGCTGTTGGAGCTCGTGCGCCGCCTCCAGGCCGAGCTGAACCCGCGCGCGGCGCGCCTGCTGCGGCGCCTGGAGGACGCGGCGCGCCAGGCCCGGGCCCTGGGCGCCGCCGTGGAGGCCGTGCTGGCAGCGCTGGGGGCCGCGGACTCCGGGCCCCGGCCCGAGCCGCCTGCCGTGGCCGCTGCTGCCGCAGCCGCCGCCGCAGCGGGCGTGTTCCCAGCCAAGGTGCTGGGGCTCCGCGTGTGCGGCCTCTACCGCGAGTGGGTGAGCCGCACTGAGGGCGACTTGGGTCCGCTGCTGCCCGGCGGCCCAGCCTGAGGGAGCCGACAGCTGCAGCTGCCTTTGCAGCCTGCGCGCGTGTCTGGCGGGTCCTGACGCCATCGCTCTGTCCCCGCAGGCTGTCTGCTTTTTGCACCCGGGTTCTTTTTCTCAACTAACCCCTGTATCCTGCAGGACGCCCGTGTGCCTCTGGTGCCTTCTGGCTTTGCCCCACTTTCACTCCACCCTAGACCTGCCTCCATTTTTCTCAGAGCGGGATGTGGGGTGTCTCACTCCCTGGGGTCTTTCAGCTCTCCCTCGGGGGGAAGGTGACTCCTGGCATTTTGAGCCCCACGGCCACCTGCTGCGCGCTCTCACCCCGTCCTGTGGGCCCCGGCCCCTCCCTGTACTCTACCCCTCCACCTCCAAACTGGGTCTTATAAAGACTGACAAAAAAAAAAAGTGGCACCTTAGAAGGGTTTTATTTCTGAGAATAAATTAATGCTTTTGTAAATAAAATGTTTAAAGAGAAAAGAAAAGGGAACTTTACCTGTACAGACCACTTTGAGGATGGGAGGGGGGCTGCCTGGTTCCTGAGACCTGCCCTAAAGGGCACTGTGGGATTCTAGAGGGGATGGCCTTCTGTCTGTGGCCGGAACAGAAAACAGGTGTGGCGTGGACCCTCGGTACTTCCGGGATTGGTTTCCAGAGCCCAGGAAGTGAAGCCCCTGCAGGCACAAAGTGGAGCCATGGCCGCCAAGAGGTAGACTAGTGGAAGAAGGAACTCCAGCCGGAAGATAAGCCCTATCTTCACACAGGAAGTGAGGTAGATGGAGACAGGAAGTTATCCCTTGGACATCTCTCAAATTCTAGGAAGAGGATTACTGGGGGCTGGGGAAGGGAGACAGGAAGCCTCACAGGGGGCACATTTTGCCAACCAGGATTACAAGGGATTGCTAACTAGCAAAATGGTCTCAAAATGGAGACCCACACACATCTGGGCTAGGCAGGCCCTGATTGCCCAGGAAATAGTCATAAAGACCCAGCACACAGCTCCTTGTGTCACACAAGGTGTGCCTTCCTCTTGAGCAGGGAAGCCAGGCTGGACAGAGTCTACTGAGAGAGAGAGGAAGTGCTGAGCTCCGGCCCAAGGTCCTGTCCCTCTAGGCTGCATATTTGGCCTTGAGCAGAGCCAGGTCCCTCACTGCTCTGTCTGTCCAGTGACCATACTCCCGGGTCACCACGTAGCCCCGACATTTCCTCTCGAAGGCAGAAGCTCCAAAGGGAACAAGCCCAAGTGTGTCCTCTTCCTTGGGCACAGGCAGCCCCAGGGCCATGGAGATGGCAGCCATGTTGCCCAGCAGGCCTTGCGCCCTAAGTCTTGCAGCACTGAGCTGCGCCAGCAGGACGGGGCTGTCAGGATTCAGGTCGCTCTGGTCGTCTCCCACCAGTTGCAGGTGCTGGCTCAAGGCCAAGAAGGCCTCCTGGGCATGGCTCAGCCGCTCCCCGTCATCCAGGGCATGCCAGATCTTGAAGGAGATGGCGGCAGGAGGAAGACTGCTGAGCTGAAGCTCGGGCGCTGAGAAGCCAGGATCACTGAAGGGGCTGCCCTGGTGCTGGAGCTGTGAGAGGAACAGAGACGGACAAGAGTCAGGGGCAGCTGGCACTCCAATTCTACCTCTTCCATGGAGGAGATGCTCACAGAGTGGGGTCAGGAAGGACTTACCCGGTGACACTGAACCTCAAATCTGAATATTCCTCTTGGGATGATGGATAGAAATGATAGAGAATAGCATCTAGAAAGCCTCTATTAACTAATAATCTGTTAACATCAATGACCTCTGGGATTCTACCACACATTATGACATTTTCGTGAACATAATTATAGATTTTTCCTTTTTTGTTTATTTATACAGTTTAGTTGCTTGCACCTATTAACTGTATTCTCATCAAAAATAAATATTTGGCATGATCACACTGGGATGTCTTTTCTATCATAGTTCTCACCTCCACCAACTCCACAGACAGATCTGAGTAGCTCACATGGCCTCACATACCCACTTCACAGGAAAAGAAACTGAGGCACGAGGACCCAGAGAATAATAGCAGATATGGGGCTGGAATGCAGACTGGATAAATTCACATAGGCCTAGATTATAGCAGTGAGAGAGTAGCAAATGCCAGACCCTCCAGGGGCCCAGCAGATGCTGGGATGTGGGAAGGAGGCAGGGCTAGGCAGGAAGAATTGGCCCAACAACACACTATTGGTTTTGTTTTTAAGATTTATTTTTCTTTTAATTGGGAAAAGGCAAATTTATAGAGAGGAGAGACAGAGAAAGAACTTCCATCTGCTTGTTCCCTTCCCAGGTGGCTGCAACTGCCAGAACTAAGCTAATCCAAAGCCAGGAGCCAGGAGCTTCTTCCAGGTCTCCCACATGGATGTAGGGACCCAAGGCTTTGGGCCATCCTCTGCTTTTCCAGGCCACAAGCAGGGAGCTGAATGGGAAGTGGAACAGCCGGAATATGAACCAGAGCCCATATGGGATCCAGGTAGTTGCAAGGCAAGGATTTAACCACTAGGCTTACCACACCGGGCCCCATAACACCTTGTTTTAGGCAGGCCTTCACATTCACAATTGAAGCAAGCATGAAGCAGACCAAACAGAAAACATCTGTGAGCCCTACTGGACAACAGGTTGCCCTTGTGGACAGAGGAGTGGGTGCCAGGGTCATAGGACTCCCACCCCTTGGTTTTGGATCCTGGCTCTGCCATGTGTCACGTATGGGACCACAGGCACTGGATTCACTGTCATCCAGACTCAGTCACTTAGCATGTAAAATGGGCTGTGATTGCACAGCCTGGAATGACTGGAGGCTTCAGGGTTTGGTCGGTCTCCCCCAGCCCCCGGCTGAGTCCAGCGTCACTCACGTAGGTGTGCAGCAGCGTGGATGTATTCTTCTGCATGTACAGCGCCAGGCTGTAGGCTTGGCGAATGGGCTCAGCAGGTGACACAGGGGCGGCCAGGCCAAGGGCAGGCAGCAGCAGGCTCACCAGGCAGAGCGGGGCTGGCAGGGAAAGCACATGTCACTGTCCCGGGCCCCTCCCGCCTGCCCCTCCTTCCAACCAGCCATCCACCCCCTTGGCCTGCGGTTGTCCTATATATGTAAGATAAGGCAAGAATTACCCAGGCCATAGGTTATTTCCACTTCTGCTCACAGCTCCACTTCCACCCCAGGCCCACGCCTTCTGCTTCCTCCTGGACATTTTCTCTTGGATGTTGGTGAGTCACTCAGCGCCTCCAGTCCTCGACTCTGGACATGCTGCCTGCAGCCACCTTCCCTCCTGTGGTCCTCATCCCACCTGGGCAGGACTGCTCTGGGCTAGGCTGCCTCCTGTGGGAGGCCCCACTCCCTTTCTAACCCTACACATCCCTTTCCACAGCTGCTCTTGTTATTCTATTTCAAGATTTATTTATTTATTCGGAAGGCAAAGTTAAAAAGAGGGGGAGAAGCAGAGTTCTTCCATCCATTGATTCACTCCCTCAGATGGCTACAAAGACTGGAGCTGAGCCAGGCCAAAGCCAGGAGCCTAGAACTCCATATCCATGTCCCATATGTGGGTACCAGGGTTCCAAGCACTAGAGCCATCTGCTGCATTAGCAGGGAGCTAGCTCGGAAGTGAAGCAGCCAAGACTAGAATTCGTGTTCATGAGGGATGCTAGTGTTGCTGGTGGCAGTTTAACCCACTGCACCACAGTGGTCACACCCCCCCCCACACACACACTCTTGTTAATAAATTAAACAATTCATTTAGTTATTTAGAAGCCAGAGCTAGAGAGAGAGATCTTGCATTTGCTGATTCCTGTCCCAGATGACTGCGCCAGACTGAGGAAGCCAGAAGCATTTTCTGGGTTTGCCACATGGTTGCAGGGCTCAGACAGTTCAGCCATCTTCCTCTGCTTGCCCAGATGCACTAGCAGGGAGCAGGGCTGGAAGAGGAACAGCCTGGACACGAAGCAGCATCCGTATGAACTGCAGGTGGTGGCCTTACTGGCTCTGCCACGACATGACCGCTTTCTCCCTGTCTCTCCTCCTCTCTGTGTATCTGACTTTGCAATAAAAATAAATAAATCTTTTTTTTTAAAAAAATCATTGGCTTGCATGTGAACTGGATGGGGAGAACCAGGTGGAGCTAAGTGATTATATCCACTGATGCTTACATGAGCCAGAGTAAGTGCGGGCTGCTCAGGTTTTTGCCACAGTATCAACTGGCAGGTGCTGAGACTTGAGGTAAATCCTGTCAAGCTAGACCATAGAACCACCCAGAAAGTGCAAGATCCAAGGCTGGAAGTGAACCTTGTAGGGAAATTATGGGCACCCCTCTGATGGGCTGCAGCTCTCATGGGTGAGCATGAGAACCAGGGTTGGGGGTGGGCTTTGCTGGACAGGCGGTAGCACCTGCCAGCATGAGTGTGGGCTGGATAGTAGGGTTGGTCAGGCTGAGCTAGGCTCCAGCACTCATGATGTATATAAAAGCCAAATGTAATGTGAGGCAGACTGGACCAGTCTGATGCGCATACCAGGATATATAGTAGCCGAGGCTGGAGGTGGGCCTCTAGGGGTTTACTGGAGAGGGGGGTCACTCCAACTAGGCTGCAGTTCCCACTGGTATGTGTGAGGGCTGAATTGTGGTGGGCAGGGCTGGGTTGGGCTGCAGCATCCATTAGTTTGTGTATGAGAACTGACCCAGCAACTACAACCACCAGTGTGTGTAGACTGATGTGGGTGACAGACTGAGCCAGACTCCATACTGGCTGGCACACACAGGACTCAGGTCTAGGGTCACCTCTGACAAGGTGTCTTTGGGGACCCCTGGAATGGGCCGTTAGACTCAGACCACAGTGAAAGCCACAGGATCTGTGGTCAGACCATGGAGTGCAAATGTTAGAACTGAGTCTCCTCAGTGGTTGAAGTCTGTGCAGCAGATGGCATGCCCAGATGCACATGGGGGACATGACAGATCACTGAGGCTTGCAGAGGACATCTAGTAACCATGGAGGACAGATTAAATGGGACATCTCTCCTGGTCAAGCTTTGACAGTGAGTATCTGGGTAAGTGGACACTCTAGGGTGGACTATGTCAGCCAATGCACCTTGGAAGGATTTCTTCAACCTTGGAGTAAAGAAATCAACAGCATCTCAGAACTATCAAAACCACTTAAGTAATACCCTCAGAGCATGCTCCTCATCAGGGACCCTGGGATGACATAGGTGGCCGTCCCTCTTCCCCGGGTACCAATGTGGTTAGGGTGCTAGGTGAGACCCTCTCCCCTTTTCTTCCCCCTTCTTACAGATGCAGGAAGGAAAAAAAAAAGTGGAAACAATTGTCTCTTTCACTTTCCACTGTTCCTCCATTCTTCTCATCACCCTAATTGGTAGTCCACATGGGCATGCATCCTTCTCAACTATGTAAACAGTATCAAAAAAAATAAAAATAAATTTATTATTTAAAAAAAGGTTTGGCTGGGTGGTGAGTATCTGGCCTGGTGTTGAAGACACCCGCATCCCACATCAGCGTCCCTGGGAGGTGATGTTCAGTTCTGGCTCCTGATTGTAGCTTCCCACTGATGCACAACTGAGAGGCAGCAGGTGGCAGCCCAAGGAGCTGGGCCCCTGTGACCCACGTGACCTAGGTGAGAGGACCAGGTTCCTTGGCTCTTTGCTTCAGTCTGGCCTAGTCAGCCTTATTGCTGGCACTTCGGTTTGGGGGCAGGTGAGCCACATAATGGGAAATGTCTCCCTCTGTCTCTGCTACTCAAAAAAAAAAAAAATAGAGTGGCCGGCCAATGGTTCTGCTGGCTGACCCTTCACCTCCAAACGCCAGCATCCCATATGGACACCAGTTCGTATTCTGGCTGCCTCACTTCCAATTCAGCTCCCTGTTTGTGGCCTGACAAAGTAGTGGAGGGTGGCCCAAGACCTTTGGACCCTGCATCATGTGGGAGGCCTGGAGGAGGCTCCTGGCTCTGTGCTTTGAATCCGCTCAAAGCATATGCTATATCCATTGTAGCTGTGCATTTGGGGAATGAACCAGCAGATGGAAGATCTTCCTCCTTCTCTGTGTAAATCTGCCTTTCTAATAACAATAAATAATGAAAAAAGAAAAGGATGTGTATGCTAGAATAGTAGTATAGTATGTCAAACTGCAGCCTGCAGTGCTGGTATCTCATAGGTACGTCAGTTTGTGTCTTGGCTACATCTTGGCAGGTAGCTGAAGGCAGCCTGAATGTTGGGGCTCCTGTCACCTAAGTGCGAGACCTGAATGAAATTCTGGGCTCTGGGCTTTGATCTGGCCCACTCCTGGACATTTGGGGTAAACCAGTAGATGAAAGATTCTCTCGCTCTGTATCTCTGTACTTTTCAAATAACTTTTTAAAAATCTTAAAACTTTTTGAAAATGTAAAGTGTATCTTAAATTTAAAAAAAAATTTTTATTGGAAAAGTCAAACCTACAGAGAGAAGGAGAGACAGAGAGACATCAGGCATATGCAGCTCCGGCAGGAGTGACCTGAGGTCATCAGCTAGGAAGCAACAGAGTGAGAAGCAAACCCAGGTGGACCTCTTTCCTTCCCTTCCTACAATCCAGACTTTCCAGAAGTTCAGAGAACAAAAGGAAAGGTTCTTTCACTCATTCAGAGTGGATCGGTGCCTCACTTTCCAGCATAGTGGTGTTATACTTTATTTATATATTTCATGGACAGTGGGTTTTTTTTTTGTTTCTTTATTTAAAATAATTCTTTATTATTTTCATTGGAAAGGCAGATATACAGAGATGAGGGACAGAGAGAAAGATCTCCTACCTGCTGGTTTACTCCCCAAGTAGCCACAATAGCTGAAGCTGAGCCCATCAGAAGCCAGGAGCCAGGAAATTCTTCCTGGTCTCCCACATGGGTCCCGGGTCCCAAGGCTTTGGGCCATCTTCTACTGCTTTCCTAGGCCACAAGCAGGGAGCTGGATGGGAAGCAGAGCAATTGGGACACGAACTGGCACCCAGATGGGATGCTGGCACTTACAGGTGGAGGATCAGTCTGTTGAGGCATGGTGCCATCCCTCAACTGTTTTGTCTTTAGAAGGACATTTCTCTGATGCCACAGGTTCCTGTTGATTTGTGTCCTGCTGTGTCCTCATTGCTTAGCCCAGTGCTTCCAGTCTCTAGCTCTGTGCACTTTACATCTGAAGAGTCAACTCACCCCGCATTTGTGCTATTCAAAGGGAACACCGTATTGGCAGCAAGCACCTAGATTTCCCTCTTATCATTACACACACCCCGGTGTAACCAGGAACGGTACAGTGAAGCGACCACTGAGCAGCACTGACACTGTAGCAGCTATTTCAAGTCATCCAGAGGTGATTTACAGGACTCTGGACGGGGCAGGTGGCTAAGCTGCCCCTTGGGATGCCCATGTCCCGTGTCCAGGTGCCTAGGTTCAAGTCCTGGTCCTGTTCCTGCTTCCAGCTTCCTGCCACTGTGAACCCTGGGAGGCAGCAATGCAAGGTCTCCACCTGGCAAACCTGGCCGGCTTCCTGGCTTTCGCCTGGGCCAACCTCGGCTGTTCTGGGCACACGGGCTGGGGTGACAGGATGGCAAGGTGGGAGGGAACCAGCAGATGGGAACTTTCTCTCTTTCCTATGCAAATTACAGCATACAAATACAACATCCACAAGATATACAGTCCGTGGGAGGCAATGTGCGGGTCGTAAACACTGCAAAGCACTGCTGAGGCACTTGATGCTGGACCCCATCCCCGGCGGGAGGCATGTCATTGAAGATCCCCCAGCACCTGGCACCCAACAGACACTGAATAAATTCTCAGTGAATAAGTGATGAAGGCAGCCTTTTATGGGGAAAATCTAGGGGCTCCTAGCAGCTGCCAGGGTCCAGGCACATGAGCTAGAGGGGCCGGAGGGACCTGGCAGGGGTCCCTCCCTTCCTGGCATCCAGTCCCACCTCTGTACCCTGGCCCCCTCACTCACCCGGGTGCCAGCTCATGCTCCCTTCCTTGGCGCCTTCCTCTAGCAGTCTCTGGGCCTTCCCAGGGCACCTGTCCTCCCACCCCTCAGATGCTTTTATCCCTGGGACCGCCCAGCAGGAGGGAAGCAGGCACACCCTATGGGAGGTGGGGGCAGTAGACATGGTCATGGTGAAGCCCCGAGAGGCAGACCTGACCTCCAGCACGTCATGGGAGGAGGTTTGGGAGTGTTGGCCTGGGGGGGCGGTACCAATTCTAGAACATGGAACTTTGGGGACTGCAGGTGCAGACTAGGCAGAGAAGGGGACATAAGTGTGTATGTGGGATCACCCTGTGGCCCCCCAAGTTGGACCTTACACCCTAGCGGCTGGGAGGGAGGGACCAAAGAGGGGAGGGAATTAAGGGGGACAAAGGGGCTGCCCCACTGGCTCCCTGCAGCTCCGCACGTCCTGGGATCCAGTTTCCTGGGGAGGAGGCGGCCCCCTGCTCCGCCCACAGGGACCTGGGCCATCCAGGCCTTCGTTCTTGGAAGAGGATGGGAGTGGTGTGTGGGTAACATCACCTTCAGCCAGGGACACCCTCCTCTGACGTGGGGCACGCGCATGGTCACACTCCTGTGGGTACCTGCTGAGCCCGGGTGCGTCTTCTCACGTGTACCTCCTGGGCATCTGTCCACAAAACAAGATGAAAGGCTCTGCCCTTGGCCTGCACCTACACGTGTCACCCTACAGGGCCCCAGGCGACACCCAGAGGGCACCTGTGTGCCTGCAAACACACACGTGCTCTGGGGATCTGGATCCAGGAGTATCCATGCCCAGCAGCAGAGGAGCTCAGAGGTGGCATCCTCCTGGCCAAGCACAGCATGCAGACACAGGTGGGCTTGTAGGCTGAGGCCCCCTTGCCTGGGCGGGAGCAGACACTGTGAGCCAGTTCCCTTGCGGAGCTTTCTCAGCCTCTCCTGTCAGCTCTGTCCCAGGTTATCCCGCTCACCTGAGCCTGGTGGGCAGCTGAGGGGCACAGGGAAGGACCACACGTTCACTCAGTGATGCCCACTGTGGGTGGTACCCAAGGCAAACTGGGTCCTCTCGGTGGTCACATTGATCTCTGAAAGAGGCAGGATGCTGAGAAGGAGCTAGACCCACAGGATCAGCAGGGGGTTGTTGGGACCTAGATAAGGAGCCTTAGACCCAGAGAGAGACAGGCACTTACCTGGAGTCACCCAGCAAACCCAGGGCAGCTCCTAAGCTGGATTATGAACTGAAGGAATGAGGAGGCTAAAGAGAAACTGGGGTTCAGAGGTGGACAGGGTCCCCAAGATTAGGGGTTGCTAGGGTGGCAGGGTGGCCCTGGGCCAAGCAGGCGGTGATGTCAGAGGATTAGGTGAAGCCATTGAGTGGGTGCACTGAGGCATGGGCCAGGTCCTGGGCGGGGAGGGGCACGAAAGAAGGAGGGGGAAGGGAGAGAGCAGACACTTGATCTGGTGCTATTCACAGGTGGCCTGTGGACGTGGGCCGGGCCTCACCTGGAGGACAGGCCGAGCCCAGCCCGACTCTATCACCTCTCATCTCCCCTGGCTTCTCTCTTTCTCTCTCTATCTCTCTCTCTCTGGAGCCCCAGGAACCCTCCCAGGTAGAGAGACCAGCCCCCAACCTAGGCCCAAGCCAGTTTATCCAAGGCACCCTTGGCCAAGTTCATCAGCTCTGCCACCCTCTTCTACCTGCTCCTGTAAGCTGCCTTGCTGGTTTTTTTTTTTTTTAAAGATTTATTTTATTTTTATTGGAAAGGCGGATATACAGAGAGGAGATACAGAGAGGAAGATCTTCCGTCCAATGATTCACTCCGCAAGTGAGCGCAATGGGCCGATGCTATGCCGAACCGAAGCCAGGAGCCTCTTCCGGGTCTCCCACGTGGGTGCAGGGTCCCAAAGCTTTGGACCGTCCTCAACTGCTTTCCCAGGCCACAGGCAGGGAGCTGGAAGGGAAGCGAGGCTGCTGGGATTAGAACCGGCGCCAATATGGGATCCCAGGCGTGCAAGGCAAGGACCTTAACCACTTGCGCCACTGTGCCGGGCCCTGCCTTGCTGTTTTGATCTTATCTTAAACTGGGACAAGAGATGTTGTGGCACAGTGGATTAACATATCGTCAGCAACTGCCAGATTCCCATATGGTCACTGGTTCATGTCCTGGCTGTTCCACTTCCTAACCAGCTCCCTGATAAAATAACTGGGAAAGCAGCAGAGGATGGCCTAGGTGTTTGGTCCCTGCTGCCATGTGGGAGACCTGGATGAGGCTCAGGCTCCTGGCTCCTGTCTTCTGCCTGGCCCAGTGCTGGCCTTTAGGGAATGACAGTGGAGGGAAGATTTGTAGTTGCTTGATTAGCTAATCCTCCCTTCCTTCAAGCACTGGGGTCCTTACATGAAGGACTGGTTTGTGTCTTGGCTGCTCCACTTCCCATCCAGCTCCATGCTTGTGGTTTGGGAAAGCAGTGGAGGATGGCTCAAAGCCTTGGGAACATGAACACACATGTGGGAGACCCAGAAGTTCCTGGCTCCTGGTTTCAGATCTGCTCAATTCCTACTGTTGGCCGCCATTAAGGATATATGATCCTTCTGTTTCTGCTTCTCTCTGTAAATCCCCAATTAAAATAAATAACATTTTTTAGGGCCTGGCGCCATGACCTAGCGGGTAAAGTCCTTGACCTGAATGCACCAGGATCCTATATGGGTGCCTGTTCTAATCCCAGCAGTGTATTTCACAGGCCTCTTAGGATACAAGGCAAATGAACACCTCATAAAGCTTCGTATCCAGTGGGTAACACAAGCAAGAAACCTCTTGGTGGGGCAGAGGAGCCGGAAGACGCATGGGAAGTGAATTACCCACAGGCTTCCTTAGGATGGTGGTGTTTACACAGTCCTGGAAGATGGGCAGCTTATTGGGTGAAGCAGGGCGACCAGAGGTGGGGAGACCTGGACCAGGGCTGTGAGTTCAAACTAGCTCATCCTCCAAAGCAGAAGGGAAACTAGCTGAGATCAGGGCCTGAAACCTTGGGATTGTCGCCCACCTGGCCGGCAGAGAAACCACACTCACCCAGAGAGGGACGCCCAGGGGACCAGCCTGCATGTCAGACCGGTGCGATTGTTTAAGAAAGAGGGTGAGGTGACAGCGAGCGGGGAGCCTGAGGGGTGCAGGCGGCCGCCTCCCAGGTCATTAGGGGTCAGAGGCGCCAGGGCGCGCGCTGCACCCACCACATAATTTGAGCTGGAGGAATTAGCTGCAATGGAGAACGGGCGCCCCCTGGGAGCAGCGCCGGGTAGTGGCCGCCGGAGGACGGCGCTGCCGAAGGGCGGAGGAGGTGGGCTGCTCAAAATGGGTACGCCTGCCCCTCCAGGGCTTCTTGTCACTAGCGCCTTCTGTCCGGCATTTTGGACTCTCGGACTCCCCGGAAGGCTGCACTGGGAGGGACCTCAAGAAAGGAACCATCATCCAGTGCCCTGTGCCAGAGCCGGGCCTTTGGTGTGAATACTGTCTTGTTTTACATTCCTAACACTGCTTTCCAAGTGGGTAGACTCATCCCCATTTTTCAGATGAGAAACATCGAGCGTTGATAACTTTCCGCGGATGGAGCGGGTCTGGGATTTGTGGCATTCCAGAGATTTTTTTTTTTTTTCCTTTCTCCCGGTTTGAGGGTAAGTGGCATCGGAGCTTTCTCAGGGACAACGGCGGCGTGACTTTCGGCGAGACCACGCCTCCTTTGTGGCCACTATCCTGATTCCTGCCGTTTTCCCAGCCTTCCTTTGGAGTACAAAGCCCTCGCCACGCGAGAAGGCGGACATTCGCTATTCCTGGATCGCCCGGGCATCTTTCCCCCTCATTCGCAGTGATCCCCACTGGTGGTGACATTCATTCTCCCCGACCCTCCTCCACCAGCGAGTTCAGGACTGCATCTCCCGGCATGCCGTGCCGAACGGGCTGCCGGGGCGAAGGGCACCTTCCGTTTCCGCCGGTTCGCGATTCGGCGTGTCCGCCCGGGATGCACATTGCAACAGCCGACGGCCTTTCTCTGGAGAACTCAGGACAGGACTACGTCCCCCAGCAAGCACTAGCGAAGGGAACGGGCGTCCGGGATGCCATTTTCCTTGTAGTTCCTCGCCTCCGTTTCCGCCGGGAGCAATCTCAGCGTTGGACTACAGATCCCATGTCACTTCGGCCTCTCCTTCGCTTCGGCCGCCATCTTTTCCGGCAGTCCCCGCCCCTCTCCCTTCCATTGTCTGGACTGAAGAAAATAGTGGGGAGCTGGGAAGACTACAACTCCCAGCAAGCCTTGTACCACGGGTGGTGGTTGGGGGAGATTAAGAGATTGCAGGCGGGCGAGGTGCCGAAGGTGATTCAACGAGGCGACCGAGAGGCTAGGCAGCCTGCCATCTTTACGGTAGTCTACTTATTCTCTTGGTTCCGCCGTTCTGAAAGAATAGCACAAGCCTAGGAAACTACTCTTCCCAGCGCATCTCCTCAGATCGAATCCTAGTCAAGTGTACGCCCCCTTCCGCCATCTTGCTTGTAGTCCTTATTCCTTTTCACCTTTCCATTGTTCCTGACGAATAGAAATGGCAGCGGGAAGGCAGCAGATGGACTGCGACTCCCGTCAGGTACCACACACGCGGAGGGTTGTGGACAGGAGGCCGTGCGAGTGCCTGGGAAGGAGGTCGGGTCGGAGGAGAAGGCCATCTTGGTTGTAGTCCTCATTCCGCTCCTTCTGCATGGTCTGCAATGGGGAGCCTCGGGCTAAGTGGACTACAGTTCCCGGCATCCTCGGTTCCCAGCTTGGCAGTGCTCCGCCATTTTGCTCGTAGTCCTTGCTGGCCCTAGCGCCTCGTTGTCTTCACGGTAGCGCCCACGGCCTCCGGACTACAACCCCCGTCGTGCCCTGCGCACGTTCCTCCTGAAAAGTGGAGGCGGTGGAGGAAGGGGGGGCAGGGGGCGGGGTTCCTCTGGGAGAAGGAGGGAGTAAGAAGAGGAGGAGGGAAGGAGGGGAGGGGGAAGAGAGGAGGAAGGAGGAAGGAGCTGAGGAGGGATGAGAGAAGCAGCCAGGGTCCCCGGCTGAAGAATCGCGGGGCTGGGGGACCAAGGGGGCTGAGACACTCCTAACTGCCCCCTTCCCCTTTCCCTGCTCCCCTGCATCCTTTCCTTCCACCCTCACGCTTGAGGAGGGGAATTTATTCAAATTTTATTTAAATCCCTGTCTCCCGAGGGTCGCGCGCTGGAGGGGGGGAGGGGAGAGGGCGGGGGTGCGCGCGGGCTGGGGGGCGGGGCTGAGCAGCTTCCTTTGCCCCCCTCCGCCGGCTCCGGAGGCGGTGGGCAGGGGGCCGCAGTCCAGGGGCGGGCCCAGGGGAGGGGGGCAGGTTACAGCGACCCCCCCCTCCCCGGGAACCGGCGGTGGGCGGGGCTTGAACCCCGGAAACGGTGGGGGGGCCCAGGCCTGGCCCTGGACCCCTGGACAGTGGGGGGCCGAGAAGGGGCCAGTTAAAGGGCCGGGGGCGCTGAGGAGAGGCGGGGCGGGGTGGGGGGAGGGGAGCTGGGGCTGGGACCCGGGACTGAGTGGGGCCCGGGGAAGAAGCTGAGCACCCTGCGCCCCAAGAGCCCCCGTTGGCCTGGGGGGGCTGAGGGACTGAGCCCCCCAGAGCAGGACCTCCCCCTGGAAGGGCCGCGCCGCAGCCCGTGGGAGGGCCTCGCCCCCGGCGCCCCCCAGCTCCATTCGCCGCCGTCCCGGCCTCCGCCGGAGGGAGGGGCTGAGCGCCCTCGGGGGGCCGTGGACCCCGGCGTTCTGAGCGTTCTGCGCCCCGCGCCGCCCGGCCCCCCTGCCGCCGATGGCCGCCGACCCGCCGGGAGCTGCCGAGAAGGGAGAGATGGCTCCCGGGACACGTGTGAGGTGGGTTCGTGCGGCTCCTGCTCACCCCGAGACCTGGGCAGCTCCCACTCCCATTCATCCTGGCCCGGTCTCACTAGGCCTTCCCCGCCCCCAGCCTCACCCTCTTCTCTGGTCCAAAATCCTCTCCAGCCTTTTCTTCGATACCTCTTCACCCTGGGGACCTGGCCTGCCCTCCCAGAGCCTGCCTTCCCCCTGCGGACCCCACCCCCCACCCCATGCCGGCCCACCCCACCCCCTCCTGCCATCGCCGCCCTCCAGGCCCCTCCCCTGGAGTGCTGGAGGGCCCCTAACTCCCGTGGATGGGTCTGGAATTCCCTGGAAAGGGGGAAGCCAGGATAAGACTCCGGGAAGAGATCCTGGGGCCTGAGTGGGGCTGGGACCCTAAGGCTCTGGTTTCCCTGGGAAGGAGGCCCAGGAGACTGGGAGGACAATCGGGGTTGGAAGGCAGCACCGGGGCTGAGCCCATCCTGAGATGGGTGGAGGTGTCAGGCCAGGATTCTAGAATCCCAGCGAACCTGCGGGGCGGGGGAGGGGGGTGGCCAGGTGAAGCTGAGGAATCCTAGAGGAGATGGCCTTAGGGCAGGAGTGGGCGGAGCGGCTTTAGGCAGGAGTGGGTGGAGGGGTCGTGGAACCGGAGGGGGTGGACCCGTAGCTTCTCAGGAATCACGAGAATTCCGCTGGATCTGGTGAGGATGCCTAGGTTTGTGGGGCAGGGAGGGATGGCCTTGGTGGATGAGAGAGAAGTGTGGCATTCCAGCCAGGAGTCTGGGCTTATCTTGGAGGTAAACCTGGTGGACTTGGGTCGGGGAGAGCCTAAGGTGTCCTCGCGTTAGGGGAACAGGATGGGAATTGGATCCTCCCGAAGTCACACCCCAGACAGGGCACCCCTACCTTGCTTTGGCAGGAGCTCTGAGAAGAGAGGCCTCTGGGATCTTCCCTGAGCTGGGGCAGGGCTCTTAGGAAGTCTTAGGGGAGGAGTGAGAGCAGGGGGGCAGTTCTTGTGGCCCCCAGAGGAGCCAGCTGGGCTGCCACTGGGCGCCCTGCAGGAGAGGGAGTGGTCCCCTTCACTCAATCCCGCAGGAGGGCTTGCTTCAGCTGCCTAGAGTGGGGACAGCTGCCAGGACTCTGCCAGGCCAGGGATCCCCCACCCGCCCCCAGCCGTGGGTGCTGCATCCGACCTCGCCCCCATCTCCCCACAGCCCTCGGCGTTGCTGACGCCCCCAATGTCGTCGAGCAGCCGGGGGCCGGGGGCCGGAGCGCGCCGACGCCGAACCCGCTGCCGCCGCTGCCGGGCCTGTGTGCGAACTGAGTGCGGGGACTGCCACTTCTGCCGAGACATGAAGAAGTTTGGGGGGCCCGGGCGCATGAAGCAGTCGTGCCTGCTCCGGCAGTGCACCGCCGTGAGTTCCACCCCTGCCATGTCGGGCACCTTGCAGCGTGGAGGGCCGCTGGCCCAGACACCTGGGCTGGCCACAGCTAGTTCCAGAGAGCACCAGGGAGCCGCCATTCCGCCTGCTCACTTGCTTCCCTTCCTTCATTAGTTGGTTGAAATGTACATTTTCATCCTTGGCTCCTAGCTGGGGGTGTGCAGGGGGTACCCAAGGGTGTGGAGTCCCTCCCTCCTGGCTCCCTCCTCCCCTGCTTTCCAGAGCCCCTAGAGCAACTCCACCCCCACTGGACCACTCCCTAGAGGTCTGCAAGGGGGCCCAGCCCAGCTCGGACCTCTTCTGGGCTCATCTGGGTGGGATGGCATTTGAGACCAGGCTCATACCCCTTTATGTGACCTTGAGTATATCCCTTTGAACTTGAGCTACCTTCCCTGTAAAACTGTTTTTTCTTTGCTGAGTTGTAAAGATGAAACAATAGCATGGACGTGAACCTGCCGTGCGCCAGGCCCGGCACCCAGTAGGTATCGGGGAAACGTGGGTTTCCTCCTTGCCTTCCTCAGCCTTTGAGCCTCCCCCGGCCCGGCCCCACCCCAGCAGCCCCAAGCCGCCAGCTGCTTCCTGCAGCCCCCTCCCCAGCCGGCACCTCCTGCTCCTCTTTCCTGGTTGGTCTCTTCGGCCCACAGCCTCTGTCTTCCTTTAGCTCCTGACTCTTTGCCTTGCTTTCCTATTTGTTCTCTCCCTGTTTTGTCCTTGATCTCCTCCTCCTGTCCCGCAGCCTCCAGCATCCCTGGTAGGATTCAGTCTTTTCCACCTTTGTGTCCTTGAGAGTCACAGTGTTGGAGGGTTGTTTCCTTAAGTATTCCCTGGAGTCCACCAGAACCCCTACATTGCAGGCACGAGCGCCTAGGAAGCCCCCGCAGCTCACTCTGAGTGTACCTTTTGCATTTGCCTGTGGTCTGCAAGCTGTTGCAGCACGCTTGGCCACTGTGTCCCCAGTGTCCCCCCGTCCCCCTGCAGTCCTGCCATCTAGAGCTGCTTCGCCCCGTCCTATAGGTGTAGATACGTAGCTTGTTAAATACGGGAGCAGGCTTCAGGATCTGGCCCGGCGTGGCATAGGGCTTCTGAAGTCTTCTGCTAGCTGGCCAGGACCCCCAAAAGCAGGGGCTTTGGTTTCAGGGTCCCTGATGCCCCCTCTCCCCCAACAGCCCGTGCTCCCACACACAGCTGTGTGCCTCCTGTGTGGGGAGGCTGGGAAGGAGGACACCGTGGAGGGAGAGGAAGAGAAGTTCGGTTGGAGCCTCATGGAGTGCACAATCTGCAACGAGATCGTCCACCCTGGCTGCCTGAAGGTGACAGCCCCAGGGAGCCCGGCGTCTGGGGGGGCCAAGCGGCCCCAAGCTTGCTGGCGCCCTTCACCCGCCCTTTGCCCTCCTACCTGCAGATGGGAAAGGCTGAGGGTGTCATCAATGCAGAGATCCCCAACTGCTGGGAATGCCCTCGCTGCACCCAAGAAGGCCGCACCAGCAAGGTAGGGCTGGGCTGGACCAGATTGGGGGATGGTTCCTGGAAGCTAGCGGGTCAGCAGGTCCTTAAGGCCGGCTTCCTTCTGTCTCCCCAGGATTCAGGTGAGGGGCCGGGCCGCCGCAGGGCTGACAACTGCGAGGAGGGCGCCAGCCTGGGGAGTGGCTGGAAGCTGACAGAGGAGCCACCACTTCCACCGCCACCGCCCAGGCGCAAGGGCCCCCTACCTGCTGGGCCCCCCTCTGAGGATGTACCTGGGCCCCCCAAACGAAAGGAGAGGGAGGCAGGGAATGAGCCCCCCACTCCAAGAAAAAAGGTGAGCCGTAGAGCATGCTCACTAAGTCTGGCAGGGGTTTCTGGGAATTGTAGTCCTGGCCATTTTGGAGAGGATGTGGGCTTGGGTGGCAGGTCCTGAGTTTCCCCGAGGGGGTTGTTGTTTTCCTGGGGAAGATGGAACGTGCTCCAGGCGAAGGCAAGGTCCAGGTGAGGCCGAACTGGCCCTGGCCAGGAAGCTTTGCAAGCCCAGGGTGGTTTGAAAAGGCAGGAGAGAGCATGCTCAAACTGACTGCTACCCAGGAGGTGGAAGGAGGGGCTGGAAAAAGCCTGAGGGGGGAAGAAAGGAGATGAGAGCATGCTCAGTGAGCCCAGACACTGGGTGTAAGGTGAACATGTTCAGAGTTCTCCCTGGGATGGGGACTTCTGGGATTTGTAGTCTTAAGAGGAAGGCATGGACCTTAGTTCTTTGGGCAGTGAGGACCTAATGGGGTATCTCTCTTCCCCCGTTTCTCCCCCTTGCCCTGGTAGGTGAAAGGAGGCCGAGAGAGGCACCTGAAGAAGGTGGGTGGAGACGCCTGCCTCCTCCGAGGATCGGACCCAGGCGGCCCTGGCCTTCTGCCCCCCAGGGTTCTGAATCCGAGCCAGGCTTTCTCGTCCTGCCACCCTGGTCTCCCTCCCGAGAGCTGGGAGGTGTGCCGGGGACCTCCTCCCTCCCCTCCCACCTCACCTTGCTCCACCCTCTACCCTCCACCCTGCAGACAGCTCACCTTGCCCTGCCCTAGCCCTGCTTGGCCCCGATGGGTGTCTGGAAGGGTTGGGTGGGAAAGTGGGTCGGGTCCAGGCTGCAGGAAACTCTGACTCTCCAAGAGCCCTGGGAGTGTCTCCTGGCCTGTTGGCTTCATCTCTGCAAGCCGAGTTCATGTTGCTTCTTAGCTGCAGGGTTTGGGTAGGATCGTGGCAGCATGTTGTCTGTTTGGAACCTCAGTGTTCTCATCTGTAAAGCGGACATGCCTTTAGTCCCATTCCCAGCCTCACCTGCCTCTCCCACAGAGCTGCATTAACCTAGATAGGCCCTGAGAGTCAGTGAGCTTTGAAAGCAGTCAGATGAATTTAGACTGAAGGGGAAAGAGGCCCAGAGAGGTGGGAGACTGGCCCAAGGTCACACAGCAGTTGCACCCGCTTGAGTCCTTGGCACCGATACACAAAACTTGTGTTCAGACGCCTGCCGTGCTGTTTGTGGGTGTGCAACTCCAGGCGTGTTGCTGGGTCCATTTTTACCTGTTTCTTATTTAGCAAGCGGGGTCCATGTTGTTCAGCACAAGAGAACACTGAATGAATAGAACAAGTCAGAGTGATGTGGGCCATGTGTGGGTCCTGATGCTTCCTGGCATGGTGCGTCCAGCATGGGTGATGGCAGTGTCAGACAGAAAGGTGACAGGCAGACTGGGTCTCGGAACCAGAGTCTTGAACGGCTTTCCATACTTTTCTGCTCATAGAGATTTGGAAGCCCCTGAAATCCCCAGCCCCTTGGGGCCGGAGAGAATGAAACTGAGTCCCACTGTAGGGCAAACTTGGCTGAGGTCTTGCAGTGTGTAGGGGCATTGACAGGGCTGGAACTCAGCACTGTCCCTTGGGCTACTCATCCCCTGGGACCTCCTCAGGGGTCGGGGGTGGGAAACAGCACGCCCCAAGCCCTAGAACAGCCTCCCTATGTCTCTGCAGAAACCAAAGCCGCCTCTGGCCTCTGCCGAGGGCCCGGCGGTGCCATCGCCATCACCACAGAGGGAGAAGCTGGAGCGATTCAAACGGATGTGCCAGCTGCTGGAGCGGGTGCCCGATACCTCCTCATCCTCCTCGGATTCCGACTCGGACTCCGACTCCTCGGGTACCTCACTGAGTGAGGATGAGGCCCCTGGCGAGGCTCGGAACGGGCGACGGCCAGCCCGGGGCAGTTCTGGCGAGAAGGAGAACCGTGGGGGGCGGCGGGCTCTGCGGCCTGGCACTGGGGGGCCCCTGCTCAGCTGGCCCCTGGGCCCCGCCCCTCCACCTCGGCCCCCTCAACTGGAGCGGCACGTTGTGCGGCCCCCACCTCGGAGCCCCGAACCTGACACACTGCCTTTGGCTGCTGGATCCGATCACCCGCTGCCCAGGGCCGCCTGGCTCCGTGTCTTCCAGCACCTTGGGCCCCGAGAGCTGTGCGTCTGCATGCGTGTCTGCCGGACTTGGAGCCGCTGGTGAGTGCCCCACCTTGCCTGTCCGGTGCCACCTGGCTTCGCATCTGCCGTGCGACCGGGTGACAGAGCTCTGGTCCTCTGGTCTTTGCCCAGCCTCGTTTGTGTGGCATTTGGGGCCTTCCTGTAGTGTGCGATGTCACTGTGAACTACCACCCTTGTTCAGAATGAGTCCCCCAAACCCTCCCAACAGCCTGTGAGGTTGACATTATTAGCTGCTTTCTCAGCAGAGGCCCAAGGTCATGGGGCACAGGAGAACAGGGGATTTGAACTCGGCCCTTTCTGGCTGCAGAGGTTTGCCTGCTGGTAAAAGCTATTGATCTCAGGAGTGCATGAGTACACAGGCCCACATGCTGGGTGCTGAATTTTTTTAAGTATTTTATTGTATTTGAAAGAGTTACAGAGAGAGTGAGAGAGAATCTTGCATCTGCTGGTTCACTCCCACATGGCTGTAAGAGTTAGGGCTGGCCCAGGAAGAAGCCAGGAGCTTCTTCTGGGTCTTCTATATGTGTGCCAGGGGCCCAAGCATTAGACTATCTTCTGCTCCCTTTCCCAGGCACATTAGTAGGGAATTGGATGGGAAGTGAAGCAGCCAGCACTCTCCAAATGGCTGTAACAGCCAGGGCTGGGCCAGGTTAAAGCCAGCAGCTTCACCCAGGTCTCCTATGTGGTGGCAGGGGCCCAAGTGTTTGGGCCATCTTCTACTGCATTCCCAGGCCATTAGGAGAGAGCAGGTTCACAAATGGAGCCGCCAGGTCTCGAACTGGTGCCCATCTGGGATACCGGCTATATAGGCACTGGCCCTTCCTGATCTTTGTTCTGAGAACAGTCTGATTCTTGGTGCTGTTTCTGTGTGTGGAAGCCCTCCACTCAGATGGCCTATGCCAGTGCCAAGGCTGCCATGCATGCCCGCCTGGCTCCGCTCTGAACTACTTTCTTCTCAGGATCTGTTGCTCACACCCTTGGCCCTCACTTGCCCTCAGTTCTTCCCCTTTCAGCAAAATTCTCCCTCCACCTCCTCCTGGTAGACTCCCCCAGCAGCTGGTCCCCTGATAGCGGACAAGAGGCCTTGGGCTCCTTGTCAAACCTCCGTTCACGAAGTATCCATTTTTTGTGTTCCCATGGGTGGCTGGCGTGGCAGGCAGAGCATGTGTCTATTTTATCTTTGGGTCCCCAACCAGAGTCAAAGGGCAGCAGATAAATGTTCCCCGAAATGAGCACTTTCAGGTCCTTTCCCATGCCCATTCTGGGGACCTCCCGCACACATGTTCCTCTGTGTAGCCCCCAGGGTGGGGCGGGCAGAGGCCTGAGGGACACCTGAAGCCACAGCAAGCATCAGTAACTGAACTGAGCTCCCACGCCGTCCCTCTGGGACAAGACCTCGGGCACCATTCTGGGGTCACCAGAAGCTGAGAAGGCGACAGAGGATTTTGGGGTTGGGGGAGGGGACTGCCTCCTCTGATGCATCGTGTGCTGTGCACTGCGGGCCAGTTCCCTAACTTCCCCTTACCTTGATGGCTTCAGATGGGAAACCAGGATGTGCAAAGCCGCTGCTGCACGGGAAGGGCAGGGTTCTGGGCCTGGGCTGGGGGAGCTGCTGAATGACCCAATTGTGATGGCCATTCCCTGAGTCAGAGATAGGCGCTGAGCCCGGAGAAAGCCCTTCTGCGCCCTTGAGGCACACCTGCAACAGAAAAACAGACTTCCAACAGTGGTGGTTAGTGATGGCAGGGACGTGGGCTGTGGCCCCTTCAAGGCCGGGCCTGAGGTCCAGATACGGAAAGGACCTGGTGTCAGGCGAGGGAAGGCTTGTGGCCGGAAGAGGATGAAGCAGAGAGGCTGGGCCGCACTGGTTCCAGGATGCCAGCATGTTTTTGCAGTTGTCTCAGATGGAGCGACATAGTCATTGCCTGCGGTCTCTGCACATCTTCCTGTATTCCTTCAATCGTCTGCTCCCTGTGCTGCGTGCAGTGTGCACTGGCTTTGTGAATAGTTGCCTACTGTATTGTTCAGGGACTAAGATTTTTAAATATTATTTAGAGAGTAAGAGATCCTTTTCATCTGCTGTTTCACTGTCCAAATAATTGCAAGAGGCCACAGGCAGAACCCACAGTTCCATGTGAGTGCAGGGGTCCAAACCCTTGGACTATCTGATCATCTACTGCCTCTCCAACCGCATTAGCAGGAAGCTGGATGGGAAGCAGCCGAGTAGCTACGACTCAAAACTGGTACTCCAGAACAGCATGGCAGTGTCACAAGCGGCAGCTTAATCCACTGTGCCAGGCCAGCCCTTTGCTGCTTCCTCTGTGTCTCAGCTATTTGCTATCCATGGTGGGTTGGATGTGTGGATACAGAGGCCTGACTGCTCTCCTTTTACTGAGGTTAAATGAGGTGCTTCCTGGAAAGCACTTAGTACCATGCCCGAAGGGGCACTAAATGCCCAGGATAATGGCATCTTTCAGGGAGCTAGGCGGGGCAGGGCTGAGCAGGGGCCACTCTCCCCAGCATAGGAGCCAGGCTAGTGGCAGTTGGCAGTGGGGAGCTGAAAATCAAAAACAAAATATTGTTTATTTGTTCATCTACTCAAAGGCAGAACAAGTGAGAGAGTCTTCCATCTGCTGGTTCACTCCCCAAATGCCTGCAACAGCCAGGCCTGGGCCAAGCCAGAACCAGGGGCCGGGCACTCACTCGGGCACCCACTGATTTCCCCTTACCAGCCAGATAGGAAATGGAGCAGCTGGGACCCCAAACCAGCACTCCAGTGGAGGATAGGGGTATCAGGCAGCTGCTTAACTGGCTTTGCCACAATACCCAAGAACTTTGTGAACAGACACCAGTGTCTCGGACTTGTGACTTGGTGACCACTCTCAGCTGAGTCTCTGGCTCAGCAGCCTCAGTCCCCAGGTATGGGTGTTAGAGCGGGGAGCAGGCTCCAGGAGGAAGTGAAGCGCCTCGGGTGGACACGTGTGTGGTGGTGAACAGCCTGTGGGCCAGGCGGACAGTCAGTGGGACAGCTCCAGACCTCTGGCTCAGGTCCCAGCGAAGACAGGAGCTTGGGAAGGATAGCGGCCTGGATAAAGAGGACAGAAAGCAAAAGGTTTGCCCACAGGAAGGATTATGGCACTGTAGGTGAAGCTGCCACTTGGAACGTCCATACCCACATCAGGATGCCCGGGGTTGGGTCCTACCTCTGCCTCTGGTTCTGGCTCCCTGCACGCACACGCACCTGTGAGTTGGCAGGTGATGGCCCTGGGACTTTCAGCCTGCCCCCTTGGAGGAGACCTGGTTGAGACATGCTGGCTCCTGCTTGCCATGCGGACTCTGTTGAGAACAGAGGTTCAGAGGGGAAGGCTAGAGGTAGCCTTGGAGGAGGAAATGCCCAATGCGTAATGGTGAGTGATGACAGTAGGTCAACAGGGGGCAGTTGGCTCCAAGGAGGCCATGGTGTCCATGGCTGTGTGCTGGCAGAGGAAGCCAAACCGCATGGCAGGGAGTTGATGCCTCTAAGGTGGGGACTTGAGCTGCTGGGTCTTGCCATGTCATTGGCTTCTAGAATGGCACCTCGCGGAGTTGAATGACTATACATGAAAGGCACCAAGGATGGAGCATGCAGACTTGCTGTTGGGTGGGGCTGGTGAAGGGGTCAGAGGAGGGGGAGTAGGAATGGTAGGCTTTCCTGTCTGGTGGCTTGGGGAGTCAAGTACAGGGCTGGTGTGGGCTGAGAGGGGTGCAGGAAGAGGGGTGGGGAGGAGGCCAAGAGGGAGCTGCATGCAGGGTCAAGGCCAGTAGGGTTGGGGACAGATTGGAGCTCTGGGAAGTGACAGTTGGTGGGGAGCAGCGAGGGCTGGCCCCCTCAAGAGAGGTTAGGACTGAGATTTAGGGTCTTGGGAGTGGACCTAGGAAGGTGACTTGGCAGGGGTGGCCTGGAGCCCAGGAGAAGGTGACAGGGAGAGGGAACTTGATGGCCAAGCCCTGCCTGCCTGGGGTCATGGCCTTGGGCTCACTGGGCCTTCCCCGCTCCGTCTCGGTGCCCTGCTCTGCATCAGTGAGCACCTGTCGGCGTGGGACTCCCTCTCTCACAGCAAGCTCCTGCTGCCCTAGTGGGCACTGGGATGGGAGCCAGGCCCTTGGTACCTGCACTAAACCCTGGCCCTGTGCTGTCTGCTCTACCTGGCACAGCAAACCGTGTCCAAACAAGTGCTGGCCTTGCCTTTGCTTCCCACCTTGTGAAACGGAGACCCCAAGGAGAAAAGGCACTTGCTTGAAGTTCCCCAAAGCATGGAGGTGGCAGAGCTGAGGTTTGGGTCCAGGGCAGTTCACGCGTCTCGCCTCCGGGCTCTGTGGCTTCAACCACTGGTGGCCTGGCTGCCTTGCCCAGGACCGCTGCCACAGCCTCCCCCCTGCCACCTCCGCACGCTGAATCCAGGCTTCCATCCAGACACTGGTGGCGCAAGCCCTGGCTCCGCCCCTGCTTGGTCGCTGGGGGCCCTGGAACAAGTTTCTCAACCTCTCGGGGCCTTTTTTTCTTAAACCATAAAAAGGTGATAAAGTCATGTCTGCCGCTTTAGAGCCACTGTGGGAGAGAACAGTACTCTGGGCCAGCAGTGACTGTTAGTGCCGGAGGCCTCATGGTGTGGCATGACCACGGCCCCTTGCCCCTGCTACCTGGCTTCCCCGCACTCTGTGATGTGTCTTGTCTCTCTCCAGGCCCAGCACAGCTTCTTCCTGTCTCCAGGTGCTCCTCCCATCCCATCTCCTTTCTAGAATCTCACCAGCTTTTCACACAGTTTCACTTGGGACATGTCATTGTTGTCTCAGGAGGCGCTCTGCCTACATCCTGGAATTGACCTTCCTTGTGTCCCCCATAACCTCGGGCTCCCCTTTTGTCTCTTTGCACTGTGTGGTCGGTGGGAGTCAGGTTCTCCCTGGCTGCTGGCCCCTACTGGTTTCACGAAAGGCAACATGGCTGATGAAGAGCCCCAGCCCAGAAAGTCTCTAGGGAGACTTCCTGGAGGAGGAGGCAGGAGGCCAAGCCTTGAGGGATGGTGGAATGTCCGGCATTTCTGGCAGAGGTACACCACCCATACTGGAAAGACACAGGTGGCTTTGGGCTGGCCGGCAGGTAGATTGGCCTGCTCTTAAGGAATCTGTTACTGAGCCACAGCAAGGGGACCCAGGAGCTCCCCAGAAAGAACTTCCTCCTGCCCCTGGGGCTTCAGCTCCTAGTGGCAGTTGAGCTGGGACCAAGGGTTGGGCCGGATAGGGCAGAGCTAGGCTTTGGCTGGGTGGAAGGGCAAAGGGCAGGAGGTGGGCCGGGTATAAGCTGGCTTTGGTTTTCCTTTTCCTTCTTTGAGTTGAGATCTGCCTGTGTTTACTGGCTGAGTGAAAGGCATCGGGGAGGGAGGAGAAAGCTGAGGCCATGGTGGTGGCACCGAGTACAGCATCCCTATCTGCTCTGGGGCTTGGGAGAGCTGTGCCCACCTGCCTGTACCTGCTGAGGCTCCGAATGGGCTCCCTCTGTTTGTGTTGTATTTATTTTGAATGGTATAACAGGCTTATGTGAGAGAAAACTGATTTTAAGAGCAAAAGAGGGACTGGCTCAGGAGGAATTCCTGGGCTACAGGTCCATGGAGCACTAATCACTAGCCTGGGAGAAGCCCTCGGGCATGGGGGGTATAGGAGGCTCTGCCCGCCTGCTGCTTCAGGCCCAGCCAGGCCAGTCCAGTGGGAATTTCCTGATTGGCCTTCTGGAATTCCTAGCTGGAAGACTGTTGAGTTCAGAGGGACTCCAGCATCCCACAGCTCAAGAGCAGATTCCCGTTGGGGGTGGGCACAGGCTCCTTAAGGGCGTTGGCGAAGCCCTTCTCCAGCTCCCTGCATGTTGGGCAAGGCCAGGCTTTCCCTGGCAGGGATCAGCAGGCCTGTTGTGTGTGGTTCAGTTTTCACGTGTGCATGGCTTCAAGACTCAGCCCCCCACCCCCAGCAAGTGTGAGAAGCCATGGTCGAGGGGTGCTGGGCAGCGCTCGGTGAGGGCGTCCCGCAGTTGGCTTTGGCACTGGGGAGGTGGAAGCAGAAGAGACCCAGAGCTGCCCGTGTGGAGCTTGGATTCCAATCGGAGGAACTCGCCTAGTCCAGCTGGGGTGCTGGCGGGCAGGCACAGCATACGTGGCTTCAGGCCAAGAGCAGGATGGATGGGTGCCCAGGAGCCAGCTACCAGGGCAGCCGGGGAAGGTGGGGGCCGGGACTGCTGGCAGAGCCCTCTGGCATACATCAAACAGCGTGTGTGTGTGTGTGTGTGTGTGTGTGTGTGTGTGTGTTTGGTGAAGTGCTTTAGAAGCTGCAGGGCTGCCAATATGTAATTACCCCCATTTGATCTTGCAGCAGCCCTGTGGGGCAGGCAGAGTCGGCATCATTATTTTCATCTTATAAACGGGGCCTCTGAGGCTCTGGGAGAGGAGTGCACTTGCCCAGGGTCTCACATCTAGTTGGGATGGAGTTGGGGCCCAGAGCCTGTGCTCTTGGCCCCAGTTCAGGGGTTTCTTGCATTGCCTCCCCCCCACTGCTGTCTTGTGTGGGCCTGCAGAGGGCTGGGGTGAACCGTTGGGGCGTGGGAATTGTGGGGATGCTGGGCTCCCTGGGAAGTGTGGATTGAGGTCTCTGTCTCCCCCGTGTGGCTATCAGGTGCTACGACAAGCGTCTGTGGCCTCGAATGGACCTGAGCAGGCGAAAGTCCCTGACCCCGCCCATGCTCAGCGGGGTGGTGCGCCGCCAGCCCCGGGCCCTGGACCTAAGCTGGACAGGTGTCTCCAAGAAGCAACTCATGTGGCTTCTGAACCGACTGCAAGGTAGGGCAGGGTGGGGCAGGGACAAGCCTGGGATGGGGTCCTTGTGGCACCCACTTCCTGACACTTGGTCACTCCTCCCCTTCCCCCAGGCCTGCAGGAGCTGGTGCTCTCTGGCTGCTCCTGGCTCTCTGTCTCTGCCCTGGGCTCAGCCCCACTGCCAGCTCTGCGGCTCCTGGACCTCCGCTGGATCGAGGACGTTAAAGACTCCCAGCTCCGCGAGCTGCTGCTGCCTCCTCCTGACACCAAGCCAGGTGCGGCCTCTGCTCCTCTGTAAGATGGGCTGAGAGTGTGTATGTGTGTGGGGGGGCTCCAAGGTCTGTTCTCTCTTGCAGTGAACGTGAAAATATGGCAAGAAAAGAAATGACACCATAAATCTGTCCATTCGCCCGCTGTGTACTATTGATAGGTTTCTCTAAGGGAAAGTCAGGCCATGGAGGCAGAGCGAGAAGCTGGGAGCCAAGGCCTGGCCTCATGGCAGTGGGGACACTGAGGCCTCTGGCCCCCACCTATGTTTGTCATGTCATTCCATATGTGACCACCAGTGTGTACCCCGGTCACTGAAGCCTAGCCTGGCCGGCCTGCCCCTGGTCTGTAGTCTGCGTGCATTCCACATACTGTGTCTTCTCACCAGCTCCCTGAGCCTCGGGCCAGGGGTCGTTTGCCCACCCTTCTCTCCCCTCAGCTTTATCCTTCATCTCATTGAAGCTTCGTTGTCCTTCTGGCCACTTCTTCCTGCAAGCCCTCCCTGACCCTCCCTTATGGAGCGGTGGCCCTCTCTGCCAGCAGTCTTGGTTAGTGTGGCACTGGACGGATGGGAAATGGTTTAAGAGCTGCTGCTCCCGCTGCTTTTTTATCTGAGGGGCAGACAGACACTCCCCCCCCCACCCCACACCTGCTATTTCCACCTGCTATACCACCCCAGGTATTTCCAGTGGCCCTGGTCAGAAGGTCAAACGAGGAACCAGGAGCTCAGATAGTGTCTCCTGTGTGGGTAGCAGGGACCGAGCCCCGAAGCCCTCACTGCTGTTTCCATGAGTCTACACAAGCAGGAAGCTGGAGTCAGGAGTTGGCGCTGGGCACTGAAGCTGGCCCTCAGATAAGGGCTGCAGGGTCCAGCCTCCCCCACTGTGCCCGGCTCCCAGAGCCCCTTGCTCTATGCTGTGCTCAGGAGGAAACAAACCCGGGCAGAAAGGCAGGCCAACAGATACACATCCATCCCCATGGCAGCCCTGGAATGGGGAGCTTCCGCCTTTGCGGACCAAGTTCTGCAGGCACCACCAGGCCAGAGCTCCAACCTGCACTGTCTACTCTGAGTGGGAGTGCGCTGTACCTAGCGGGCACAGGCAGGAGGGCAGGCAGGCCACAGGAGTCATGCTGTGAGCTGATGGTTCTGTGGCCCCACCTCCTCCCGCCTGACTCACCGGGATTAGCAGCCCACAGGAGCAGCCTCGAAAGCTGCGTGTTGGGACTACACACCCTCTGCTTGCTCCTGCTCTCCATGCTCCCACCTTAGTGTGTGTCAGACAACCCCTGTCCCCCTCTTTTTCTTTTTATAAGATTGATTTATTTATTTGTATTGTAAAGTCAGATAAACAGAGAGGAGGAGAGACTGAGAGGAAGATCTTTCATCCACTGATTCACTCCCCAAGTGACCACAGTGGCCAGAGCTGAGCCAATCTGAAGCCAGAAGCTTCTTCCCAGTCTCCCACACGGGTACAGGGTCCCAAGGCTTTGGGCCGTCCTTGACTGCTTTCTCAGGCTACAAGCAGGGAGCTGGATGGGAAACAGGACCGCCGGGATTAGAACCGGCATCCATATGAGATCCCGGCACATTCAAGGCAGAACTGTAGCTGCTAGGCCACTGTGCTGGACCCAAGATTTGTTTTTATAAGAAAGGCAGATCTACAGAGAGGAGAGAGAGTGAGATTTCCGTCCCCTGGTTCACTCCCCAAATGGCCACAAGAGCCAGAGCTGAGCTGATCTGAAGCCAGGAGCTTCTTCTGGATCTCTCATGTCATGCAGGGGCTGAAGAGCCTGGATCATTCTCCATTGTGGAGCAGTTGGGACGGGAAGCCCATAGAGAGTGCATGCATGTACTTGCATGTGGAGGGTTAGTCAGTTGAACCATCGCACCAGCCCTTTATCAGAACCGTCAGTGGCTCAGCTTAAGTGCCACTGTCTCAGTGACACTTCTTACTATTGTCTCCCTCTGCTGAGCAAGTGGCAAGTGACTTTTCCTTCATGGCCTTTTTCTGGGGTCCAAGGTGACAGCGTTCCTTACAATCAGCAGGGCTTGCAAAATTGAGTACCCCCAGAGGTGATTTGGCAAGGGACAGAATGGTGTGGAGTACCAGGGAGTGGCCGCCACGTGGCTCAGTGATGCCAGCTGTGACAGCTTTCCATGCAGAAGCCCTGTATGGAAATATCTTTCTGAGCAAATGTCTTTATTGCAGAGTTAGTCATTAACTGGATACTTTGCAATACTACACACGCCCCACGGAACGCGCCTGTGGTTTCGTGGGTTCAAGACGGCTGACTGGGTTTGTGTCAGGGCTGGCTGGGCTGGCTGGCACCCATGGTTATACTGAATTGACCCTGTCAGTCAGTCACCCGGGCCTCCAGGCTGTCCTGTCTAATCCTGCTGTTGAGCTGCCGTTTTCCCACCTGGACAGGAATGGCAATCTGAGAGTTTGCCTCCTGAGACTGCCATGCTGACGGCATGGCTATCCTCCATCATCCTGGAGCAGTTGCTAGAAAAATAAACCCTGAAGTCCAGCCCCAGAACATACCAGGTGCTCTCCCCCTATACTCCCTCAGGTACCTGCAGTGGCCGAGGCTGGGAGTGGGCAGCTTGGGGACTGTGTGCCACAGCTCTCTGTGGACGCCCAGGCCCTGCCACCTGCTTGAACCATCCTTGCTGCCTCATGGGATTGTAGCAGGGAGCCGAAGCCGGGAGCCAGGAGGGGCAGGCCTTCTGACACAGCACACAGGCACCTTTACTTGTTTATTTATTTAAAAGGACAGAGGAGCAAAAATTTCACCTACTGGTTCATCCCCCAGTATCTGCAATAGCAAAGGCTGGGACAGGCTGAAGCCACAAGTTTGGATTTCCCGCGTGGGTGGTGGGGACCCAAAGACTTGAGCCATCACCTGCTGCCTCCCAGGGTGTGCATAAGCAGGAAGCTGGAACCAGAATTAGAGCTGGGATCAGAACTCCTGTGCTCTAAAGAGGAAGGAGTGTGTCCTAAGTGGGGTCCTCATTGCTGTGCCGAGTGCCCATCCTGTCCCAACAGATACCAGACACCCAAGCCAGGGCCTTACAGCAGCATTCCTGAGCCTCTGGGCTGCTCTCATGTGAGAGGCAGTGGCAAGAGAGGGACAGGCCAGGTGCTTTGTGTGCAGAGTAGGGGTCTAAGCCCTTCAGCCCCGGGGAAGGAGCAGGTGGGAGCACAGCCAGGGCTGGGCTAGGCCGATGCCAGGATGATAGGACCCTCAGGTGGGTGCAGGCGCCCAAGCATTTGATCCATTCTCTGCTGCTTCCCCGGGCACATTAGCAGGAAGCTGGATTGGAAGTGGGGCAGCTAGGACTCAAAGTAGCACTCTGCTGGACTCTGACCTTTCCAAGTGGACCACAGTGCCTACCCCCCAGCAGGCCGTTGGCAGGGCTATTTGTGCAAGTTGGGGCTGGGTAGGGTGGGTCAGACTTGGAGTTGGGGATGAGATCCAGTGAGAACTGGAATGTTCTGCTAAGGAGCCTGGACTTGTTGAACTGCTCTGAGACGTTTGTCAGAGGAGTAAGTTCCTGTGGGTGGCTGGCTGCCAGGAAGAGAAGACTGGAGAATAGGGGCTGGAGTGGGACTGGGTGGCCCAGCATGGAGACCCAAGGCCACAGGGCATTGGGGGGGGGGAGCTGTTGGCTGGAAGACCAATCTGTGGAGGTGACGTGGGCAGTGGCCCTGTTAGGTCAACACATGTGTGGGTGGGGAGGCCGGGCTCCCTCACGGGAGGGAGATGGTGAGGCACGTGGGCTTGGAGCCCTCAGGGTGTGGGTGCAGGGGTGGGAGGGACCCAGGATCTGACCTCGCCCTCTCGGCCTCCCCAGGGCAGACAGAGAGTCGTGGGCGGCTGCAGGGGGTGGCAGAACTGCGTCTGGCAGGCCTGGAGCTGACTGATGCCTCCCTGCGGCTCCTGCTGCGCCACGCACCCCAGCTGAGTGCCCTGGACTTGAGCCACTGTGCCCACGTCGGGGACCCCAGCGTCCACCTTCTCACGGCCCCCACGTCCCCACTCCGCGAGACCCTGGTGCACCTCAACCTTGCTGGTAAGCCTGGCCCTCCCTCCTGCTGGCCCGGCTGCTCTCCTGCGGCCGGCAACTCACCTGCTGGATTTCGGTGGCCGCCCATCCGCAGGTTGCCACCGCCTCACGGACCACTGCCTCCCGCTGTTCCGCCGCTGCCCACGCCTGCGCCGCCTGGACCTGCGCTCCTGTCGCCAGCTCTCACCTGAAGCTTGTGCCCGGCTGGCAGCTGCCGGACCCCCTGGCCCCTTCCGCTGCCCGGAGGAGAAGCTCCTGCTCAAGGACAGCTAGTTGGGTGCCCCCCCGCCCAGGACGCATCTGGAGCCTGGACCACCGGCCTTCATTTCACCCCTCCTGGGAGGCCGGCTTTCCCACCTCACCTCTTGGGATTCCTGCCCAGGGACTCGAGCCAGCCTCTTCCCCCTCCTCCCCCCTGCACTGATATCTCTGGGGGTCTCTCCTTCCCATCTCCCCTCTCTTCTACCTGTTTCATTGTCCATCCCCTGGGGGGAGTGGGTCAGAGGTACTGGGTGCTGAGCCAAAGGGATGGTGGGAGGGGGGTTAAAGTGCAAGTCTGAGGGGGGGAGAAGGGGGCAGGGAATCTGCACACAGGATACAGGGGGCTGGGGGCGGTGAAGGTGGGGTGGGGGGAGGGGCAGGAGGCAGACCACCAAGGGTTCAGGGAACGGAGACCCTATACTTGGAGTGGGGGGCGGGGCGGGGGGGATTCCAAAAAGGGCACACGATGTCAGGAGCTGGGGCCTCGGGAGCCAGGGCGAGCCGAGCCCAGCGCAAGCGCAGGTGGGGCCACAGAACCCCTGTGTGTGGTGGGGGTCGTCCTCTCCTTCCCCCTCCCCTGCCCAGATTTCAGTTCCTTTCCCCCTTGCCCTGACTCCTTGAACGTCACTGAAAATGGCAGCTATTGCGAGGAGTGGGGACCGTGGGTCTATCGCTCTTGAGGCCGTGGCCCAGGGGAGTGGTGAGGGCTGCCCCAGCCCCTGCCTGCCTCTCCACACAATACTTGAACATTCATCTGTACTGAAGTGTTACTTGAACTGGGGGAGCCGGAGTGTGATGGGACGGGACCGGCCTGGACTGAGACTGGACTGGTGGGCTCCCCGTTTGGGCGGCCCCACTCCCAGCTCTCCCTTCACTGTGTTGGGCAGCTCTACTTCTGACCCGAGTTGGGGTTGGGGGTGGTGCCCGCCCAATGATGGGGAAGATGGGACTCCTCCAGCTTGGCTCTTCCCACTCTCATCGTCATGGAAACTTGTATCCCATTTGCCCAGGGAACTGCCACTCCGGGTTGCCATGGAAATAGCAGCCAATGGACACCTCCCGATGCCATTGCTAAGGCTGGAATGTCCTCTCATAGTTGCCATGGGAACTTAGTCACAGGCTCTAGGCCCTCCCTCCCCCGCCCTCCCTCCAGTGCAGGGGTGGGGCTTTGGGGGCGAGGGAGGAGTCGGGGTCTAGTCCCGCCCCCTCAGCCCGGATCTCCGGGGTGGGGGGGAGCCGGGTCGTACCATGTAGGGGAAGGGGGATCTATCCACATACCTCAGGTAACAGGGAGGTGCGCGGGTGGGGGGAGGGGCTGGGCGGACCAAAGGCCGGAAGGGAGGGGGGCCTGGGTGTCGCGCGAGGCTTGAGGATGGGGCCGCTTTGGGGAGGGGGAAGAGGCAGCCCGGCACGGGGTGTGCGGGGGACCCAGCCGGGCTGGGCCCCTGAGCCCCAGGTCTGTACCATACGGTTTGCTATAAAACTCGAAATCTTCCACCCGGGGCTAGGGAGTTCGTGTTGTGTGTCTGTGGCGTCGAGGGCGTGGAGACGGGGTGGGGGTGGCATGGTCCCTGGCGGGTACCAGGCTCTCTACTCCGCAGGTTGGGCTCACCTCTTGAGAGTTCACCTGGGGACGCTCGGATGACCCTGCGAGGTCTGGGGTGTGAGCCCCTGGGTAACGTTTCAGGGTGGCATGGGTTGTGGGACACCTCGGGGTAGGAGGTTCTTCGGGGGCTCGGTACCCCGACTCCACCCCATCATGTGGCCGCGCCGGCCCCGCCTCCGCCCCAGTTCCTGTTTCGGCCTCCGCCGTCCAGCTCGGGCCCCTGGGGCTCCCCGCAGACGTCCGCCGCTCACGTTCCCGCACACCCGGCCCGGGGGCGGGGATGGGACCCCCCGGTTTCAGCCGGTCCCTCAGGGGCCCCAGAGGCGCCTTGCCCCCGCCGTGACCACTGCCCGCCTGATTCTGGCCTCCCCCAGACCCCCTCCAGGATGAAGGGCGGTGAGGGGGACGCGGGCGAGCAGGCCCCGCTGAACCCGGAGGTCGAGAGTCCCCCGGGCTCTGCCACGTACCGCGAGTTCGTGCACCGTGGCTACCTGGACCTCATGGGGGCCAGTCAGCACTCGCTCCGGGCGCTCAGCTGGCGCCGCCTCTACCTCAGCCGGGCCAAGCTCAAAGCCTCCAGCCGCACGTCTGCCCTGCTGTCCGGCTTCGCCATGGTGAGGGGCAGCCCAGGGGAGGGAATAATGATGCACGTGGGATGCCGGGGTCGTGGGCGAGGTCAACTGGTGCCCGAGTCAGAAGAATGGGAAAGATGGACTTTAAAGAGATAGAGAGGGGCACAACCCGTGAAGACCCCAGGGTACACCAGTAGTAGAAACGGCCGCGGGGTGGGGTTGGGGGTGAGTCTCGGGCATGCCTGGAGAAGGAGCCCAATGCCAGGGAATAAGTGATTCTCAGAAGCCCAGCGCCAGCATCAGTGCCTTCAAGGCCTCAGGAGAGGGTCCAAAGTTGGGGGGCTGTTGCTGGCTGGGCCCATTCTAATCCCAAGGAAGGTGCCTACTACCCACCGAGCACAGAGGGCGCTCCTGGCTCCCGGGAGGGGAGAGGCAGCCGCTGGGCAAGGAAACCGATTGTTGATTCTCCAGCTGATAAGCTGCAGGTGTGGCAGGAGGTGAGCAGCTAACAGTCCCAGGGTGAGGCCTTAACGCACAAGTCCTGTGTAAGGGCTGCTAGCCCTGTGACCCTGGCCTGTCCAGCTGCCTAGGACCTGGGAGGTGATGCAGTATATGCCCTCCGGAGTCTGCCAAGCACACCCCCCTCTCTCCTCCGAGGAGCCATCATAAGAGGGACTACACCAGACGTGTGGCACGGGTTAGAGGAGGTAGCGTGGACCCACTTGCCGGCTGGACAGCAGCAGAGACTGAGGCCCGGGTGGGGGAGGCAGGGCAGTGGCTCTGCCTGGGACTCTCAGTGCAGAAAGGGCTTGAGCCCAGGGTGTCACCCACAGATCCCCATGGCAGTGGGCTTCTGGTGGGGTTGCATGATTGAGGTCTGCCCCGATAGACCAGGAAGATCTCCAGCCCTAGAGAATCTGCCGAAGCTGCTGATTTTCGCTGAGGAGTTGCAGAAGCCACAGATCTGCCCTCCTTTTCTATGGGGGGCGGGGAGAGGGGCTAGTATGGAGACAGGGAGTCTGCCCCCACCCCCAGTCTGCAGCCACCCACCCATGACCTTGCCCTGGTCTAGCCCATTCTCAGGGGAACAATCCGGCCTGCTGCAGGACTTGGCGTTGCTAGGGTGACAGCTTACGGACCAGCAGCCTTTCCTGCAGGATCAGGCAGCTGAGTGTAGGTTCTAGGGACAGGACTGGCCGCGGGGCTGGGCCAGGATCTGGGAGAAACCAGGACTAGGCCTGGCCCAGAATCCCTGCCAGTGGAAAACACCTGCTGAACACCTGCCATGGCCCAGTTCCCCAAAATACCCTCCTCTTCCTCCCGCTAAACATGGAGCTCTGCACCTCCCTCCTCTGGCCCACAGCCCACAGCCCTCAGCCCCAGCTAATGATCTGCTCAGTGCCAGACATGGGGGAAAGCTACTGGTTCTAAAGTTAGAATTACAGACCAACACGCTGCGGCACTTGTGGCCAAGTACCAGGCACTGCAGCCAGGACTTCCACGGGCAGCATCTCTCTCATCATATGAAGAGGGTACCAATACCATGGCCATTTTACAGATGACACAGATGGAAAGATGCCTACCCAAGGTCTCACAGCAATGGCAGTTTTTGAACTTCAGCAGTCTGATGCTGGTGTCCACGTCCACACATGCCTGTCAGTTGTGGGGTGTGCACAGGCTGGCTGGGTGCTGCGGATCCTAGGCTGGCTGGGTGGGGTCTAGAGAGGCCAAAAGACCCTGTGGCCATGGGAGCAGCCAGGCTTCGGTCCTGAGAGTTGCCATGAAAGAATGCGTGCTTCGTGTGACCCCATCTGCCCAGTGTTCAGGAAGATCTGGAAATAGGGATATTTATATACAATCACTTGAGTTTCCAAAGTTAGCATTTATTCACTATTTGGAAGAAAAAAAAAAGTGCAGTGTGTGAGCCAAGCAAAACATGCCTGCGAGCTGTCGTCAGTTCATGGGACACAAGATCACAAGCTCAGCCTCGGATTCGAGCTTGAGCGCAGTGGCCACAGCCGCCACTCAGTGGGAGCTCCTTGGTCCTCAGCACCTGCTGTGGTCATGCTGGAAGGCAGGTTGGTGCTGTTATCGGTCTCTTGTCCAGATAGGAGACTGCAGTGCACACAGCTCAGCTTCAGATTATACAGCTTGTGGAGGGTCAAGTATGATGGCTCAATTGGCTAATCTTCCCTTCGTACATGCCAGGATCTCTCTTGGGTGCCAGTTCATATCACGGCTGCCCCACTTCCCTAACTCCCTGCCTGTGGCCTAGAAAAGCATCAGAGGATGGTTCAAAGCCTTGGGACCCTGCATGCATGTGGGACACCTGGAAGAAGCTCCAGGCTCCTGGCTTCAGATCAGCTCAGCTGCAGCCATTGAGCTCTTTGGGGAGTGAACCAGTGGCTAAAGGATCTTTCTGTCTCTCCTTCTCTCTGTAAATTTGCGTTTCCAATAAAAACTAAGATTTTTTTTTTTTTTTACATACAGCCTATGGAGCTAAGAAGTATTTATTTATTTGAAAGATAGCTATAGAGAGAATCTTCCACCTAACAATTCACTTCCCAAATGGCCATCACAGTTGGGTTGGACCATGCCCAAGCCAGGAGCCTCTTCCAGATCTCTCATGTAGGTGCAGCGGTCCCAGCACTTGGGCCATCCTCTGCTGCTCCTCATTAACAGGTTGCTGGATTGGAAGAGAAGCAGCTGGGACATGAAGCAGCACCTAGGATGCTGGTACCATAGGCTTGCAGTATAACCTCCTCTAAAGTGCTGGCCCTGATACTGAGCTTTTACCGGGGTCCAGGCCTGGTGGAAATAAACTTTAGCATTTAGCACTTCTCCCCATCCATTTACCCAACAAAAAAACCAAGCACCTTTTATTCCACTAGGCATCGTTGTAGTTTTAAGGCTTTATCAGTGATGTTGTAACTGGGAGGGGGACAACATCTTTAGTCAGGCACTCATTGGCTGTTGTGCTGCAGGTGGCCATGGTGGAGGTGCAGCTGGAAAGTGACCATGAATACCCTCCGGGCCTGCTGGTGGCCTTCAGTGCCTGCACCACCGTGCTCGTGGCCGTGCACCTGTTCGCGCTCATGGTCTCCACGTGTTTGCTGCCCCACATCGAAGCCGTGAGCAACATCCACAACCTCAACTCAGTCCACCAATCACCACACCAGCGGCTGCACCGTTATGTGGAACTGGCCTGGGGCTTCTCCACGGCCCTGGGCACCTTCCTCTTCCTCGCTGAAGTGGTCCTGGTGGGCTGGGTGAAATTTGTGCCCATTGGGGCACCGCTGGACACACCGGCTCCTGGGGCACCTGCATCCCAGGCACCTGGGAATCTGCCACCAGTGGGCACCTCACTCAGTCCCACATCCCACCTCCCACCAGCCTCTGCATCCCAAACCCCTCCACAGGCCGAGTCTTCTGAAACCTGCCCACCTCGGCAGGTGTGTGGTGACAGCAATGGGACCCACGGGCCGGGATGGCAAGCAGCCATGGCTTCCACGGTGATCATGGTACCTGTCGGGCTGGTGTTTGTGGCCTTCGCCCTGCATTTCTACCGCTCCCTGGTAGCCCACAAGACCGACCGGCACAAGCAGGAGCTGGAGGAGCTGAGTCGCCTGCAGGGCGAACTGCAGGCTGTGTGAGGTCGGTGCTAGCGACTGTCATGTCAAGTGTCACCTGCAGGGGGAGCTACGGGTTGTGTGAGGCCGGTGTCAGCAGCTGTCATATCAAGTGTCACCTGCAGGGGGAGCTGCAGGCTGTGTGAGGCCGGTGTCAGCGACTGCCACAAATGCCGCTCCCTTCAGAGGTCTGCGGGAGGCGCCTTGCCAGGGTCCGGCCTGCAATCCCTGCCCCAGGTGGCCACACTCCTGCCCACAGGGTCCAACTATACCAAGGATGTTTTGTGTCTCTCTGTCCCAGCGAGGATGTGGAGGTCTCCCCCGTCAGATGGTGGCTGGAGTCAGGAGGGGGTCAGGGCCCTGGGAGGTGGTCAGGGGCCCCTCGGGGGACCACGGTGCTGAGTTTCTGCCCCTTGCAGAAGGTCCCACACAGCTGTGGCAGAAAGCGGTCGACCCTTGCTTCACTCTCCTAATAGTCCGTTTGGGACTGTCTGGGGTGAGTGTGCCACATTCTTGGCATGGGACGATCTGGGTTTCTAGCCCAGCTTCCCTTACAACAAGGACTTCGCAACTGCCCGTGACCCCTCCATGTCCCTCCCGACTCCCTCCCGCTGCCCCCGGCCCATGCTTACTACAGGTCTGTCTCCACCTGTGCTGGGATGGCCCTCTGCGGACTCTGGGCCCCGTGTCCCTGACAGCTCAGCAAGGCGTTGAAGCTCCAGTCCTTGTCCCTGAGAATGAGGGCCTGTCGGGACACTGAATTTTTGACGCACCTTGTTTTGTACAATAAATTGTTTCACAGATGTCCTTGTGGCCGAGACCGGTTAAAGGGGAGGCTTTGTGGGGCCAAGGAGACGCGGGAGTCCCCAATGGGTCTCAGGAGCAGACGAGGCTGGGTGCTTCTGACTGTGGGGAGCAGGAACTTCTCTTGTGGGATCTCAGTGACCACAGGATTATTAATCAACCACCTCTCTCTTTTTAGTAAAACGTCCTTAATTTTATTTCAAAGCAGATACAAATATTCCACCTGCTGGTTCACTCCCCAAACGTGCACAGCTGCCAGGGCCGGGCTAAAGGGAGGAGTTTCTGCAGGGTCTCCAGCTTACGGGGCAGAGGCCCTAACACATGCAGCACCTTCTGCTGGGAGGGAACTGGCGGGGCAAGCGAAGCAGCTGGGCTGTGACCCGGCACCCATATGGGACACTGGTGCCGCACGCGATGGTGGTTCCAGCTTTGTCTGTTAGGCTACAGTGCTGGCCCCAGAGACAACTCTTGGTTTTCATTCCAAAGATGAGGAAGCTGGAGCCCAAAGCCAGGCTACTGGTCAGTGAGAACTGAACCTGGATCACCTCCACATCACATGGGCATCTCTAAGGAACCACCAGGGGCTGGTGCTGGGGCTCAATAGCTAAGCCTCTACCTTCAAGCACTGGGATCCCACACGGGTGCCAGCTCAAGTCTCTGTTGCTCCACTTCCCATCTTGCTGCTTGCGTGTGGCCTGGGAAAGCAGCAGAGGATGGCTCAAAGCCTTGGGACCCTGTACCTGGAAGAAGTTCCTGGCTTCAGATCAGTTCAGCTCTGGCCATTGTGGCCATCTGGGTCAATGAACCAGCAGATGGAAGATCTGTCTCCTCTCTGTAAATCTGTGTTTCCAAAAAAATTAAAAAACACTTCATAAGGAGGGAAGTCAATAACCTGCCCAAGGTCATTTGCAAAGGACAGGTGCAGCCACATTGGATGCAAAGGGTCCTGGGTCACAGGTGAGGCCTGGCCTCACAGGGAACCGCAGCCACAAATGCATGGAAAACGGACGTCCACGGCTCACCTCCCGCCCCGTGGGACTCAGTTTCAGGGACCCATTCAAGGGGTTCAGGTACCACCAGGCCTGAGAACCAGGAACCCATGGACTGCCCACGGCAAAACACACTACCTCCGATTCCCTATCTGTCAAACGGGCATCACCCCAAGCACCCTTTCTCTGGGGCTGGTCCTCCTGCCTGGGCGCCCCTACTCCAGGGTGGTCCTCCAGGAAGCGGGCCGCACTCCAGGGCACCCCTTCTCCGGGGCTGGTCCTCCACCCCGGGGCACCCCTTCTCTAGGCTAATCCTCCAGGAAGCGGCCTGCACCCCGAGCACCCCTTCTCCAGGTCTGGTGCTTTACCCCGAGCCCCCCTTCTCCAGGCTGGTCTTCCAGGAAGCGCCCCGCACTCCAGGCACCCCTTCTCCGGGGCTGGTCCTAATCCCCAGGGCACCCCTTCTCCGGGCTGGTCCTCCAGGAAGCGGCCTGCATCCCGAGCACCCCTTCTCCAGGCTGGTCTTCCAGGAAGCGCCCCGCACTCCAGGCACCCCTTCTCCGGGGCTGGTCCTAATCCCCAGGGCACCCCTTCTCCGGGCTGGTCCTCCAGGAAGCGGCCTGCACCCCGGGCGCCCCGCACGCCTGGCCCCGCCCCGGCCCCGCCCCCGCGCTCTGCCCCGCCCCCCGCCAGGCTCCGCAGATTCGCCAAGCTGCTTTGTAAGAAATACGCGGGCGGCTGCGGGCTCGGCGGACCCGGGCAGGATCGCTGGGCCGCAGCCGTTCCTTCCTCCCCGGGTCCGAAGGGGGCTGTCCTCGGAGTGGTGCTAGTAAGAACGATCCCGAAAAAAGTGGCCGACCGGGCCCCACAGGGTTTGACTGTCCGGGCGTTAATTTCCCTCGTTCCCCCCTAACCACCAAGGCGGATGAAGGGAAGCGACGGCTGAGTCCAGGAGCGGTGGCGAATCTGCAGCTTCTCAGACCTTTGGCCGCGCCTGGAAGGGCCCCCGGGCCGGGGAGCCGAAGAGCGCGCCTCCCGTCCTCCGATTCGCCCCTCCCGCCTGACGAATCTGCGTCCGCTCAACGCGCCGCTCCAACTTCCCCAGCCCTGGCTGGCAGCCCCGCCGCCCCGCCCCCTACCCCTCCGAGGCCAGTCGCAGCGTTGGTCGCCGCCGATTCGTCAAGCACCACAGGCCGGAGCAGCTGGGTCGTGGTGGCGAAGCTTACTCTCCGGGGGATGCGGCCGCTCTCCAGCCTCCCTGGGCCGCAACTCCCGAGCCTCCCAGGGCGCCGGCTGAGGCAAGGCCCGGACCCTGGGCCCCCGAGGGTGTCCCCGCAGCGCCCGTGGCGAATGTGCGGGCGCCGACGCGGCGCTCGCTGGGCCTCGCGCAGGTGGCGGTGGTGTTTGGTGCGCGCGCCGGGGAGGAGGTGGTGGTGGTGGGGGGCGCCGCCGCCGCCGCCGCCACCGCTGCGGGGCCGGGTCTCGCGCTGCGGCCGCCGCCTCGCGCCGCGGAGCTGCCGCGCGGGCTGGGGGGAGGGGAGCCGCTCGCCGCGCGCGGGTGAGTGGGGCCGCGGCGCGCGTGCGCGGAGACCGGGATTTTGGGGCTGGGTGGTGGTGGTGGTGGTGGTGTGGGGGGGCGCGCAGTGCAGAACGCGCCGGGGCGGGAGGAGAGGGCAGCGGCGCGCGTCCCCCCGCCGCCCGGATCGGGGCTCGGGCTCGGTCTCGCGGTGTTTCCAACGCCCCGCAGAGGTGCCACCTCTCGGGGCCCGGCGATCGGGGCGCGGGGCCGGGAGCGGTCCCTGGAGGAGCGGGAGCCGGGCTTGGCCCGGGCCGCTGGCCGGTGAGGGGGCGGGGGGCGGGGTCTGCGCCGGGCCGAGTAGGGGTGCGCGCTGGGGGAGAGCAGGAAGGTAAGGAAGAGGGGCGCGAGGTGGGCCTGGCGGCGGGGGGGGGTGGCTGAGGAGAGAGTTGGGAGATGGAGAGGTCTTGGGGCCCAAACCTGGGCGAGCCCCGGGTCTCTGATCAAGTGTGGAAGAGCTGGAGGGATGAGAGAACGTGGCGTCGGGGGTGGTCAGCCGGCCAGCGACAACCGGGGAGTGTGGCCTAAGCCCGTGCTCTGGCGTCTCCTTCCTTCCCTGCACAGTGTCAATGAGCAGAGATGGATCAAGAAGGTGGGGGAGATGGGCAGAAAGCCCCGAGCTTCCAGTGGCGGAACTACAAGCTCATCGTGGATCCCGCCTTGGACCCTGCCTTACGCAGGCCTTCGCAAAAGGTCTACCGCTACGACGGAGTCCACTTCAGTGTCAACGTGAGTGTCCTGGGGGCAGGGGAGGGCCAGGCCCCTCCTCCCGCAGCCTTGCACCTGCTGTGGTCACCGCTGGGCCTCCTCTTGGAGCAGGCCTTTGAACCCCCGCTCTGGGGTTGAGGTGGGGGGGTCTCCAGTGGGGGTCCTTGGGGCTCAGCCACCTGCTGTGGTCCTGAAGCGGGTGCTGCACCCTGCCTTCCTCCCCAGGACTCTAAGTACATCCCGGTGGAAGACCTGCAAGACCCCCGCTGCCATGTCAGATCCAAAAGCAGAGATTTTTCCCTCCCTGTGCCCAAGTTCAAGGTAGGTGTCAGCATCTCCGGGCATGCTGGGAGCCCCGGGAGGGTGTGGAGGGGCTGGGCACCCATGTGTTTGCGGAGCCTGAACACAGGGCTTTGCTAGTGAATGGCTGTCAGCCCCTTTGACAGGTCACAGGGATGCTCCATGCAGGAGGTAGGAGTGAAGTGGCCCTGGTGCAGTGCTGATGGCAGGGTAGCTCCTGGACCTGGCGTTCCTGGACAGTGCTCAGCACGATGACAGGGTGGCGCACACCCTCAGCGCGTCGGGGAGGGACATGGCCACTGCCGTTCAGCCCCACACCTCTGCACTGATCTGCTGTCCCAGATCTCAGGGTGCTGGGCGCTCCGTGCACTGAGCCTCCGGATGACAAGAAACTCGGATTTCCTCGTTTCTCAGTAGTCTTTGGGGTCCTACCCCTTCTTGTTCTCAGCCTGGGCAATTCTGTTTCTACCTCAGCCTTGGACAGTTACCTGAATGTCCATGACTTCCAAGTATCTGTTTCCAGCCAGCTCAGTCACTTGAACTTGGGCCTCGCAGGCCTTGGTGGGGGCGCTCCCGGTCCTGACGGACTGTGCAGGAGCGCTGCTTCTCCTCTCAACCCGGGGTCGCTTTGCCTTTCCTCCACTGTGGGCCCCTTGGCTCACCCTGTCTCCAAGCCCGGAGGACTCCTTCCTCCTCATTCTTCCTGCTGCGGTTTCCTTCTGGCAGAGCAGCAGGTCCTCTCACTCTTATTCTCTCTCCTGCCTGCTGCTTCCTGCTGTCATCTCTGCCTGGTTCTGATTCGCATTGCCAGGTCCATGGGTTTGGGCATTGGCATGTGTGGTTAGTAGTCTGGCCTGGCAGGAATACTACATGCACTCGGTGTGGTTTGCAGTGGATAGCAAATGCCAGGTTGTTTTCTTTCTCCATGTCCTGAAAGTCCTGGGCGTTTGAGCAAAGCCCTGTGTGCATCCTGAAAGCCTTTGAAGAGCACCGCTCTCTTGCTGCTCCATCCAGGCTTTCCTTCGCTTGGCTCCCACCTCTGCTGACGCTGCGGCCTGTTGTGTGTGTGTGTCTCTCGACGTTTCCTTTTCTGAGCCAGCATCTTTTTCCCCATTTTTGTAGTTCTGATGTCCAGTTTGTGAAGTCACTTAGCAAAAGCTGAACTTATAACGTATTTCTCTGGAATCTAGTTTGGTACATATTTATTTGTTTTGAAAGCTGGAGCTGGGTCAGGGGTCCGGGGAGAGAGAGAGAGGTCTTCCATCTGCTGGTTCAATCTGCAGATGGCTCAGTGCCCAGCCCTGACCTAGGCCAAAGGCAGGAGCTTCATTTAGTCCCCTGTGTGGGTAGCAGGGACCCACTTGGGCCATTCTCTGCTGCTTTCCCAGCAGTGAGTTGGAGTGGAAGGGGAGCAGCCAGGACAGGAGCTGGTGCCCACACAGGATTCCTGTGTTGCAAGCAACGGCTTCGCTCACTGTCATAATGCCCGCCCTGGAGCACAAGGGTTGGTGTCTTGGTCTGTGTATTTTTGTTCATGGTTCTCACTGTAATTCTGCAAGGAGAGAAGTTCAAGAAAGAGCAAAGTTGCTGCCCATGTCACCTGTCGTGCCCTTTCACACATTCCTCGGCTTCTCTGACCTGTGCATCCTGCTGCTGCCGTTTCCCTGAGGGCAGAGCAGCTGTAGCCAATGTCCAGATCCTAGAGCCCTGCTGTTTTCCCCACAGCTGGATGAATTCTACATCGGACAGATCCCCCTGAAGGAAGTGACTTTCGCAAGGCTGAATGACAACGTGCGGGAAACCTTCCTGAAGGACATGTGTCGCAAGTATGGCGAGGTGGAAGAGGTGGAGATCCTGCTTCACCCCCGCACTCGCAAGCACCTGGGCCTGGCCCGGGTGCTCTTCACCAGCACCCGGGGCGCCAAGGAGACAGTCAAGAACCTGCACCTCACCTCCGTCATGGGCAACATCATCCACGCCCAGCTTGACATCAAAGGTGGGGCTCTGCCTGCTGCTGAGGGTTGTCTCCCTGCAGAGGTTGGATGCGTGTGGATCAGGTTCCAGGTGCTCGGAGAGGACCCCGCCTGCTGCTGGGGGTTGGCCCACAGAGGTTGTGTGCATGTGAGGTCAGGCTTAGGCCGCTGGGACTGAAGCTCTCAGGGCCAGGTGTGTGTCTGAAGACAAGTTGGGAAATAGGTGGTTTGATGCAGATGTGGTTGCTGCTTGGGTGGCACCTCTAGGATGACCAGGTGCTACTCCATGGACTGTGTCCACTGGCCATCCAGGGAGGGCCCACTGGCCTTCGGGACAAGCTGCTGGTCAGCTCCCCGTGTTCTGTATCAAGTGCTTGGGTTTGGTACCCACTTTGGTTCCTGACTTCAGTTTCCTGCTGACGTGGCCCCTGGGAGGCAGCAGCCACACCACGGCTCCTGCTGGTGCGGCCCTGACAGCCATGTGGAAGAGCTGGATGGAGCTCCTGGCTCCCCGCAGCTGCCTGGCCCAGTCTCGTTGCAGACATTCAGAGAGTGAGCCAGCAGTTGGGAGCACTCTGCTGTTTCTTGGTGTAAGTCAGTGAAGCAATGTGTGAATAAGCGTGAAGGACCTTATGAGATAGACTGAGTAAAAGCTGTAGTAAATTGGATCTGATTTGCACATCAAGTTCTCAGAAATCCTGTGTTGTCAGTTACATTTTAGGTATTGAAATTTCAGACAGAGACTTGGGGATCTCTTAAGCAAGTGCCGTGGTTCAGGTGGCTTTGTGGAGAGCAGGGAGGAGCAGGTTGGTGGGCAGCTGGGTTGCAGCGTCGAGGGAAGCATGAGCCAGCTTGCCGGTGGGGACTAGGGCCAGTTCCCAAGTTTGTTTCCTTCTCTTCTAAAAAGCTTTTGTGAGGAGCAGCTATTTCCCATCCATTGGTTCTCTCCCGCCCAGGGCTGGGCCACACAGAAGCCAGGAGCCAGTAGCTACGTCTGTCTTTCCCCCTCGGCTGCTTAAGCCATCGCCACTGTCTTCTACGGTGTGCACTGAGCAGGAAGCTGTAGCTGGGAGCAAGGCATGGGATGTGGGCATTCCAGGTGGCATCTTTTATATATGTGTGTGGTTTTTTTATATGTGTGTGTGTGTGTCCTGAAGGGCAGATCACAGTGAGATCTACGTCTGTGGGTTGCTCTCCAGATGGTCGGAGTAAGTGGAGCTGTCAGGCCAAAGCCAGGAGCTTCCTCTGGGTCTTCTTTGGCTGCGCAGGGACCAAAGCCTTGGCCCATCCTCCAATAATTTCCCAGGCACCTCAGCAGGGAGATGGGTCAGAGTGAAACAGACAGGTCTTGAACTGGGGCCAATATGAGAAACATGCTACAGGCAGTGGCATAGCATGCCATGCTGCAACGCCAGCTCACAAACTGGCGTCTTGACCACTGGTCCCAGTGCCCAACCTTCCTAATTTGCTTTTTGCTTTTTAATTGTTAGAAAAGATTTTTCAGTAGGACTGTTGCAGATATAAAGCTGTCATCTGTAGTGTTGGCATCCTATATGGACACCAGTTCCTGTCCTGGCTGCTCCACTTCCCATCCAGCTGCCTGCTAATGCACCTGGGAAAGCAGCAGAGGAAAGTCCACGTGCTTGGGCCTCTGCATCCACATGGGAGACTGGGAAGAAGCTCCTGGCTCCTGGTTTCCAACCTTCCCAGTTCCAGCTGTTGAGGCCATTTGGAGAGCAAACCAGAGGATACAGACCTCTCTGTGTAATTGATCTTCAAATGATAAGTAAATCTTTTTTTAAAAATAATTTTTAAAATAACGATTTTTATTACTTATTTGAAAAGCAGAAAGGTGGAGAGACACAGAGATTGAGTCGGTTGTTGGTTCACTGGCTGTAAACAACCACAAAGGCTGGGGATGGACCAGGTCAGAGCCAGGAGCTTCTTCCAGGTCTCTCCCATGGGTACCAGGCTCCATACATCTCAGCTGACTTATGCTGCTTGCTTCCCAGGCTATTAGCAAGGAGCTGGATCCAAAGTAGAACAACTTGGACTTGAACCAGCGTCTGTGTGGGATACTTATTGTGGGGAGTGGCTTTACCCACCATGTCACAATGCTGACCCTTCCCCAAATTCGCTTTTAAAGTATAAGTCAGAAATGTGGGTATTTATAGGAGATCTCAAAATTCCTGAATGTTTTACCACCTCCCCAAGGTCATGCAGGGTGGGTGAGGTTTTCTCCACTTCATCCTGGTGCCTTTCTTGGGGGATGCAGAGTGTGTGCAGGGTCACGGTTAGCATCAGAGAGACTGGGCAGGAGTGCCACTTCCTCTCCAACCTTCTTTGTGGCTTGGTACAGGTCGATTCGTTTTGTTTTGTTTTGTTTTTCTTTGTCTGATTTAATTATTTGTGAGGTAGAGATACAAGTACAGATCTTTCATTCATTGGTTCACCGCCCAGTGGCAGCCTTGGTCAGGAGTGGGCCAGGCTGAAGTGAGGAGCCAGGAGCTCTATCCGGGTCTTTTTTTTTTTTTTTTAATAAAGATTTATTTCTTTTTATTGGTAAGGCAGTTAAATTTATGGAGAGAAGGAGAGACAGAAAGATCTTCCATCTGCTAGTTCACTTCCCAAATACCTCTAACAGCCATAACTAGGCTAGTCCAAAGCCAGGAGCTTTTGGGTCTCCCATGCTGGTGCAGGGTCCCATGGCTTTGGACCATCCTCTACTGCTTTCCCAGGCTGTAAACAGTGAGCTGGATGGGAAGTGAAGCAGCCGGGACATGAACTGGTCCTCATATGGGATCCTTTTATTTGTTTATTTGAAAAGCAAAATTACAGAGAGAGATTGATTTTCCATACACTGGTTCACTCTTCAGGTGTCTGCAACGGCTAGGGCTGGATCAGGCAGAAACCGGGAGCCTGGAATTCCATCCCAAGTCTTCCACCCACATGGGTAGTAGGGGCCCAAGTACTTTGGCCATCTTCGATTGCTTATCAGGCTCATCAGCAGGGAGCTGGATTGAAAGTGGAGCAGCCAGGACACAGAACGGTGCCCACATAGGATGCCAGCCTCATAGGTGGCAGTTCAGCCCACTAGGCCACAACACTGGTATCCCAGATCAGTTTCTTCATAAAGCAAGGATGCTTTTGTCCTCATTATCATTCAGTGTAGTGAATGTCTTTGTAAACTGGGAAGTGCCACAGGATTGTGTGGTGGAGATGACACAGGGAAACTGGAATCTGAAAACACAGGAGTCCAGAAAATGGTACGCGCTGAAGGCCTGGGAAAGCCCAGCAGCAGGCCCAGAAGGAACTGCTCTCCCCCCTGACCGCTGGCTCCCATTTCCCTCTTCTCTCCTGCCCTCCCTCCCTCCAGGACAGCAGCGAATGAAGTACTATGAACTGATTGTCAATGGCTCCTATACCCCTCAGACTGTGCCCACAGGGGGCAAGGCCCTCAGCGAGAAGTTCCAGGGCTCTGGTGCAGCCCCTGAGACGGTGAGAAGCTTGAGGTGGCTGCAACCCTCGCTGTGTGGGCACGGGGCCCCGGGGCCAGGGGCAGGAGTTGGAGCCAGGAGGATCTGGACTTGACTGAAGTGCAGAAAAGGGGCAGGAAAGCTACTGAGATGCTTCAGAAGCTGGGAGGCTGGGAGCCTTGGTTGGGGGGAGGGCCGATTCTCCAAAGGTGCTCATGTCCTCTCCCTCCCGGCCCCACTCTTCCCCCAGACTGAACCCCGCCGCCGCTCCTCCTCAGACACCGCAGCCTACCCAGCGGGCACTGCTGTGGGCACCCCTGGCAACGGCACTCCCTGCTCCCAGGACACAAGCTTCTCCAGTAGTCGGCAAGACACCCCTTCTTCCTTCGGCCAGTTCACCCCTCAGTCCTCGCAAGGCACCCCGTATACATCTCGGGGCAGCACCCCTTACTCTCAGGATTCTGCCTACTCCAGCAGGTAGGGCGCACCCCTTCTGGGCCCACGTCAGGTGCAGGGAGCTGTCCCCCTGCGCCCCGGGAGAGTTGGTGGAAGCTGTTCGTCCCAGTTTCCCTGTGGATTCAGTCAACAAACTGCTGTCCTCAGGGAGCATCCTGGCCAGAAACCCAGCCCTCAGTCCTGCTTCCAGGGCTGCGGGCCAGTCGCGTGGGGCCGGCCACCGTGGGCCTGGCTAACTGCCTGTCTTCTCCCCAGCGCAACGTCCGCCTCCTTCAAGCCGCGGCGGGCCGAGAACAGCTACCAAGACTCCTTTTCCCGCCGCCACTTCTCTGCCTCTTCAGTCCCCACCACCGCTTCCCCAGCCATCTCGGCCACCACTGCAGCCACCGCCACCCCGTCCTCGTCCTCCTCGTTGTCTTCGTCCTCCTCTTCGTCCTCCGTTCCTTCCGCCTCTCAGTTCCGTGGCTCTGACTCCAGCTACCCAGCATATTATGAAAGCTGGAATCGCTACCAGCGCCATGCTTCCTACCCACCCCGCCGGGGGACTCGGGAGGAGCCTGTGGGGGCCCCCTTCACTGAGAACACAGCCGAGCGCTTTCCCCCTTCCTATACCTCCTACTTGCCCCCCGAGCCCGGCCGGCCCGCTGACCAGGACTACCGTCCTCCCACCTCCGAGGCGCCCCCACCAGAGCCTCCAGAACCAGGCGGAGGCGCTGGGGGGCCCAGCCCCGAAAGAGAAGAAGCTCAGAGCTCCCCACGTCCGGCCTCCCCTGCACGCTCTGGCTCCCCGGCCCCGGAGACCACTAACGAGAGCGTGCCCTTCGCGCAGCATAGCAGCCTGGACTCCCGCATCGAGATGCTGCTGAAGGAGCAGCGCTCCAAGTTCTCCTTCCTGGCCTCAGACACGGAGGAGGAGGAGGAGAGCAGCAGCACAGGTCCCGGGGCCAGAGAGCCGGGGAGCGAGGTGCCTTCCGGGGCGGGTCACGGGCCCTGCACGCCCCCTCCAGCCCCAGCGAATTTTGAGGATGTGGCACCGACAGGGAGTGGGGACCCAGGGGCCCCCCGGGAGTCTCCCAAGGCCAACGGACAGAACCAGGTAAGTGTTCCGTGGAGTCAGCTGGAAGAGGGAGCTGGGAGGCAGGGCAGGCCCTGGGCAGAGGGACAGGAAGTCGGCAGCCCGTGGGGACAGGAGGACACTCTGTGTGACCCCCCTCTGCCCTCCCACAGGCCTCTCCATGCTCTTCAGGAGAGGACATGGACATCTCGGATGACGACAGGGGTGGCTCGCCTCCTCCAGCCCCAACGCCGCCCCAGCAGCCTCCACCCCCACCGCCACCCCCACCCCCGCCCCCTCCCTACCTAGCCTCCCTTCCCCTTGGCTACCCTCACCAGCCTGCCTACCTCCTCCCTCCCCGCCCCGACGGGCCCCCGCCCCCACCCCCCCACATCTATGACTTTGTCAATTCTCTGGAGCTCATGGATCGACTCGGGGCTCAGTGGGGAGGGATGCCAATGTCCTTCCAGATGCAGACCCAGATGTTAACTCGGCTCCACCAGCTGCGGCAGGGCAAGGGGTTGACGGCTGCCTCAGCCGGGCCCCCAGGGGGCGCCTTTGGGGAGGCCTTCCTCCCCTTCCCACCCCACCAAGAGGCAGCCTATGGCTTGCCCTATGCGTTGTATGCACAAGGCCAGGAAGGCCGCGGGGCCTACTCCCGGGAGCCCTACCACCTGCCTTTGCCGGTGACAGCCGAGCCGCTGCTCTCCTCGGGCTCAGGAGAAGAGGCGCGGCCTCCTCCCCGGGAGGAGACAGAGCTGGCTGACAGCAAGGCCCTGCAGTCAGCGGGCACTGTGGGGCGCGTGCTGGCCACCCTGGTGCAAGAGATGAAGAGCATCATGCAACGAGACCTCAACCGCAAGATGGTGGAGAATGTGGCCTTTGGAGCCTTCGACCAGTGGTGGGAGAGCAAGGAAGAGAAGGCTAAGGTGAGAGCTGCTGCACGGGTGCCAGGCCCTGGGGCTGAGGGAGACCTCAGGCTCCAGTCTGCCCAGTGCAGACCAGGAGAGGGCACAGCCTGGCTCCCAGAGGGCGAGGCTTTAGGCACTCAGGAATATGCCAGTAAGGTAGGGTGTTTGTGGGGACACCCAGTCCTGAGGTTGGAAGAGCTTTGTCCTGGCTCCACTGCCTGCTTATGATAGGCAAAGTCCTTAAGTCTCACTGGCCTTCAATCTCCACCATCTGTGAAGTGGGTATGAGGCCTGCTGGTTGCCGCCAGTAGTAGGTTACACTAGCAAACTTTGGAAGACATGTTAAAGGAGTGTTGCAGACCCACGTCAACCAGCAGGGCAAGTGGATGCATTTGTGTGTGGAGGGGTGTTTTCAGGTAGTTCTTGGGCAGCAATGGGCCTGAGGCTCAGTCCCTGTGCTGCCTGCAGCCTTTCCAGAACGCAGCCAAGCAGCAAGCCAAGGAGGAAGATAAAGAGAAGACAAAGCTCAAAGAGCCCGGCCTGCTGTCCCTGGTAGACTGGGCCAAGAGCGGGGGCACCACAGGCATCGAGGCCTTCGCTTTTGGATCAGGGCTGCGTGGGGCTCTGCGGCTGCCTTCATTCAAGGTACCGGCATGTGGCCTTACTGAGGGGGTGCAGGGGAGCAGCCCTTCCTCTTTGGGTAGAGCTGTAGGGGACCTGTGTGTGCTCAGGTTCCCAATGGGCTCCGTCTCTGTCCCGTCCCAGGTGAAGCGGAAAGAGCCATCAGAAATTTCTGAGGCCAGTGAGGAAAAGCGACCCCGGCCCTCCACTCCAGCTGAGGAAGATGAGGATGGTGAGTGGGAGAGGAGGACAAAGGTGGTGGGGCTGTTGGATTCTGCTAGGGAGGCATGAGACGGCTATTGAGAGCAAGAAGCAGAGGGGAGCCCCCAGCACTGGGCAGAGCCAGGGGCTTGCCTCAGAGTGGGGTGTGCTGATCTTGGAGTGGACTGTGTTGCTTTCCCTGGAGTAGGGTATCCTTGAAGTAGGATGTGGTTTGCCCCGGAGTGGGGTGTGCCGCTCGCCCTGGAGAGCCAACTAGGGTGTTCTGTCTTTGATTTTCTACCTGCCATGTAGAGGGCAACCTCAGTGCCTAGAGTTAGAGGGCCAAGGTGAAATGTACCATCCCACTGCAGGGCTGCCTGGTGTTCCTGTCCCCCGCCTCTCCTGTCCCCTGCCTCTCCTGTCCCCCGCCTCTCCTGTCCACCCACCTCTCCTGTCCCCCTGCCTCTCCTGGCTTGCTAGGCCTCTGACTTTGCTTGTCAGTGTGTGAGGCTGCCTAGTTAGATCTGCTTCCCTGGAGACCCCCTGGCATTAGCAGCCTTAGCACTCCTTCAGGCCGGGCCTGGCAAGTCGGCTTCTTCCCCTGGTTTAGAAAAGGGCAGATGGGTGGGACGTGTCAGTGACTAGGTGTTCTGGTTTCTCGGTGGAGCGAGGCCAGGAAGGTCAACGGGCTGTGGGTGTAACTGCTTGCAGTGGGCAGGGGAACGGGGACCTTGCTGACAGCAGAGGTCCTTAATGCCGCTCACCTGGCCCAGACCCTGAGCGGGAGAAGGAAGCTGGAGAGCCGGGCCGTCCGGGGACCAAGCCTCCAAAGCGAGAGGAAGAGCGAGGCAAGACCCAGGGCAAGCATCGCAAGTCCTTCGCCCTGGACAGTGAAGGGGAGGAGGCGTCCCAGGAGTCCTCGTCAGAGAAGGTGAGGGTCCAGGCTCTGCCAGAAGTCCATCTGTCGAGTACTGGTGCCCACACCCACTTCTCTCTGCACTGGAGCCTACGCAGCTGTGCCAGCCCAAGGACCAGTCATCCCAACCTGAGTCCTTGTTTGTCCTTTTCCTCAAGGATGAGGAAGACGAGGAAGAAGATGAAGAAGATGAAGAGCGAGAGGAACCTATGGACAGCACTAAGAAGCAGGCAGAGGCGTCCGATGGTGAGCTTAGTTGGCTACATCTGGCTAGGGGAAGAAGGCATGGGCCACGTGGCCAGCCCTTCCCTGAACCCACTCAGCCATTCTGCTAGATTCTGGGTCGCATTTGCCCTCTGCAGGAGCAGCTGTTTGAGCCTCAGCCTAGGAGCCCTGTCCTCTTGGGAACGAGCATCCTAGTACTCAAACACTCTTCTCTCCCCTGAGGATTGCCCGGTGGGGCCCGGGCCTCTCTCCAAGCCCTAGACAGGGGCGTGTCCTCTCAGTGCCCAGATGACCCAGCCTGTGCCTTTCCCTCTGCTTCTCCTCAGAGCTGACCTCTCTCCCTCCAGCTGCCGTTCCTAGCCTGTTGTGTCCCTTGGTTGGACACCTTCGTGTTGCCCCATGTTCTTTTGAGGCCTGGGGTACATCTGCCCTGAGTCTGTCCCGTGTGCCAGGCCACAGAGCAGTGACTGAGGCAGTGTGATGCCTGCTTTTGCAGAGCCAGGAGGAGAGGAGGGGCCTTGGTCCTGCCTCTTCCGATAGATCTGTACTCTGAAAAAGATAAACTAGGGGCCTAAGGGTAGAGTCCACCACTGGGCTCAGGGGACAGGCTGGCTGCTGGCTGATTGGCCAGACATGCTTATGTGGGGCTGCTGTGACAAAGCCCGGGTGGCGGGAGTGCTGAGCTGAGGGCCTGCTCAGCAGTCATGTGCAAGCTAACTCTGCAGGTGCACCTGCTTCCAGGGCCCAGAGCTTGGCCTGCCTCTGTTCCCACTCTGTTCCAGTTCCATCTTCAGTTGGCCACAGTCTTGAACTCTGACCCTGGTGCTTCTTTGCTAATATCTTTTTTGAGTTCAGTGTTCTCCACAAGATGGCCTGACGCCCCCATGTTATGGTCTCTCTTGTCCAGCTCTTGCTTCTCTTCTCTGAGGGGCTCTTGCTTCTCCTCCTGCAGTCCCCTGCAGTGCCACCAGCACTCGCCTCCCTGTGGATTTACCCTGTTGTCTTTCTGGTGGTGCAACACCTAGATTGCTCCAAGCCCTGCCCATGTGGCCGTACTCCCAGAGGCTGAGTGCGGGCCATGTCTTCCAGGCTCTTCTGGCTCAAGTCCTCTAGCAGGCACTCAGCCCTCCGTGTCCCCAGGACCCACTTTGGGAAAGCGTCAGTCCTCAGAGCAGATGTTTTGCAAGGCTGGTGGCCTCCAGCTCTGTCTTCTGATGTCTCTGCTTCCCCTGGGAAGGCCAAGGGCACGTACTCCCCCTCACTGGCCTTGCTTATAGAATCCTTTGGGGGCCACGGTGCCAGAGTTGGTCCTCACAGCATGGCCCAGGGCTTGCCTGCACCTCGTCCCTGTGGCTGGCCCGCTGTGAGCACGTGTCTTAGCGACACCCTGACCTCCCGTGCAGCCCGGCCTCTGTGCTGGGGGGCCTGTGCATGGACCCACAGCTTGACCCAGCAGAAGGTCAGCCCCCTCGCCTGACCGCCCCTTCTGGCTTTCCAGGCGAGGACGAGGAAAGCGATTCGTCCTCCAAACATTCTCTGTATGCCGACTCAGATGGTGAAAGTGGCAGCACGTCGGATTCGGATAGCAGCACTTCCTCCAGCTCCTCTTCCACCTCGTCGTCATCCTCATCCTCCTCGTCATCGTCATCTGAGTCCTCGGATGAAGAGGAAGAGGAGGAAGAGGAGAAGCCACCAACCCTTCCTTCTGCCTCACCGCCTCCCCGAGACATCCCAGCGCTCCCAGCAGCATTCGTGGATGAGCCCAGGCTGGAGGGCATCGCTGCCTCCCCCGTCACACCTGGCCCCGAGCGGGAAAAGTCCCCAGCTCCAGGCCGGCCGGCAGGTAGGTGCTGCAGGGGTGAGGCTCAGAGTGGGCTGCTGAACCACAACACAGGACTCTTCCAAGTAGGAGAAAAACTCCCAATTCATAAATTTCTCCTGCTCCTTGTTTTGCTTAAGCACTTTTTTAAAAAATGTGTTTGTTTATTTGAAAGACAGACTTAGAAGCTGAGAGAGGGTCTGTGTGTGGGTCACTCCTCAAATGGCTGCGACAGTCAGAGCTGGACCAGTCTGATGCTGGGAAGCCAGGAGCTTCTTCCAGGCCTCCCAAATGGGTGCAGGGGCCCAAGCACTTGAGCTATCCTTTACTGATTTCCTGGGCACATTAGCAGGGAGCTGGGCCAGAGGTGAGGTAGTAAGTCTCAAACCTGTGCCCATATGGGATGCCAGCATTGCCTGCTACACTGCATTGCCAACTCCAAAGCCCGTTCTTTAACAGGTGCTGTGTATATACAGGAGATTAAAGGGCAAATATCTCAAAAACAAATATTGACATGGTAATTCAGAGCACTTCTGGCATTGCCTTCTTTTGTGGATCTGCATATTTAGTTATTAAAGCCTATGCATATAATTTATTCTGAGTGACATGTTCAGACATCAGTTTTTTGTTTTGAACATTGATTTATACTTGTTTGGAAGGCAGCGCCACAGAGGGAGAAGGAGAGACTGAGATCCATCTACTGCTCTATTCCCCCAAATGGCCACAATGGCTGGCCTAGGCCAGGTTAAACTTGGGAGCTGGGAGCTCAGTCTGGATGGCCCGTGCAGTACAGGGAACCCAAGTGGTGATTATTTGGTAAGCGTTAGCAGGGAGCTGGATCAGGAGCAGAGCTCAAGCTTTCCCGTGTGGCATCCTGGCTACAATGCCAGCTGCCATTCACGGGCTCTGCAGGGTCACCAAGTACTTGCTGCAGCCAGACAGTAGCTGCAAGGGATACGGCTGTGCACCCAGCAGGCCTGCCTCTTGCCCTCAGGAAGTTGACGGTGTGTAGGGAGATGGCTTGGCGGAATGGCGAGTACAGAGGCCAGTGTGAGGTTACAGACAAATAACCCAGGAAGGAGAGCACAGGGCCCTGGGAAGCCAAGCCTGCAAGTTAGATGTCGTTAGGCGGAGTCTTGGCAAAGTCAGCACGGCAGCAGTGAGCCGGTGACCAGTGCTGTGGGGAGTGCCGAGGCCCTCCGGCAGAGAAGCACCAGGGTAGAAGATGCAAGAGAAGGTTAACCTGAGCCTGGGAACTAAGAGCTGGAGCTGGCCCAGCTGCAGGAGTGGTGGGCAAGGGCTGGCCTGGAGACATGGGAGGAGTTTGATCTTTATCTTGTGGGCAGTAGGAAACTGAGAAGCGGTGAGATCAGATTTATGTTCTAACAAGGTGCACTGTGGGGAAAGTTTGGAGTGGGGCTGGCATGGGTACAGGGGGGCAGTAGAGTGCCTGTTGTAGCACGTGGGCAAGCTGTGGTGGCGGCTGGTGCTGGGGTGGCCCAGCCCTGGGAGTTGGCCAGGTGGTTTCAGGATGGATGCTTTGGAGGTGACCCAGCCTCTTTGGGATGTTGGACAATCTTGTGGCCTAGGATAACCACTGCCTGCCAGAGGACCTGCTGGCACTGACATACCCAGAGCAGGACAGAGCCTCGGGGGCCTCCTTTGAAGGCTTGACCTCTCTCCCCATCACTTTGAGTCATAGAGGGCCTTGCTCAGACCTACTGGGCTTTCCCTCAGGAAGGGGAGGGGCATGGCCGGAAGTGTATCTCAGGTGCTTCTTGGAGTGACGATCGGGTGGTATTAGATTTGAGAGAACAAAGGTGAGGTTGGCACAGCAGGGTGTTGGTCCTGAGGTCCAGAGGGGTGGGGATGTGGCTGGAGAAGGAGCATTTAGCTTGGTGAGATTACTCCTTGAGGGAGGAAATGCAGGAGGCAGAACCAGGTTGAGCTGAGTTGGGGTTGGCCGTGTGGCACCTCTGGGACCTCCAGGCAGAAGTGTAGGCCACAGGGTGGGTGATGGCAATTGAAGGTGAGTGAGAGTGTGGGTGTGAGCCTCCTGTGTCCCCAGGGCACACATGGAAGTCCTGTGAGAGATGGATAAGCCAAGCCAGGGCAGCAGGCACAGGAGGCTGTGGAGGAGCTGAGGAGGAGCCAGCTTCTGCCCCACGGGACTCAGGTGTACAGGGAGGGCTGGCATTTGACACAGTGGGTTGAGAGACCTCTTGATGCCTCTTGGGAAACCTGTGTTCGTATCCTGGACCCCACCTGGACCCCAGCTTCCTGCTAATGCGCACCTAGGGAGACAGCAGATAGCGGCTCAGGTGCTCGAGTCTCTGCCACCAATGTGGGAGACCAGAAGTGAATTCTGGCTCCCAGTCATTCCCTTGCAGGTATCTGGAAAGTAAACCAGTGCATGGGAAAGACATCTCTGTGCCCTTTGCATATAATGAAAATAAATGAAACTAGTGTTTATGTGAGGGTGTGCCCCACCTCAGGCTGGGCGGGGGGTGTCCATTGATTTGACAGTTTAGGTCATGATCGGTGACCTTACCAATTTCAGTTGAGTGGTGCAGACTGCAGCCAGAATGGCTGATAATGGCTGAGCAGTGCGAAGGGTAGGGTGTACAGCCGGTGGGCTTCCTGAGCTGAGACAGAAGAGAGTTCAGGGTCCTCAGCTAGCACGTTGGTTCCCTGGTGTGCAGGCACCAGGCACAGCACGTTGACAGCTCATTGCCTCATCCAGCCCCAGTGACGATCCTGCATGTCTCATTTCACAAATGAGGAATTTGAGATGCAGGGACAAGTTCAGGGTTCCCCAGCTGAGACTGGAGAGGCAGCTTGAGGCCAGGGGTCAGCTTCTCACAGGGGCTGAGACCTGGGCAGTTTCCTGACCTGTAGGGGAGTGGGCATGGAGATGGGCTGAGCAGAGGGGAGCTGGTGCCAGGGTCGCATGCCCCGGGGGTGGGGAGCTATGAGCTTGCCTGCCTGCGGCCGGAGTGTGCAGGGAGCCTGGGTGGAAGGTGGCAGGAGTTGCTGAAACTGGGCTTGGCATGGAAGGCAGAAGGCTGTGGTCAGGTGCCTAGGTAGAGGAGGTGCAGGGTCTGTACATGGAGCAGGGAAGTTCTGTGAGAGAGGGCGGGGGCAGGGCTGGTGCTGAGACATTTATTCAGGAGGAGGGTGGCAGGCTAGCTGGCGTGGGGGACGACCGCTCCCAGCCTTGCACACAAGGTCAGCGAAATCGTCTGGTCTGGCCCTGCCAAGGCAACTACACTCAGGACTCACTTGAGTAAATGTACAGTGAGCTTATTGTATTTTTTTTTAAGATTTTTTAAAAATTTTATTTTATTTGGAAGGCAGATTTATAGAGGAGAGAGAGATATCTTTCATCCTCTGATTACCTCCACACAAATGGCTGCAAGAGCTGGAGCTGAGCTGATCCAAAGTAGGGAGCCAGGAACTTCCTCCGAGTCTCCCGTGTGGGTTCAGGGGCCCGAGGACCTGGGTCATCCTCTGCCCTCTTGCCAGGCTCTAAGAAGAGAGCTGGATAAGAAGTGGAGCAGCAGGGTTGTGAAATGGTGCCCGTGTGGGATGCCTATGCTAGCAGGCTCAGAATGACTGTTATGCTACTGCACCAGCCCCCAGCAGGCTGATTGTTCAAGTGGGTCACCTCATATGGTCTGCAAAGGGTGTTGTAAATATACCCCGGACAGGCAGATCCTAAGGGTGCAGTGGAATAACTGGAGAGATACGTTTGGGCTTGTGGTCCAAGGGTCAGGGTCAAGGCTGAGTCCTTTGTGGAAAGGACTTGGGCTGGTCAGGCAGGTGTGTGTCTACTGAGGGGTGACTGACGACGAACATGAGTGGAGGTGTGATGACCTGGGGGGACAGATGCAGCAGGGTGGGAGAGGACAGGAGCAAGGCAGGGGCTGGGTTTTGGGAAATTGACAGAGCAAGTCAGGGAAAGCCAGGTTAGTGAGAGCAAGGCTGGCGGTGGGCTGGAAAGCCAGCGGCTGGAGCCCATGGAAGGCAGCCACAGCCACCAGGCGAGAGGGAGGCTCCTGGGAAGCGGGGGGCCCTCGTGCATGATTTGGGGAGTTTCTGTAGCAGTGACTGGTCACAACAGTTTCAGTAGTAAAAGAGGCTTGTTGGCAGCATACGTGTGGAACCCACAGACAGGAGGAGAAAAACAGCCCCAGGGTCCCTCTCTGCCTTCCAGTCTTATTCACCTCGTCCTTCCCAGTGTGCGGGCTTCCACCAGAGGCTGCTGATGGCCTCTGGCTCCTGTCCTGCTCAGGGAAGTCTCTTTGGTTGGTTGGTGACCAGAGGTGAGTCCTGTCAGTACAGGATAGCCTTGCCTGGGTGGAGGGCCCCAGGGCGCAGTTGATTAAGGAAGAGGGAGTTGTGCTGTTGGGGCAAGCACCCTGGCACCATCTGCTACGCTAGAGCACCAGTGAGGAGCATGGGGCATCTGAGAGGCTGAGCAGCGAGGGGACCTGGTTTCCCAAACATAGGCCAGGATGGATAACTGCCCACCATGGGGAGAGGATTATGGGCTGGGAGGGAGCTGCAGAGCTCATGAGCTTCTGAGTCTGGGGTACTCCTGGCTGAGGGCTCAGGGCACCCCGAGTCCACGACATAGCAGGCTGAGGTTCCTGCTCTGAGGGCTGGGACAGAAAGCGGTATGGAAGCTGAGCTCACTGCCCTCTGGGGCCAGGCCTGCAGCCGCCTACCCAGTTCTGTGAGGCCTTGGAGACCACTGACTTAGGGTAGAACATCGTGGCTTGTCACTGCCATGGGTGTGGCCAGGTGCAGCTTGTTCATCCATGCCTCGGCTTCCTGGTGTGGGAGGGTAGAGGTAGTGGAGAATTAGATGAGCTAAGATATGAAAGACCCTGATTGGTGCAGGGCACAGAACACTGCCTTGCACCATGCTGCAGTCATAGGGTTCCAGGTGGCCAGCAGGCATGACATCTTGGAGCCGTGGCACTGCTCTGGGACTGAGGGCGCATGCGGGCTGCCCCCGGGGTGGGGAGAAAGATGGCCTGCCCCGCTCAGAGACAAGAAAGGAATCTCAGAAAGATAAGATGTCTTGGTGCAAGGTCATTTTGAAAGCCTTGCATAGTTTGCTCATGGTAAGTGTTTTCCTCCAACTTTCTAAAATTTTTCCATGGCCTGCTCCTTGGCCTTTGTGTCCCTGCCTCTTTGGGGGGACTTCTGCTACTCTCCCCACACCAGGGCACACCCCCAGTTGTGCTTAGCAGGCTCAGGGGGTCGCTTTCACTTTGCTGAACCAAGACTGTTGTTCATGGCTGAGATAGTGGGTTTTTCAGTGCAGATCCGGTTAATTGGGTCTTTAGAGGGTACAGTTGGTAACATTGGCCTGTGTGTGTGGTTCTGTCCCTGTCACTCCAGGCTTGGTGAGACCACTAAACCCCAAGTGCTGTGTGGAGCCTTCCCCTTCCCACTCCTCCCCACCGGGGCTGGGTGCTGGTGTGAGCTGTGGGAAGGATGCTGGCTGCACTCATTGGTTTAGCAGGTGCAGAGGGCCATCCTGGGTTGAGCACGTCGGGACCACATGTCTGCATTTCTCCCCAAGGTTCGGGAGGTGGGCGGGCGGGCATGTGAGTGCTGCCTGGGAGCCAGCGGTGGGACCCGACAGCAGCCCATGGCCCCTGCCCTTTGCGACCTGCCTCTCTTCCCTTCCTTGCACCTCCTCCTAGGTTCCACTGAGGAGCCACCTCCCAGCGTGCCCCAGCCGTCCCTGCAGCCCCCAGCTGGGCTCCCTGCCTCCACTCTGCGCCCTGAGGAGCGCCCCTCTTCTCCTATCCCACTCCTGCCCCCACCCAAGAAGCGTCGGAAAACCGTCTCCTTTTCTGCTGTGGAAGAAGTGCCAGCCCCAGAGCCTCCACCAGCCGCCCTACTGCAGGCTAAGGCTCCCAGCCCAGTCATTCGCAAAGTCCCGCGGCCCATAGAGCGGACCATTCGTAACCTGCCACTGGACCACGCATCCCTGGTCAAGAGCTGGCCCGAGGATGTGTCCCGAGGGGGTCGGAACCGGGCTGGGGGCCGAGGCCGCTCGGCTGAGGAAGAGGAAGCTGAACCGGGCACAGAAGTGGACCTGGCAGTCCTTGCTGACCTGGCCTTGACTCCAGCCCGGCGTGGGCTAGCCACCCTGCCTACTGGTGACGACTCAGAGGCTACAGAGACCTCGGATGAGGCCGAGCGCCCCAGCCACCTGCTCAGCCACATCCTGCTGGAGCACAACTACGCCCTGGCCGTCAAGCCCGCGCCCTCCACGCCAGCCCCGCGACCCCCGGAGCCCGTTCCCGCCCCTGCAGCCCTCTTCAGCTCCCCAGTAGACGAGGTCCTGGAGGCCCCTGAGGTGGTGGTGGCTGAAGCGGAGGAGCCCAAGCAGCAGCAGCAGGTACAGCAGCCACCAGAGGAAACCGGGGAGGAGGAGGAGGAGGAAGAGGAGTCCGAGTCGTCAGAGAGCAGCAGCAGCAGCAGCAGCAGCAGTGATGGCGAGGGCGCCCTCCGGCGTCGCAGCCTCCGCTCCCACACACGGCGCCGGCGGCCACCCCTCCTGCCACCGCCACCGCCACCGCCGCCACCTTCCTTCGAGCCCCGCAGTGAGTTTGAGCAGATGACCATCTTGTATGACATCTGGAATACGGGCCTGGACTTGGAGGACATGAGGTACCTGCGGCTCACGTATGAGCAACTGCTGCAGCAGACGAGCGGGGCCGACTGGCTCAATGACACCCACTGGGTCCAGCACACCAATATCCTGCAACAAACTGGCCTCCCCAGCCTCCCCAGCCTCCCCTCACACCCGCACCTGTCTCCTTCCCCGCCTGTCCAGCTCACTGGGCCGCAGTCTGTCCAGGAGTTCCTCCTACAACCCCTGAGCCTTGTGCCTCCTTGAGTTCGCCAGGCAGAAGGCGCAGCTCTGAGGTTTCCTCAGTCCCTGGCCCCCTCCTCCTGGGAGCAGGCTTGCCAGCTCAGGCCAGCCACCTGGCCGTGGGTGGGAGTGGGGTGGGTGGCAAAATATAGTAGGCATCAGGGCTAGGCCAGCCAAGACTTGTGCTGTTCCTTAACACTCCGCACTCACCAACCTCAACACTCCGAAACGCAAGCGGCGGCCCCTAGATGGGCCCCGGGAACACCAGACAGGCTCGGCCCGCAGCGAGGGCTACTACCCCATCAGCAAGAAGGAGAAGGACAAGTACCTGGACGTGTGTCCTGTGTCCGCCCGGCAGCTGGAAGGAGCAGACACTCAGGTGGGCTCTGTTGCATCACTGCTCACAGGTACCGCCCTCCCAGCCCCTCCTGTCACTCATCTCTCTCCTGCCTCTCACAGGGGACTAACCGAGTGCTTTCTGAGCGCCGCTCGGAGCAGCGGAGGCTACTGAGTGCCATCGGTACCTCTGCAGTCATGGACAGCGACCTGCTGAAGCTAAACCAGCTCAAGGTGAGGGGCATGAATGAGCGGGGCACCCTCGCCCAGGGGGCGGGCAGGAGCTGGATCCTGGGGCTTGCAGCAGCGCCATCTCCCTTCTGCCCCTCAGTTCCGGAAGAAGAAGCTCCGATTTGGCCGGAGCCGGATCCATGAATGGGGGCTGTTTGCCATGGAGCCCATTGCAGCCGACGAGATGGTCATCGAGTACGTGGGCCAGAACATCCGCCAGGTGAGGAGGCTGCATGCCCGGCCTGGCCCAGCCGGCCCCGTGCAAGCAGCAGCTCTAAGGGTCCATGAGCTCCATCCGCCTCTCAGGACAGCCGAGCCTCCTCTTCGTTCTCCACCTCTCGCCAGCCGTTAGTGACAGGTGTCAGCAAGCAGCCTGGTAGCAAACTGGGCAGACCCTGGGAAGGGGGAAGGCAGGCCCGAGTGACAGCAGGGCAGGATGTAGGAATGTGGAAAAGTGGCAGAGGTGGTAGGAGCCGGTGACCCTGAAGGCAAGAGCTGCAAGATGGAGACGAAATCCCCGGCCCAGGTAAGGGGAGGGGCAGCGCATGTGAAAGCCCGGAGGTAGGGCACGGAGTGCCCAGTGACATGATCTGGGGCTGTGAGAGGCCTACAGTGTGGCCCAGAGTCGGGGTCTTGGTGGGGCAAGAGTAAGGGGGCTGGCTGTGGAGACCAAGGCTAGGCAGGAGATGAGGCCCTCTCCCCTGAACCATCAGGGGTGCGCGAGATGAGCTGTGATCTGGACGCAGCACTTGCTGTGCCTAGGACATCTGGGGGACACTGCCAAGCAGCTCCACTGAGGCGGCTTCTGGCCAGAGATGGTGTTTGGGAGGAGTCCCCACTGCTCGGCTGGCAGCTGGAGGCCAGAAGGGAGCAAGATCACCGAGGACAGAGCAGAGGGCTCAGGGGCACCATCTCGGGGAGCTGGGAGCTGCTCCTTCTCCCTGGCATGTGCCATAGCACAGCCGACCTGCTTTTTGCATTGGCCAGTGCTGGCCAGTGGGTGCCCCGCTATGGAGAAAGGGTCCTAGGAGAACAGATGAGGAGGGTGTGGTCTGTGAAGAGGCTAGTGGCATTTCCAGAACTGCCCCAGCCCCCCGCAGCGGGGGGCCACTGTGACCAGGCAGGTGCTCTTGGAGGAGCCAGTGGGTGAGCAGGGGCAGGGGGGAGTGTACAGTGCAGGCCCCCTGGGATGGCCTAAGGGTGACTTGGTTGAGATGGCAGCCAGGGGGTGAGGAAGAGGAGGGTTCCTGGAAGCAAAGGCAAGTCAACACCTGGAGTCTGGCTGTGGGAGTGGGAGGTGGCACCTGAGTAGCTGACCATCAGAGGGGCATGCAGGAAAGTCGAGGGGCAGGCCCATCACCCCCACATTCCATCCTCCCAGATGGTGGCTGACATGCGGGAGAAGCGCTATGTGCAGGAGGGCATCGGCAGCAGCTATCTGTTCCGCGTGGACCACGACACCATCATTGATGCCACCAAGTGTGGCAACCTGGCGCGGTTCATCAACCACTGCTGCACGGTGCGTGGGGGGCAGGGCCTTAGGGTGGGTGGGCTCTGGCTCGGGCGGGCTCTGGCTCACCTGGCCCTCCCTGTAGCCCAATTGCTACGCCAAGGTGATCACCATCGAGGCGCAGAAGAAGATCGTCATCTACTCCAAGCAGCCCATCGGCGTGGACGAGGAGATCACCTACGACTACAAGTTCCCACTCGAGGACACCAAGATCCCGTGTCTGTGCGGCACCGACAGCTGCCGGGGCTCCCTCAACTGAGGTGGGCCCGGCCTGCCGCCCACGCCCCTATTTATTCCCCTTGGGGCTCTGAGCGCCCCGCACCCCCAGCCTTAGTGGGTCCAGTGGGGCCCGCACGCCCCCGTCTCCGAGTGAGGGGTTGAGGCAGCTCAGCCTCCCCCCACCATCACCCTGACCTCGCCCTCATTTTTTTTCTTTGCGGAGAAGAAGCTGTAAATGTTTTGTAGCTGCCAGCAGCTGTTTCCTGTGGAAACCTGGGGTGCCGGCCTGTACAGACCCTGTTCTTGGGGGGCTGCCCAGCCCTCATGCTTTGTGTTAATGGGGACTTCCCCTCGTGCCCTGCGTGCACCCCTCCCCGGTTTAGGGGTCTCTAGGGGCAGTGGCCATGTTCTCCCCCTGGGGGGGCCCTGCGCTCCCAGTCCCAGGGACTCTGTGCCTGGAACCCTGCCTCATTCTCTGCTCCCGCCTGACCCTGCAGGTCACCTTTGCCCCCTGCTGCTTGGCCAGGGGGTCCTAGGTGAGTCTTGTGTCAGGCTGGACTGTATATATGTTAATAGCGCAAACCCAACGCCACATTTTTATAATTGTGATTAAACTTTATTGTAAAAACGCGCTTGCTCAGTGTCTTGGGGAAAGAAAAGGGTGGGATGGGGCCGAGGACACAGGGTGGGGTGAGATGGAGAGGGAAGGCCGGTGGACACTTGGAGTAGGCAGGGCACTTGCAGTTGAGGCCAGAGGTCAGACCTGCAGATCCAGCTCTGGACCACCTGACAGGCTGGCTGCCACACGGCGCCAGGAATCCCCCAGCAAGGCCAGCCAGACAGGGCCAAGGTCAGGCTCCCTCCCTTCCCAGAACTACAGCTGCTGCTGGGCCTCTGGCCTCCTGGGGAAGGCAGCGGGAGGGGACGGCTGAGGTCATGCACTGGGAATGAGGCCACCCTGCCGATGTCATCCTGAGGCCCCCAAGCCCCTCCGTGGCTTCTGGCTCTTCCCAGCCTCTGTCCGCTCCGCTCCCTGCTAGGTCCACAAATCAGGCCGAGTGGCCGCCAGGGGGCGCCCTGCAGCAAGTATGCAGGGTAGGAGGTGGAGCGGGTGGAGGCTGCGTTGCTCTGCGTTCCTGGAATGGGCCAGGAGGGAGGAGGAGCAAGCGGAAGGAAGACGGTGTGAACTTGACTGGCCAGCCCCTGCAGGGCCAGTTTGGACTCCTCGGGACAGTGGCCGCAGGTAGGTAAGGAGATACCAAGACCCCGGCAGCCTTTCCCACCTATGAGCTTCCCTGCCTCCACCCCTTCCTGATTTTTAACCCCTAAACCTCTTTCCCCATCCCCCTCAAACCCCGAGTCCTCCCTGCATCCCTGATCCCTCTGAGTAACCCGGCCATGGCAGGCTGTGAGGACAGCCCTGCCGCTGGCTGCCACACCCACTGCTCCACAGCCTCTACCCTCCCCCAGCCCTTCACTGCATTCCAGTCCATCTGGTCAGTAGGGCCCTCCTGGGTGTCCCAGGCAGCCCGGGCAGGGAGTGTCAGGCAACTCAGGTGAGCCACCGTTCTCTCCCCTAGCCGAGCATGGCCGACCCTGCCCAGGCCCAGAAGTTGGTGTACCTGGTCACAGGTGGCTGTGGCTTCCTGGGGGAACATGTGGTGCGAATGCTGCTGGAGCGAGAGCCCCAGCTGCGGGAGCTGCGGGTCTTTGATCTGCACCTGAGTCCCTGGCTGCAGGAGCTGAAGACAGGTGACTGCGGGGAGGCAGGCTGCTGGAGCGGGCGGGTGGGGGAGGGCAGAGAGCAGACTCTCCCTCTCTTGGTGGAAAACATGATCTTTGTTTGTACTCCACAAAGGATGGGACAAGTGAGTCACATGGGCAGCATGTAGCTTCCAAGGGTGTAAGCTAAATCGGCTGCTGGTCACTGGCCTCAAGCCTAATCACATACCCCTGGTTGTCCCTAACCCCAACACAGGACCTGTGCAGGTGACAGCCATCCAGGGGGATGTAACCCAGGCCCACGAGGTGGCAGCCGCAGTCGCCGGAGCCCATGTGGTCATCCACACAGCTGGACTGGTGGACGTGTTTGGGAGAGCCAGTGCCCAGACCATCCACGAGGTCAACGTGCAGGGTGAGGCGTCCTGCTCCCGGGCACCTGGCCTGAGCTTGCTTGCTCACCTCCTCCTCTCTGACCTTGACTTAGGTCAATGGCCCCCATCCCTCCCAGGGTGACAGTCCACTCCTGTTCCAGCCTCAGGGAACTTGGAACAGGAAGAAACGGAATGAGGGGAGGAGGACTTGGCCCCAGCCCCTGTTCCCCTACCGCAGGCACACGGAACGTCATTGAAGCTTGTGTGCAGGCTGGAACTCAGTTCCTGGTCTACACCAGCAGCATGGAAGTTGTGGGTCCAAACGTCAGAGGCCACCCCTTCTACAGGTGAGCAGAGGTCCCGATGGGCCTTCTCGTGCTCCCAGTTCCGCTCGGTGTTGAGTCTCTTCTCTCCTCCCCACCCCGCCCGCAGGGGCAATGAGGACACCCCATATGAGGCCATCCACAAGCACCCCTATCCGTGTAGCAAGGCCCTGGCAGAAAGACTGGTCCTGGAGGCCAATGGGCGGAAGGTGAGACTGGGGAAAGGAGACGCAGAGATGGGGAGTGCCATGGTGGCCTGGCCAGGGCCCCCGCTGCCCTCCTGTCACAGTGCCAGGCCCTAGCAGTGTCTTCATGCCTTTTGCCACCAGGTCCATGGGGGGCTGCCCCTGGTAACATGTGCCCTGCGCCCCACGGGCATCTACGGCGAAGGCCACCAGATCATGAGGGACTTCTATCGCCAAGGCATGCGCCTGGGGGGACGGCTGTTCCGGGCCATCCCCTCCACTGTGGAGCACGGCCGGGTCTACGTGGGTGAGGAGCAGGCATGGCTGGAGGCGGGAAGGCAAGAGCAGGTATAGGGTGAAGTGGGGGAAAGAGGGCATTGTGTGGCTCTGGAGGGCCAACCTGTACCCTAGTTAGCAAGGTGGTCTATACTGCTGGTAAGTCGGCAGCCCAACAGCAAAGTGTGCTGATTCCAGCCACTTGCTTGGAAGCAAGTGTGCAGCACGCAGGGGCACCCTTGTTATCCCCTACCCTTCCTCACCACAGGCAACGTGGCCTGGATGCACCTGCTGGTGGCCCGGGAGCTGCGGCAGCAGGCAGCGCTCATGGGCGGTGAGGTGTATTTCTGCTACGACAAGTCACCCTACAAGAGCTACGAGGACTTCAACATGGAGATCCTGGGCCCCTGCGGGCTGCGGCTGGTGGGCTCCCACCCGCTGCTGCCCTACTGGCTGCTGTTGTTCCTGGCTACCCTCAATGCACTGCTACAGTGGCTGCTGCGGCCGCTGCTGCTCTATGCGCCCCTGCTGAACCCCTATACACTGGCTGTGGCCAACACCACCTTCACCGTCAGCACAGACAAGGCACACCGCCACTTTGGCTACGAGCCGCTGTTCTCCTGGGAGGAGAGTCGGACCCGCACCATTCTCTGGGTACGGGCCGCAGCGGGCTCAGCCCACTGACGGTGAGCCTGGGGCCTGGGGATGTCCCCAGAGCCCACACCAGCCACAAGTTCCCCACTTACCCTACATTCTAGAGCAGCATCTGGGGGCAGGCACATCTTCACTCTCAACCTAAGGAACTGGGTACCCATGTTCACACTGCCCCTCCTGCTCCTTCTCTACCTGTGCTGACTGTGGGAGACCGGGCACTGGCCAAGAGCTTCGGGCCCAGGGGAAGAGTGGAGAGGCCTCCTTCTCGGTTCCTCTTGCTATTTGTCCCTCCTTGGGGTCGGGGCAAGGGACTGCAGTACCCTGATTTTAAATCATGTATCACCTTTAAACATTGCTCATTTAATCCCCCCTTGGTGAGAGCAGTGCATTTTCACTTCTCGTCTCTCCACCCAAACTCAGTTCCTGCTCTGTGGTCGTCAGCTCAGCCTGGGGCTACCCCAGGAATGCTGGATGATACCTGGCCGTGCCCTGATTAAAATCTGCATTCCAAGCCTGTGTCCATCCATCTGTCCGGCTCCCTGCCCGCCCGCTCCCCAACGGCGATGGTCCCCCAAAGGGACAGAAGGAAGTGAGCACACGGCACACCCGCTGTTGGATTGGTTGCTATTTCCCCTGTCCCATGGGGGACTTTGGGGGGGGGGCCCGACCTGGCCCAGGGTGGGGATGGGAGAGGGGAGGACTCCAGGGACAGGACATGCAAGGCTGGGGTGGGAGTGGGATGTGTCTGTGTTTTAATCCATTTGCAATTTGGTCACCAATAGAGAGAAATGGGTCTCTGGAGGGCTAACAGGAGAGGGTGGCCTGGCTCTGGGCCCCCAGCCAGGTCCCGGGAGTCCTGTCCCCCTCGGGAGAGTGGGGGGGAGGGGGAGAGAGAGAAAGAGAGAGCGCTCTAGAAACCAACAGAGAAACAGAGAGGGGGCGGGGGCTCATGTCAGCAAACACGGCTACGTCACGTGACACGCCAGCGACACAGAAACACACGCCAACGCACACGGCTGCACAGCGAGCAGGGGCAGGCGAGGAGAAGGGAGCCGGGAGCCGGGGCCAGGGGCGGGGGTTCCCATCATGTCCTCTGCGGGGCGGGCGGGGAAGGGCAGGCTGAATGCATAGAACACGTCTCGTGTGCACACACAAGGCGTGGCAAGAGCGTGCGGTGCCCCACAGGAGCATGGGATAGACACGCACTGTGCTTTGTGAGAGGTGGGAACTGGGGCAGTCAGGGAGCGGAAAGCATTGAGTGAGCCCTGGCCAGCTCCCCTCCCGGCCACCCCAGCTGGAGGGCTGTTGGTAGAGGGGAGGGGACAGGGAGCACATGCAGAAGACCCCACCCCCAGGTGAAATTCCGGGCACAGCCAGTAGACACACACCTGCCCCCGCCCGCTAGGTTCCCCCAGTCCACCTAAAACTGGAGATGGGCAGCTGTGGGCTTAATGCCATCCACACTCCAGCCATACACCACCCTGGTGCACCACCCCACCCCCAGGCTGTGCACTTCCGGGAAACACTAGGGCTGCAGGAAGGAAGGAGAGGCTGGCTGCACACTGCGGCCTGCCTGGACATTGCCAGAGTCCTGGGATGGGACCAGGAGGTCGCAGGCAGGCTCTGGGCCGACTTCCTGCCTTGCAGAAGGGCATTCTGGGACTGGACATGCAGGTCCCTCCTTGGGACAGCCTGGTCTGGGGCGGGTGTTAGACACAGGCAACCACACAGGCACACACATAGGTCAGGGCAGGCAGAGGGTGGCTGAGCTGGGATGGGATAGGACAAGGATGTTGTGTTCCAGGTCACATCTCTATGGTCACTCTCACACACACAATATGGGATACATCTGAGCCCTTCATCGCAGGCACCTGGGTGCCCGACCCCAGAGTAGATCACACGTCCATGTGTCCAACCAACATGTGGCCTGGGGGGCTCCCAACAGTGTCCTTCCTGTCAAGCACCTCTCACCTGCTATCACAGACAGACCGCCAAACTGCACCCACTGTGCCAGCCCCTCCTCCCCACCAGTCTCCTCAGTCTATTTCCCAACCTGGTGTGGGGAGTGGCCAGCTCCCAGCCCCTACCCTGAGTGGCATCTGTCACCCTGACCACTCCAGCTGGTCTATAAGAAGCAGTGCCATAAAAACCCAGTGCTTGCCATGGCACCATGAGGACAAACACCACCGGCTTCTGACAAAGTCCAAGAGCCTGCAGAAGGCAAGAATGTGCAGGGATCTGTTTTCCAGCTGCATGGGTGCCATCCCTACTAGTCCCTTCCAAGAAGCACGTCAGCCGGGCTCCGCCCGGCCTGGGCATTGAAAGTGCCCCAGCTTTCATGGGCTCGCCCTGCCTGGCCCTCACTCCCCTAGGGGCATAGGCAGAGATAGGGATCTAGGTCCGTGTGCACACAGGCCCTGTGCTCCCATGGTAGGCTGCCTGGGCCCCGCAGTGTCAATGCAGTGGCAGGGAAGGGGGAGGGGGTGACACCAAATCCCGCATAGCAACCCACGTGGAGGAGCAGGAGGAGGAGCGAGGGGCATCTGACAACAGAACTGCCTGGGCCCACAACCTCAGAGACATGCATGCGTGTGTGTGGGCCACACAGGGTGCAGGAAGTCTTGATACACGCACGCACACACACACACACGTGCCAACAGGCACACACACACCTACACATCCCCAAGATACACGGGGGAAAATGCACACACCTAGGTAGCCTGAGCAAGGAGAGGTGCACACGTGTGCCACCCACACCAGGGGAATGCCATGGATTCACCATACACACGAGCGCACACACACACACACACACACCAGTCCTGCATCCTGTGGGCTGGCTGGCTATCCCTGCCCATGTGTGGAGGCCTACCTGGATCCTCTGAGATCGCAGAGCCTGCCCCAGAGGGTGGCAGACAGGGGACAGAGAGAAGGGACAACGGGCAGTGTTGGGGTCAAACACGCAACCACAGAACGGCACGTGCACAAGTTGTGTGTCCACAGAGCTGCAGTCCCGCACGCACACGCACTCACAGGAAACAGAGCTGGGCAGGGTGGGCTATTGGGTCATCCTGTGGCAATCTCCACCACCAACAACCAGGCAAAGGAGGGGAGGCGGAGATCTCACGCAGACTCAAGGTTGAGGGAGTCCAGAGGGGCAGGACCGGGGGGTGGTGGGCATCTACACACGTCAGCACATGGACACACACGCTGGGGCGTGCACACATCGCGAGCATGTGCCGGCGGCATGCATGTGGGTGTGCATGTGTGATCTCGCCTGCTGCTGTCTGCGTGCGACGGAGAGAGGGGCGGAGGGTGGGCGGGCCATGACAGGGGGAGGTCCAGGGACCCTGGGGGGGGCTGCCGTGGGGGTGACCTGGAGCAGGGGAGAGTGAAAGGTGGTGGTGTGGGGGTATTGCTCCCAATGTGGTGGGGGAGGGGCCTGGGAGAATCAGGGTGGAGGGGGCAGGGCCTACAAGCCAAGCGTCCCCCCAATGGATGACGCCAAGACCACCCCCAGCACCACACAGCAAATGATGATCATGATTTTCTTCTGCAGGCAGAAAGAGCAGCCGAGATGGAGTCCGATACCCACACACACATACACACACACACACACACACACACACGCACGCACGCACGCACGGACGCGAGCAGAATCAACAGACAGACAGAAGGGGCCAGCCACAGGGGAGGAGGGTATGAGGGAAAGAAAGGAGGAAAAAAAAAACAGAAAATAGGAAGAGGTCAGAGCCAGAGATAAGCCTCTCACCCGATTTCATCACTCACCTCGGCCCTGGCTGGAGCCCAGCCCCACCCACCAGCCCCAGCCCGCTGCCCCTGGGCGCCACCTGCCCGGGCTCACCCTCCGCGCCTTGCTCTGATATTTCACAGCTTTCTTGGTGTCGGACACAGCTCGCTCCACGTAGTCCACGGAATGTTCCACATTGTACTCGATGCGGTCGATCATCTCTCCCTACGGACAGGGGAGCAGCATGGACGGGGCGGGGAGGAGGGCGCCTCGGGGTGCTCCGAGCGGGGAGCTGAGGTGGGAGGAGGGACGAGGAAGAGGTGCCTATCACGGCTGGTCCTTACCTGGCTCTCCACGAGCATGGCCATGTCCACGAACATGTCGTGCAGCTCGCGGATGCTGGTTTCCAGTTTGATGATCTCATTGTGCCTCGTCTCTATCTCGTTCAGCGCCTGCTTCGTCATCTGCGAGTCCATTTTGATCTGGGGGAAGCGGGCAAATGGGACTGTGATCACCCCTGGCCCACAGAAGATGCTGTAGCTAAAAAGCTGGGCTTCAAACCTGGATGTCCAGGGGCCAGTACAATGGCTTAATTGGCCAATCCTCCACCTCCAAGCACTGGGTTCTCATATGGGTGCTGGTTTGTGTCCTGGCTGTTCCACTTCCTATCCAGTTTCCTGCTTGCAGCCTCAGAAAGCAGTAGAGAATGGTAGAGACCCTACACCTGTATGGGAGACCCGGAAGAAACTCGCGAGCCCCGGCTTCACATCAGCTCAGCTCTGGCCGTTGCACGCATTTAGGGAGTGAACGAGCGGATGGAAGCTCTTTCTCTTCTCTCTATGGATCTGCCTTTTCAGTGAAAATAAATTTTCAAAAACAAAAAAATCCTGGACACCATTCATTCTTGGTTTCCCCAGCTAGGGAGGTCATAGGATGGACATGGAACTCACTAAGGGGGAACCAGCACCACGGTGTAGCAGGCTAATCCTCAACCAGTGGTACCGGCATCCCATATGGGTGCTAGTTCAAGTCCCGACTGTTTCACTTCTGATCAGGTCCCTGCTCATGGTCTGGGAAAGCAGAGAAGGGTGAATCAAGGTTTCAGATTCTACACCCACATGGGAGCTCTTCAGGAAGTTCCTGGCTCCTGGCTTTGGACCAGCCCAGCACTGGCCATTAAAGATGTTTGTGGAGTGAACCAGCAGGGAGAACTCTCTCCCTCTCTGTTAACTCTTTCTTTCAGATAAATAAATTAATCTTTTTTTTTTAATGGAGTTACTATTCCATACGTCAGTTCTAACGGCCCCTGGCATGCGGCATGCACTAAGGAAGAGCTGTTTCTAGATCACCAGAGAGGCAGCTGCTGGACAGTGTGCTCAGGACACCCCGCCCCCGGGACACCATGTCCACACCAGTGGGCCTGTGTGTGAGGGCCACTCTGCTTCTGACTGCAGCTTCCAGGACCTGTGCCCCCAGTAGGCAGCCGGGGACGGGGTCAAGGGCTTGGGCCCCTGTCACCCTGCCTGAGCTGGATGAAGATGCAGCTGGATGAAGGCAGTTCCAGCCTTTAGGCATGTGGGAAGTAAACCCACAGATGGAAACTCTCTCCTCCCTCTCACAAATAAAATGAAAACCTAATGCAGGAAATACCCACTGTTCAGACCATGCCTGCCAGAGCTGCCCCTGGCCCGGTCTACACACCTGCCTTCCCTCCAGCGGTCACAGCCCAGCCTCTGCTCCTCCTGCTCATCTCCCCATCGCCGAGCCGCAGCTCCCCTCTCCCTGTCTGGCATCAGCTGGTTCCTGTCCCTTCTAATGCCTTTCATCCATCTCCCCATGTTCAAAAACTCCTCCTGTCTTAAGATGCAGCCCAACAAAACCTCCCCCAGGAAGTCTTCCCTACTCCAGCGGGAGTCGCCCTCTACTGCCTCTGGGTTCTTGTACAGTGTGTGCAGCCCTTGGCCAAGGTCCCCATCACCTTGTATTGTGGTGATGGGTTTCCATGGTAACGGCTGTGGGCTGACTGCTTTGGAACAATCTACCAACCTTCCTCTGTTCTCTCTCACACACAGACAGGTGGGCCTGGACAGAGCTGTTTGGTGGGGGGTGGGGGGTTTCAGGCTAATGGGCCCATAGTTCATTTGTTCAAGGTTAATGCAGCAAAGGGGTCACTGTCTGCTGTCATGTCACCACGCAGATCTAAACCCTGGTCTAGATGCTTTGACCAGAGCCGTGGAGCTGCTAGAAACAGAAAGAGAGACAGTTTGAGCAGGCTGGGGTGAAAGTGCAAGGAGAAAGAAGAACCAGGTTGTGGGAAAAGCCCTGCCCTTCCCATATTAATTGGCAAGGCAGTGCAGGGTGCAAACCCTGAACAAAACCAAAACTGATCTCTTCAAACCAAACCTTCAGCAAGCTAGGCAGATGAGAGACTCTCTGGCAGGGGAGCACGCACGTGGGAGAACTCCAACCAGAGGGGAACTGACGCCGGATGCCAACCCCACCTCTGGCACCTCGCCCCACTCAATTCTCTGCTCTAGGGTCTGGGTCAGCCATCCTGCCTCTTGAGGTCAAGGTCTTTCCTGTGTGCCCCAGACCATCTCACGTGCTGTCACAAGGCCTGAGCGAGCGTGTGGTCCACGTACACCTGCGTCATTAGGGACTTCACACTGGGCCTGGCACATAGCAGGCTCCTGGTCACTCTTAAGGGAGGTGCCTTCCTGCCCTGCCCCCATGGAATTCCCCGGGTCCAGGGGCAGCCTGCAGAGCCTGCAAGAGCCTCCACAGCGGATACGGGCCGGTGGGGCAGCCTGAGCTGGGCCAGCTAACGCCCAGCTTCCCAACCCGCCAGGGCCCTGCCCAGGACTCACATCGTCCGTGAAGATGGCCAGCTTCCCGCTCTCCAGCATGTCTTCCAGTTCTTCGTTGGTCGTGGTCCTTCCAGCTGTGAGGGGAGGAGGACTGCTTAGCAGACCGAGGGAAGTCCACCCTCCAGACCCCCTGGCAACGGCTGGGGCCCAGGGAGGAGGTACGCACTGATTTCTAGCTGCCGCTGGATCCGGTCCTTGCAGCGGTCCCGGTACTTGGACTGGGTCGCATTATACTCAGTCATTACCTCCACAAACTTCCGGGAGAGTGTGGAGTGCTGCAGTGGGGGGAGACACATCAGAGTGGAGGGGAGGTGGTGTGCGAAGCAGCGGGGTGCGAGGCACAGGGTATGGGGGAGCGGGCTGGATGGGATCATGATTCCCCCTCTTCAGCTCGGGCCAAACCCTCAACCCCCCACTAAGTTCACAGTCATAGACCCCATACCCCTGCATCCTTAATACTATACAGCCAAGCCTAGCACCCACAGGATCACGCCCACCCCGTGATAGGGCCGCCCAGGCCACGCCCCACGTCCTGCTCCCACCAGGGCTCCGCCCCACCTCCTACCTGCGTCTTGCGGATGCGCAGGTCGGCGGAGGAGCGGTTCAGCCCCTCCTCCTGTTCAATGCTCTGCTCGATCGCTGCAGGACAGAGGGCGGAGTGATGAGACAGGTGGGTGCATGGAGGGGGGTATGTGGGGAGCAAGAGGGGTCAGTGCCCCGGGGCCTCTGTATGGGGCACTCTGCTTCGTGCAATCCTCTGGCCCGGAGCAAGAACCCACCCAGGGATTTGTTTCCTGGTGGAAGGGAAAGCACTTGTGGGCAGGACCGATTTAGGAGAAACACCTTTTCCTGGGAGAATTTCAGAGGGCACAGGCGGACATCCCCGCAAGAACAAGTAAAATAAACCCAGGCTTGCCTCTCTACTTCTAAAGGGTGTTGTGGAAAAGTCCACAGATCAACTGGGAACCCTGCCACCAGTGGCCCACGAAAGAACTGGGGGTGAGACCGTCCCGGGGGAAGATGAGCAAACAGGGCAGGAATGAATGACCAAGCCCTCTCCCACTTTGCCACAGGGATGTTCCCGATAACATCACTTCTCTGTTCTTTGCTCAGATGGCACCCCGAGGCTCCCCTGCCAGCAAACAGTCAGCTGACTGATGGCTTTGGTCCAGCCCGCAAGGAGCACATGCCCAGGATTGCGGAACTCTGTGGCCCCAGACTGGGGGGTCTCTAGAGCACAGCCTTGGGGCGGGGGCCAAGTCAGGAGTCCAGGCATCTTACATGAACCTGGGAGACCCAGCCTGTACAGTCTAGACCAGGGGGTTCCAAGGGCTGCGACAGAGCCCACAGGTCACATCCCCAGCTGGAGGAGCGTGGAGAAGACAAGACTTCCTTGTCCCCTTTCTGGAGTCCTGGACTTCAGGTCTAAAGTTGTCCCTGGCTTCTTTCTCAATCCGTTCCTGATCTCTCAGCCACACAGCCCCTACGGGCCATCACGGTGGCAGAGGACAAACATGGAGGGAGTCCATGGGTTCTTTATTATTATTATTATTACTATTATTATTTTATTTTTACTGGAAAGGCAGATTTACAGAGAGAAGGAGAGACAGAGAGGAAGATCTTCTGTCCAAGAGGCCATACTGGCCAGAACTGAGGTGATCCAAAGCCAGGAGCCAGGAGCCTCTTCCAGGTCTCCCACTGAATATAGTTGTGTCAGCCTCTACTGCTTTCCCAGGCCACAAGCAGAGAGGAAGATGGGAAGTGGAGCAGCCGGGACATGAACTTGTGCATGAACATCCCATATGGGATGCCGGCACTTGAAGGAAGAAGATTAACCAATTGGGCCACTACACTGGTCCCGAGCCCGTGGGTTTTAAACTGGGTGTTAGCCGGAATGCTGCTGCTGAGAAGGAACCTTATGGTGGTTAGGGCACCCCAGCACAGCGACAGCAAGGTGGCTACACGTGCTTCGGGCTGGGATTTAAGAGTTTATGCATTAAGGGTCAGTACCATGGAACAGCAGGCTGTGTCTGCAGTGCCAGCATCCCGTGGGGGTGCTGCTTCATGTCCTGGCTGTTCCACTTCCCATCTAGCTCCCTGCTAATGGGCTGGCAGGGCAGTGAAGTATGGCTCAAGTCCTTGGGCCCCTGCACCCATGTGGGACACCCGGTAGACGCTCCTGGCTCCTGATTGGCTCAGCTCCAGCCATGGTGGCTGTTTGGGAAGTGAATGATGAATAGAAGACTTCTCTTTCTCTCTCCTCCACTCGCGAAACTCTGCTTTTCAAGCAAAATTAAAAGTTGTTTTTTTTTTTTTTAAATTATGTGGACAGAAATATTTTTGCTGCTCTCCCCCATTCCCAGGCAAAATAAAGCCACTTTGGAAACTTCCATTTTCCTCCTGCACTAATGAACAAGTTGAGAGAAGGAAACTGCTTCAGGGCCAGGGACTGTGGAGGCCGGATGCCCTGGCAGCCCTCGCGCCCCCGGCTTAGGGCATTTTCTGTGCCAGCACGCCCTCCTAAGTGAGCACTGAGGGCCTGTTTTTCCAAATCAGCACTGGAGGCTCTGGAACAAGGGCGTACAGCTTCTGTCCTTTGCTCCTTGGACCAAGGTCGACGTTCTCGGGGCCTGGTCAAGCTGCCGCTACTGCTGTTTCTCCCCCAGAGGCCTGCAGGGCACCGCAGGTGCTCGGCAAGCGCTTCGTGACGCTGCGGCACCAGCAGCAGATCTGTTGGTCCTGCCAGGGCATAGCGTTGCCCCTGGCCCCAGCAGACAAGGAGGTTCCCCACCCACCATGCACTGGAATGGGGGTGCGTCTCAGCACCCACATCCTTCAATTAGAGTGAATGCGGGAGCACTTGGCAAGTTCCTCCTGCGAGCCTGCCAGCCCCTGATGGCAGCCAATCTGGCCTGAGCTGAGGACACCAATTCGGAAGCATTTGCAGAGCCCACCTACTGGGTGCTACACAGGGGCGGGGAGGGTGGTGAGGTGGGGAAGACTGTTTTTGCCAGTGGAACCTCCTTGGATACAACTGGTATCCAAACCTGCTCCCCAACCCTTACGCCTGCTGTGCACTTTTGCTCCTCAGGGAATCTGGCTGGGAGAGCGATACCTCCTCCCTGCTTAGGAATTTGGCGCCTGGCAGTGTGCAGACAGCCCCTGCTCCAGACGGGCCAGCTCTGTTCTGGGCTGCCTCACATTCCTGCTGTCCCGCCCTCCTCACCTTTCAACTTGGACCGGACCTTGTTGGCCGTCTTCTTGATGTCGGCTGTGAGGTCCTCCAGCTCCTGCTTGGTCTCTACGAGGCGAAGGGGTGGGGGAAAGTGAGGGAAGCAAAGAAATGTGGGTGAGACCACAGAGGGGGGCCGTCGCCCCGCCCTCAGCCCACCACAGGGCAGCGCTCACTCTCATCTGGGTTGGGTGCAGCCAGGATGGCGCTGTGCTGCTTCTTCACCTGCTCCACATCCTCCGACAACTTCTCGATGCAGCCCCGGATCTCCTCCACCTGCCCAGCAACAGAGAAGCTGCCAGCCAGGCAGGGAAGAGCCGGCAGAACCAGCCAGTGCAGGGAAGTGGGCCAGAGCAAGCAGCAGGGTGAGAAGAGACAGGATGCCGGGCAAAGAGAGAAGGGAGTGCAGGCCACGCAAGTCCTGGCTGGGCACCTGGTCAGAGGTCGAGCTGGGGGCCGGGTTGGAGGCTCTGTAGAGGGGTGGGGACGGGGTCCATTACCTGTTCGAAGAATTCATCCATGAAGTGGTCTCGATCCACGTGGACCACCTCTTCCTCATCATCGCTGTCTTTTGCCTGGGAAGCAAAAGAAGGCTGAATCCAGGGGCAGTCCCTGCCTGACCCCAAGGCTAGATCCCCTCAGCCCCATCACGCACACACACACACACACACACACACACACACACACACACACAGATACACACAAACGAATGCTGGCTGCTCTTGGAAGGAAGGGCTGATGAGCACGCAGCATCCACATGAACACCTGCTGCCCAGCAGGACAAGGGCCTGACAACCCAAAGGACCCTGGTGGGGGTTGGAGAGTGGAGGGGGACAGGGGAGATGGGACCAGCAAAGGGCACCATTTCAGGGTGGATGTGGCACCCTGGAATGGGATGAGTATCAGGGTGGTTGATTTTGACGAGCCAGCATGGACATGGTTCAATACTTTCACAACCAGTCAAATGCCATCTTGCAATCACTGGCTCTGGGCTACCAGGAGAGTTTTTAGAAGGGAGCCTATCCCAGGAGTACCTGGGGGGCCTGCTCGTCCATCCACAGGGCCGGGAGCTTCACTCTACTCCCGGCTCCCTTCGCTTCCCCCCATGCCCCCCACAAGACCGTTCTTTCCCTGCAAGGTCACTGCACTGCCAGCGGCAGGTGTCATCCCCACCCCCATCTCGGGCTACGTGCGTCGGAGCCGCTGGCCTCCTCCCGCCCACTCCCCGGCGCCGCCTGAGTGCGTGCCCGCGCTATCACCCAGCCCCTTCGCGGCTTCACCCCCGCGGGTGCCTGCCTGGATTTCCCAGCTGCTGTTCCGCCCTCCCTCCCCGGGATTCACCCACCCACAGCCCCGCCGCCCCCGACAGACAAGACCCGCGACACAGACAGAAGAGCTGACAAGCGGAGTGCACACAAATAGGTCCCGACACCCACGCTGCCGCGGGGCAGCCACAAGCTGATGATTTGGCCCCGGGGCCCGTGGTGAGGGCGCCCGGTGGCAAGGGCAATGCATAGAGGCTCGTGGTGTGCCCCGGAGACATCCCAAGGGAGCCCTGCCACCCAAGCCCAGGGCGTCCTGTCTCACCTGAGCGGTGATCAGCAGGTGGGGGCTGGGCACCCCCCCCTCCGCACCCCTGACTCCATCCCCTTCCCTGACCGGGGACTCTCTGAGGTCAACCCCTGGGTTTCTCACATTTAACCACAACCTGCGCTCTCAAGGGCCCTAAGAGGGCCTCATTCTGACTCCCAGTAAGAGCTCGCCCCAGCCCCAAGGAGATCCACACAGGCTCCCAGGCAGAGGAGGTAGCAAAGACAGCTGGAATGGTAAGTACATGCCTGAGCAGACCGCAGACAGACCCTGATGGGAACCAGACAGGCTGAGACTGGGGCCAGACAGCCCAGACAGCTTGGATCGAACCGAGACAACCAGCTGCGACCCAGATGCAGTCAGGCAAGGGATGGGACCTGGGTGCAGCGGAAGCCAGACGGAGGGCAAGCACCCATCAGAGGGGGCAGCCTGCAGGGCCCTGGGGAAGACTGCCCTCAGCCATCACCCTCCCCCAGGCTGGTGGTCACAGACCAGCAGGGCAGCAAATGTGTCCAATTCCAATATCAGCCTGAAAACAGGTAGGCCAGAGGGTGCCTCCGCCTTGCTCCGCCCCTTCAGCTCCCGGCAGCTGACCCTGAAAGACAGGGCCTTGATAGGACTTGTGGCTTCTCCTGCAGTCACCTACATGCCAAAATCAGGACTTGGTCCATGAAGGCAGGGTTCATTTTTGAGCATGCCATGAAGCTGTCCTCAAAATCCAGCTGCCTACCAAGGATGCTCAAAGCCCTCCCCTTCTTCTTGGCCCAGACCGGGAACCCTTCCCTGGCCCAGAAACCTGGGAGCTCTCCCTTTCTCCCATGGTTCTCAGAGCCAGTTCCTTCAGCTTCTTCCTGGGTGTGTCCCTGGCCACCTGTTTCCTTGTCCTTGAGAGAGGGAGAAAGGCCCAGAGCCCAGAGCACCGAGAGCGTGATGCGCTATGGTTGACAACTGATGCTGCACCTTTAATCCCTGCTCACCCGCGCCACCCCAGCCCTGAAAGAGAGCTTGTGAACAAACACCAGCGCTCCAAAATCACGAACGAGAGCCCAGGAGGAGGCTTGGGAGGAAGGGGGGACAGTGACTTGACAAAGGGTGCCAGGTCCAGAAGCCATGGCATCCAGGAGGACATGCTTCCCCACCCCCGGACACCACTGGTCAGAGGGGGAACTGCTGTGCAACTACCAGAACTTTGGGCCTAAATCTCATATTCTTGTGACCCCAATGCTCTGTCATGACTTCATCACAACTTTGTAGGGGGCGGGGGAGGTGATGACGTCCTGGCGGAATGGGTTCACGGGCATTCCAGATGGGCTGGATCCAGCTTCCTGCTAATGTGCCTGGGAAATCAGTGGAAGATGGTCCCTCCCACCCATGTGGGTGACCTGGAAGAAGCTTCTGGCTCTTGGCTTCGGTCTGACCCAGTCCCAGCCATTCTAGCCATCTGGAGAATGAACCACGGGATGGAAGATTCCTTTCCTCTGTGTGTCATTCCATGTCTTTCTATAACTTTTCAAATCAAAATTTTTTTTTAATACTTTGGGGGCTGGCATGATAGCTCAACTGGCTAATCCTTCACCTCTAAGCACTGACTTCCCATTTGGGCACCAGTTTGTGTCCTGGCTACTCTGCTTTCCCATCCAGCTCCCTGACTATGGCCTGGGAAAGCAGTAGAGGATGGCCCCTTAAAGCCTTGGGACCCTGCATCCACACGGGAGACTCTGAAGAAGCTCCTGGTTCGGATCAGCTCAGCTCTGGCTGTTGCAGCCATTTGGGGAGTGAACCAGCAGATAAAAGATTTTTCTATCTCTTCTTCTCTTTGTGTAAATCTCCCTTTCCAATAAAAATAAATAAATCTTTAAAAAAAATGCCGCTTTGTAAGGGGGCCAGCATAGTGGGCAGTGGACTCAGCTGCCAGTGCCCCATAGAAGTACCAGTTTAAGACCCAACTGTCCACTTCCCATCCGGTTCCCTGCTAGTGCATCTGGGGAAGCAGTGGAGGATAACTGGCCCTCCAGCTTCTGCCTGGCCCAGCTCAGGCTGTCACAGGTACTTGCGGAGTAAACCTGATACAGATGCTCTCACATGCTAGCCCCATCCCTGGCACCCCATATCGCTGACTTCAAAATAAATAAAGAATTTTAAAAAATTGTTTTCAAATTCTAAGAGCCATTGGCCAACACAGCTCCAATTAAGAGATTTAGACAGGTTTTCACAACGTTCTAGCAACCCTGCATGCAGCTGATCCACTGAATTCTCACAGCAGCTCCTTAAGGGATGGTATTACTGCGGCCCCTTTCACAGATCCGGAGACTGAGGCAGATAGCAGCTAAGGAAGTTGCTTCGAGGCACCCTGCTCTGAGCTTTTTAATTGGCAATTGTGCCCCTGGCACCAAACAGTCATGGAGAGGCCACGAGACGGAAGAAGAAACAGGCTCAGAGAGGCTGTCTGAGACACCCAAGGGTGCATGCAACAGCAGGTAAGACCCCGGGTGGCACCTGTACCCAGGACTGCCTGGAGCTAGTCCGCAGGCTCCTTCTTGTCCCAAGTGCCCACTCTGCTGGGTCCTCAGTACTGCTGAACCCCTGTGGCCAGCCTGGGGAACCAAAGGGGACCCCCAGCCTGGAAGCCAAACCTCCTGGCTCTGCAAGCAAGCACAGGCTGCGTTTCTCTGAAGCCTCATGGAAACAGGGCCACGGGCAAATGAGCCTGCCAGGAACCAGGAGCAACTGCGTGCCCCAGTGCCCTGGCTGGTGGCTTCGAGTTACAGGTACCCAAGTTGAGCCTCAACTCCCTCATGAATAAGATGAGGGAAATGCCACTTTACAAACATCCCACACAGGACGGGGTGGGGGATCCCCCAAGGATTCCTGGAGAATGTAATTAAAAGGTAAGCTTATTTGGGTGCAAAAAAAGAGTCTTATTTCATGTATAGCTTTTTTACAACGTGCATTTCCATGAACTTTTTGAAGACCAATCATATGCACAGCTTTCAAACCTTTTTTTTGCACCAAAAAAAGTGAGATTTGAAAGGCAGTGAGAGAGAGGGGGAGAGAGAGAGAGAGAGGGAGAGAGCCCACCCATCTGCTGGTTCACCCTCTGTGTGCTGACAGACAGCCAGGAGCTGGAACTTGGTCAGGTTGCCCGTGTGGTGGCAGGGATCCAGCTACTTGAGCCATCACCTACTGCTCCCCAAAGCGTGCATGAGCAGGAAGCTGGAAAGGCCAAGACTTGGGCACCCCAAGCAGCAGCTGAGCTATGGCACCAAAACTCCACCCCAAGTGGATCTTCTGATTTTTCCACTTTCCAAGAACTTTGGGGAATCACCTCATATATTCATATATACTGAGTTGGGCCATGTGCTTTGATGCTCACAACCTCTCCATGCTATGGCTAATGTTCTTATTCCCATATACCAAGTGAGGAAACTGAGGCACAGAGAGATACAGACGCCTGACAGGGAGCTGACAGACGGGGTGGGTGTCGGTGCCACATACCTGCTCTGCCTGAGCTATTTGGGCGCATGCAGGGAGAGGCCACCTTCGGGAGGGACTCTGGCAGTGGGGACATCAGATTTCCACGCCTCCAGCTCCAGGGCCCCCTCCAGAGGGGCACTCCCCCCAAGGTCCTCCATTATCAGAGACATAGAGGGCTTGGGGCTGGGCTAGGGGGTGCAGTGACCAGCCAGATGGTAGGACAGTGACAAAACATACAGGCAGCCAGAAACTATCAGAGTGTGCACACATATGCACATGAACATGCATGTGTGTGTATGGGCACATGTGTATGGTGCAATCAGATACACATGTGATCATACATACACATATGTGCACAATACATGTGGACTCATGCACTCACCCATGCACATACACACGTGCTCACCCAAGCATATGGATACACATGTGTCTGTGATACAGATGTACACATGCTCATGCATGCACACACACACGTGCTCCTCCGTGCTCTGCAGGGGCCATCTCACTGACCGGCAGTGGCTCCCCACCCTCCTTTCTGTCCATCTGTCTGCTTGGCATGGGCCTCCCTCCCATGGTGCAGTCCGGCCGTCCCACCTCTCTCCTCTGCCTCCCCACCTACTCCCTTCCTCATCCCACCTCTGCCTCTGTGAGTCACTCATTCATCTCACAGGATCCGCTGAGCTTCATGCCAAGTTCTCTTCTGGCGACCGCTGGGGACGCACCAAGACAGACGGAAAGGCCCTGCCCCCAAGGAGCTGACAGTCCACTGGGGGCAGAGAGCGGAAACCCAGCAGGATCGGTTCAGACCGGGCCAGGTCGTAGGGAATGACATAAAGAACAGGTCTGGGCAAGCTAGTACTGGTGGAGGAGCTTGGGAGACAGACGGAGGTGACATCTAAGCTCAGGGTCCTGCAAGAGTCAGCCACCTGTGTGCAACGACCAGCTTCCTGGATGGAGGGAACAGTGGAAAGGCCATGGGTGGGATAAGTCTGCTGCATGTGAATGGCAGAGAGGGGGCTGTGGACACAGCGCTCTGCAGCTGAGTCTCCCTGTTGTTCGTATCCATACCGGGCCACTCTGGTCTTATTATTTCAGCTCTGCCCTCAGAAAGCTCCTTCTGCACTTGCCTCCCAGCTGAGGCCTCAGTCCTCCCACCAGGTCAGGTAACTCGTTATCCCTGTATAGTCTCTCTCCTGTGCAGTCTCAAACCCAAGCACCTTCCTCCATCCAGCCTCCTTTCACCTCTCTTCCCAGGATCCCCTCTTCTGCCTTCCTACCTCACAGGTCCACTCCCAGCGTGGTACCCATGGATCTTCCCGTGCCCCTCCCTCACTGCCCTGTTTGGCCTGTGAAGCCCCACAGCCCGAGTCCCCAGCACCCGGCTCTCTGCCAATGAACTCTCCAGCACGTCTGGGCCAGCTCATGACCTCCCAGCTGTACTTCGAGGCAAGGCCTCTCTATTTTGCCCCTTTGGCCCTCTACTGACCCCAATATAAAGCAAGGGTCATACCCAGCCCCTCTCAGGGGGCTATGGGGTGTGCAAAAGAAAATGAACAAGTCTTCTGGGACCCAGTCAACCACACAACCCCAACTGTCTGGCCAACATCAGGCAGTGCCACATCCCAGACCCAGCTCCGTTCCAACTCCAGCTTCCTGCTGACATGCCTCCTGGGAGGGCAGCAGGTGGTGGGTCACATGTTGGGGTCCCTGCCACCCACGTGGGAGCTCAGATGGGAGTTCCAGGTTTGGGCCTGACCCAGCTCTAATGGAAGTGGTCACTTGGGGAGTTTGTCTCTCTCTGCCCCGCTGCCTTTCCAATAAACAAGCAAAATAAATAAAAGGCTGAAATCCATGTGTATGTTTTTCCTAATACCCATTTCCCATGAACTTCACTTCCTGTGGACTGATTTGACTTTTCAGGACAAATCCAAGAACCAGCTTGGCCAATCACACACGAGAAACTGAGTCCCAGAGAGGCGAGGTCACTTGCCCAAGGTCACGAAGGTAGTGGCCACATCCAGTCATCACTTTCAATCAGACTTGTGAAGCCCTGAGGACCATCTGACCTGCACCCCCACCCTGGGGGTGGGGCTGACACCTGCTCCCATCACACCTTCCTCCCCAGGTCCGTACCACACACCTTGCTGCCCAGTCTTCTTGCACTTGCCTGCCAGCCCCTCCTCTAGGCTGGCAGGAGACCTTGGAACTCCTAGCATCTGGTAGCTTCTTTCTATTGCCCCTCCTGCACCCGCCGCCCCCTCCCAAATCGGCAGTCTTCCCTGAGCTGTGACTAACACCACAGCCATCAGCTTTCACCCAGCCCACCACCTCCTGCCTCCTCCCATCCCCAGCCCCTAGGAAGCCCCAGCTCACAGGATGCCTCACCTCTGGGCGGGACGCACTGCCTCCCACCCATCTAGTTCTATCACCACTCCAGCCCCCTCACCTCCTATTTCTTGAGGTTGTACAGTCACGGGGAGCTGGCAGTGAGGTGAGTAGGGTGCACACCGGCTCCCTCCCTTACAAGCTGTGTGACCTTGGGTGGGTTGGCTGCCCACTCTGGGCCCACAATAAACTGTTGCAGGCACCTGCTGGGATGCGATCCCTGCTTACCAGCTCCGTGACTTCACCCAGGCCACTTCACCTCAGCCTCAGCCAACAGCAGACAACATTAGTTGCAGCCTCCCGGGGCTTGCCCAGGGGACCACAGTAAGGAACTATGCATACGCCGCTGTAAACGGCACTATTGCGGTCATTTCCTATCGGCCTGAGCATTTACTTGGTGCAACTTGCACAAAGACAACTTTGAAATTCCCTCTCTCTACCACGCGTTCTTCCCTGGTCACTAGCCTGCAAGAGGTCACTTGTCTCCAAGCCTCTCTCCCCATTTCTCTGTAACCTGAACCCCTGCTCCCACCTACCCTGAATTCAGGGAGCTCTCCCAAGACAGACCTCTTCATCCCTCGTGTTGTGGTTTCTTGGAGGCCAGCAAAGCTGAGACCCCTGTCGCTTCAACAGAAGGGACATCCAGGCTCTAGCCTAATACTTGAGCCACCTGCCCCTGCCACTTGCTTGGTGACCTTGGGCAAGTCCCTGCCCATCTCTGAACTTCACTTTCCATATCTGTCAAATGGGGCCATCACCTCTGTGGTAAGAGTCCCTGGGGAAGACTCAGTGCCCCTACTCAGATACTGTCACAGGCCCCCAGGGTCCCCTTCTACCCCCACCCCCATCCTTACCCCGGGGCCCTGACAGCTGCCTCACACCCTCCGCAGGCAACCATTCCCATGGAGCTTCATTCCCTGGCCCCTCCACACAGTCGCCACCACTCAGCCTTCACCTGTCTCCTGGACACCCGTACCCCTCACCCCACACCTCCCGCCAGGCCAGACAGCCTCCTGGAGCAGGGCCCCCGCTAGCTTGTAGGCCCAGGGCCACGTCAACCACCCCAATTGCTCAGCATGGCCCAGTTCCCCTGGGTCTGGGCACAGCCAGGGTCACACAACCCAAATCTGTGGGCCCCTGTTGCCCCATGTCTGGGGTCACCTCGATTAGGCCCTGGGTTATCCGGCTGCTACCAAGGCCATGGCTTCTGTGCCCAAGTCGGCAGGGGCTTTCTCCCCTCCACAGCAACACTCGAGTGCACACACACACACACACACACTCATTCACTGCCAGGTGTGGGCACGTCACTCCAGGCCTGTGTCCTTCCCCAGAGCTGGGACCCCCTGGCCTGGTCACCGCCCCCATCCTTCCAGTTTGACAGATCTGCCCAGGATGGGGGAGGACAGGAGCCCTCTAATGCCCTCCTGGCATCACTCCTCTCTTCCCCACAGACAGGCTATATGCCCCAGGACTCCCCTGGGGAGGTGGGGTGTCTGTGCCCCCACCCCCAGACTGCTCCTACTGCCTCTAACCCCTTCCAGGCACCAGTCCTCAAATGCAGGTTCACCGGAAACATCAGGTGCCTCGAGATGGGGGGGCAGCTCCCAACCTCCGGTCTAATCCTTCGCCCCCACGTCCCAGAACCTCCCCCACTGCATACCCACGGGCTCCCCCAAAGCTGGGGTCCCGCCCCCCCACCTCCTCCCCATCCCCAAGCTCACACTCCGCAGCTCCTGAGTCCGATCCTTCATCCTGCGACGGCTCCTCCTCCTCCTCCTCCTCCTCGTCCTCCTGCCTCCGCCGCGGCTCCTGTCTCCCACTTCAGTGCTGGAGGCAGGGGGTCTGGGGGCGCCGGGGATCTCTGAGGGGGTCGCTTGCAAGCGGGGGCGGGACCGGGAGCGGTGGGCCGAGGCTCCGGGCAGGGGCAGGGGCCTGGCCGGGCTCGGCTGTGCCCGGGCTGCGGTGGCGATGCGGCTGCGGCACAGGCTGGATGGAGGGATGCGGGCGCCCGCGCGCGGGGGAGGGGGGCGGAGGGAGGCGAGGAGCCCGCGCGGGCGGGGGAGCCGCGAGGGGGCGGGGAGCAGGGGGCATGCGCAGCGCCCGGGGCTGGGGGCGCCTGGGGCTTGTAGTCCGGGGAGGGGGGCGCGCGAGGAGGGCGCGGCTGGTGGCTGTGGGGAGGGAGGGTCGAGCCGCGGAAGAGCTGGGCGAGGTGCTGCGGGAGAGCGCGTGGAGGCGCGGAGGCCCGCACCGAGGTGCCGGGTGGCCTGCGGTGCGGCGATTGGGGGTGGGGGGTGCGGAAGGGCTGGAAGAGGGGAGAAGGCGAGAACAGAGGTCGCCGCGTGGGGGGCGAGCGGCTGGGTGGGAGGTGGTGGGTCCCTTGGCCCCAGGAGCTGGGGAGTGATTTTCTGCTTGGAACCCTGGTGTCTCCGGGTAAGCCTGCGTGTGACCACCTCTGGGAGCCGTGTGTCCCCGCGGGAGGCACCTTGGACGCCAGCAGTGGCCAGATGGAGGACCCTGTATGTGGCCAGGCGCTGACCGAGGCAGGAGACCTGCCTTGCGCGGACTCCCCAGTCCCCGAGGTGGAGATTCTTAGCCTCCAGGAAAGGGGACAGGGACAGGGTCCCCCTTAGCCACAAAGACGCCTCGGCCCATCCTTAGATGTCTCTGACTGCTACAAATCCAGTTCCCCTTTCCTGGGCGGAGACCTATGCTGTCCCTGTCCGTCCCCCCCCCCGTTTGTCCTTCCCACCTCTCTTCTTCACCCCACCCCCTCCATCCCCAAAGCTCCTTGTCAGGTCCCTCTTGCCCCTGCAGCAGTGAATCCGGGGCCCCTAGCACGCCGTGCCCTAACCCTGCCCCGGGCCAATCAGTACCCAGGGGACCTCCTTGCAACCAGATCATTATCCTTGGAGCCCTGGTGACCTCTTCTATGAGCCCTCCCACACAGGCATCCCGCCCCTCCCAGGCACCTGCCAAGTCCCACCTTCCTCCTGCACCTGGCCAGCGTCTCCCAGATCCCTGGGCCTATCCCAGATTCTTCTTGTCCTTTCGCACATCCTACTGCACCAGAATGACCACAGCACCCAAGTGTCTCCTTGTAAATCAGAAACCTTCCTCCTACCGCGGGCCACACCCCAAGCTGGGTGCTGTGGAGACGCTCTTGGGGACTGGAGAGGAGCTGGACTGTCAGAAGCAAAGCCAAAGTTGATGTGGGAACCCCAGTGACAACAGGAGGGGGGGTGATGGTCTTGCCTTCTCTCCCACCCCCACCTAAGGCTCCCCCATTGGAGGTGGCTTTCGCGTCTGTTGGTGAACTGAACAAGAGTGAACGCCTTTCCCCTGGCCCCCGAGTCAGGTTGCAGTGTCAGAGATAGTGCAGGTAGACAGGGTGCTGGTGCCAGGACAGTGGGAATTCTGAGACTACCACTCTGTCGCCTAGGCCCTGAACCTGTCTCCCGCCTTTCTGAAGCATCATTTTTTGTTTGTTTGTTTTGTTTTATTGGAAAGTCAGAGGAAGATCTTCCTCTGCTGATTCACTCCCCAAGTAGCCGCAATGATCCGAAGCCAGGAGCCAGGAGCTTCTTCCAGGTCTTCTGCACAGAGGTAGAATCCCAAGGCTTTGGGCCATCCTCGACTGCTTTCCCAGGCCACAGGCAGGGAGCTGGAAGGGAAGTGGGGTGGCCAGGACATGATCCAGCACCTATATGGGATCCCAGCATGACTAAGGCGAGGACTTTAGCCGCTAGGCCACGATGCTGGGCCCTAAAGCATCACTTTTACGAAGTGAACCCCGGCTCAGAAAATTTGCTTAGCTCCACAGAGCTCCTTCCAGACTTCCAAACCCAGCTGTCCCCTTTTGCCCTTCCTGTCCTTTCAGGCCTGCAATGGCCTCTGTAGATGTGGGCAGAGCCTGCCTCCCCGCTAGACCCACCTTCCATCTGCCTCCTCCCGCTCCCACAGCGGCCAACACAAGGCTCCAGTGCTAAGCTCTTGTCTGTGCTTCCCCACCTCCACGCCTTTCCTTGGGTTGTTTCCGCCCCTTTCCTTTTAGATCTCCAAGCCCAGCTCCCACTCTTGCTATGATGTATAGTCCTGGAGTCTTGATCGTCTGGAAGCTGGAAGGAAAATATATTACCTACACAAATTCCCAGACTTCGCCCCCTGGAAATTATTATTCATTAGCTCTGACCTGAGGTTCAGGATACTGGATTTTTAGTGGTTATCTCTGATGATTGTCATTTATATTGGAAACCACAGTGTATTAGGTAGGCTAGACAAGGTTAGGCTATGTTAACAAGCATCCTCTAAGGTCTTAAGGACTTAATGTGACAAAGATCTCTCTCTTATTTTTTTTAAAGATTTCTTAATTTGTTTGAAAGTCAAAGATACAGAGAGAGGGAGAAATAGACATGATGACAGATAGAGAGAAATCCTCCATCTGCTGGTTCACTCCCCAAATGACTGTGATGTCTAGAGTTGAATCAATCCAAAGTCAGGGACCAGGATCTCCTTCTGGGTCTCCCATACAGATGCAGGGATCCAAGCACTTGGGCCATCCTCTTCTGTCTTCCCAGGCACATTAACATGAAGCTGGATCAGAAGTAGAGATGGGATGTCGATACCACAGATGTGGCTTCACCCACTAAACCATAGCACCTTCCCAGAAGGTCTCCTTTTGTAGTAGGTTTGGGTACCTGGGATACTTCTCAGAACATCTGTGGTTAAGGAAAACACAGCTGACAGCCAGCTCATCCAGGCCAGCAGAGATGTCGCGGATGTCAGAGGATGGAGAGCAGAACAGGTTGGACCACTCTCCTGGCCAAGGTTTGCCACATGTTCCTGGGCCTGTGGATGCACTAATGTGGACTTGGTCAGTCAACTTGACCATGGAAAGATTTTCTCAACCCTGGTGCAATGAAGCCCACGATGTCTCAGAACTATGAAAATCACTCAAGGAACACCCTTGGAACACATCAGGTTCTCTAAGGCATCATCAAAGGGCCATCCCCCACCCCTGGGTGCTGATGTAGTTGGACAGCGAGGAGGAGTGACCCCCGCCCTTCCCCAACTGCAGACACAAGAGAAAACAAAATTGAAACATTTATTCCACAACCTACCTTCTCCCATCTGTGGCCCTTCCCACCCTGACTGGAGACTTATATGGGCATGCAATCCTCTCAATTATGTAAATAATATATGCAAAATGAAATAAAATTAAATTTTAAAAATGAATATTAAGGCAATGCTGTTAAATACATTAAAAAAAAAAGACAGTGCTTTGGGTGGAGAAATATATTTTGAGCTACTTATTTTTATGCACTTGAAAAGCAGAAAGAAATCTGCTATCTGCTGGTTCGCTCCCCTAATACCTACAACAGCCAGGGCTGACCAACTAGGGGCCTGGAACTCCCATGGGGTCCTCACGTGGGTGGACCATCACCTGCAGCCTCCCAGGATGCATTAACAGGAAGCTAGATCGGAAGTGAGGGAGCTGGGACTCCAACTAAGATCTCCTATAAGAGATGCAGATCTCTTGAGTGACTGCTTAACTGGCTGTGCTGTTGCATTCACTGTGGGAAACTAGTTGCTTATTTATCTAATTGGAAGGCAAGTTCACTGCCTTTTAATAGATACCTGAGGTGGCCGGGGTAGGCCAGGCAGAGGCCAGGAGCCAGAAACTCAATGCAAGTTTCCCATGTGGGTGGCAGGGGCCCAAGCCCTGGTGCTACTACTGCTGCCTCCCAGGATGAGCTTAAGTAGGAAGCTCTTGAACCTGAACCCAGACACCCCTGAAGGAGATACGGGCTTCCTGAGTGGGCTCTTCCCTCCTCTGCCAACCCCTGACCCTTGCTGGGAGGGATACGTACAGGCCTTGTCAGCCAGCTAAGCTCTGAATCCCTGGTCATTCAGGATCAAGCAGGATCCCGTTTGCTTTCCTGTTGGCACCTGGCACAGAGCCTAATCACACCTGCCATGTTCAGGAAAAGCAGAGCAGAATACCCGTTTGTCCCACCCATCCATTAGCCAATAAAGGTTTATTAGGTCCCCACCTTTCCGGCAGGGCCTCTGCAGCTGGTGCTGGAGACCCAGGTGTGGAGTTGGGGAGTGAGAGGGGGAGTTAAGAGGCAAACACCTGCCCCATCTTCAAGCTGCTGCAGAACCAACTTTTCTAAGCCACACTTTCCAAGATTCTCAGATGACTCCGACAGCCAGCACGCAGGCAAGGAGTGAACGAGGCAGTTGTGACCTGTGAGCCTGGCTCTTGTGCTGTGTGTCCTTTCTGCTTCCCCAGCCTCTCTCCAGGCGTTCTTCCTGCAGCCCCTGGCCTTCAGGCATGCGTCCTTCCTTCCCCTCACTGCTTTCACCGCCCATTATGAACCTGGAAAGTGACTATAACTTGAAACAAACTGATAACAACAATGGCAATAACTAACTCCCACATAATGTTTATCACATACCGCACTGTGTGAACTGTTTTGGGTGGATCAACTCAATGAGTCTTCATAATCACATTCTAGTATTGCTGTTATGGTCTTCGTTTATAGATAAGGAAAACTGAATCATAAAGAGTCTGAGCTGGTCCAGGCAGATGGAAACGGCAGAGCGTTAGCTCTTCTGCTTGGCTGCTCCTCTGCCTTCCAGGGGGCCCTTGTCAGTCCCTCTCTCTGCCACACCTGGGGCCAGCACCCTGCACCGGAGCACTGACCCTGTGAGATGTGTCAGGGAGAGCTGAGTTTTCCTATTCATATTGGTTCATTTGTTTAGGACTTATTTAAAATCCATGAATACTTTTTAATTTTTAAA